TGTAGATATCCCTGTCATATTTTTTTTTCACTCCCCTATTAGCCTAGGTTCTTTTGGTCACAAGCAACAGAAACCAACTGTGGCTATCTAACGCAAAGAGGGGACTTTATTTGAAAGATACAAGGGTATCTCCCAGAACCGAAGGATATGTGTAGCAACCAAGACTCAGTGGGGGGGAAGAAGACCAGAACTAACTTAGGGAATATTGGCAAAAGCTGCACGTGGGCCCACAGGGCACAGCTGTTAATGTACTCAGCTCCTCTGCCACCCATAATGTGAGTCGGGGGTCCTCGAGACCACCCCCACATTTAGAGAGTCACCAGAAAGACTCACGGCACTCAGCCTATAGTTGTATTCATGGCTCAGATTTATCACAGTGATGTAATAAGGATACACAGCGGGATCATAATGGGAAGAAGCACAGGAAAAGGCAGCTCTGGAGACACCTTTGTGCAGCCTTTCTTATACTCTCTCCCCCATGAGGAGTGATACAGAATGATCTCCTCTTCAAGTAACATAAACACAGTAATAGATGTGCGATGTTGCTAACCTGGAAGTCCATTAGAAGCTCTGCACCCAAGGTTTTTATCAGCAGATGTTCATGTAAGCATCCTCTGCATGTGCCAAAATTCCAGACTTCCAGAAGGAAAGCAGGTGTTCAGCATAAACCACATTGTTTGCACAAACAGGAGGCATAGTGAACCATCCTTATCTCCCAATCCCAAGTCATAAAGTCTGGAAAGATTAAATTGGACCCACCTCGACTCTGGTGTCTTTGCAATCTGTTAATTGGGAGGGAGGCAGAAGGGAATGAGGTAGACATGGCCTCGGGAACCCACTTCCTGGAATGGGAGGATGCAGTTCTCAGAAAAGAGAGGCTCAAAGTAAGGAAGAAGGATCCACAGCAGCTCTTGTACTGCACATTTGAGGGCTCTGGGAAACTTTCATCACGAGGGTTCTGTGACTCTTATAATACACTGACTCTCAGGACTTCACTCAGTTCATAACAAATGTTTCTTGAGCATCTACTCTGTGCCAGTCTCTTGAGCCAGAAGCCTGCCTTCGGTATTTTCCATTTCATTTTGAAGAAGAGTTGTGTATATGTGCTGTTGTTTTCCCTATTCTCTCTGGCATCTTAAGGATTTAAACACCAAATTAAATTCTTCTGAACTTCTATAGATATCCTAAGTACTAAGTTGTTTGGGTGGTATGATGCCTAACATGAAGATAGTCATTTTTCTTTTACAGTAATCCCTTGGTTTATTTATACAGTGATAGGAAGTTATTTTTATGAGAAATATATATATTCAATTGCGATGCTAGCATCCTTTTAAATCTTTTAATTTCACTATTTGCTACAAAAGTAATACAGGTGAAGCACTTTTATCCAATGCATTTGAAACTAGAACACGTTAATTTCATGTCAGTTAATTTCAAAAAGGGTTATTAAAGCAAGGAGTATGATAAAGAAATGAGAGATGCTTTAAGTATTTTAACAAATATATTTATTTTTTTGTGTTTGCAAATTTTTAAAATTAAGAGCACTTACGGAAGTAATCTGAATACAATGTCTCTCTAGATTTTTATGATTTTCCCCCTAATATTTTACTTTCTCCCACAGCAACAGCCGTGGGAACAAATATAACTGATTCTTACAGGCAAGAAGTCCCCTGGTGGGGACAGGTGTGCCAGGTGCACTGGAGAAAACCCACTAATCAAAAGTTTTCAGGGGCGCCTGGGTGGCTCAGTTGGTTAAGCGTCTGCCTTTGGCTCAGGTCATGATCTCAGGGTCCTGGGATTGAGTCCCGCATCCGGCTCCTTGCTCAGCGGGGAGCCTGCTTCTCCCTCTCCCTCTGTCTGATGCTTCCCCTGCTTGTGCTCTCTCTGTCAAAATAAATAAATAAAATCTTAAAAAAAAAAAGCTTTCAGAGTGCAGGAGGCAACAAGTCAGTTAAATGGATACAATTTAAAGAGCTCTATACATGTTCACTGTGGAAAACTTAGTAAATATGATAAGCAAAAAACCAAAAATCAGGAATTTTAATATAGAATAATCCCCAATTTTTTGGTCCATTTCCTTCGCATATATGAAATATATATACACACATACATATATGTGAAGTATATAGATACTAATATTATGCTAGATAGACTATATAATGAAATATGCATTATGTGTTATACACATTTTAACAAAGAACAGGCTCATGCTATATATACTGTTATAGTCTTTTTTCATCTACATACACTGACACTTTTCCATTAAGCTTCTCCTACAACATTGTTTTGTAATGGCTATTGGCAAATGGAGATTAGTTGACAACACTATGTCGTTGTGCCTCAGAGGACTGGGGGTTTGCAGAGTTAGAACACTAACAATTTGGGGCGCCTGGGTGGCTCAGTCGTTAAGCGTCTGCCCTCAGCCCAGGTCATGATCCCAGGGTCCTGGGATCGAGCCCCGCATCGGGCTCCCTGCTTGGCGGGAAGCCTGCTTCTCCCTCTCCCACTCCCCCTGCTTGTGTTCCCTCTCCCACTGTATCTCTCTCTGTCAAATAAATAAATAAAATCTTAAAAAAAAAAAAACCAAAACAACACTAACAATTCAGGAATGCAAATAACGATAGGCGAATGTCCTGTGAGGAACAAGGAGGCTTCGACTCCACCTTCAATACCTGAGGGGTGGGTGTGGTGATGAGTAGCTTCACCTCCTGCTGTCCTCCGGGGGCTAGGGAGGTGGGGGGCAAGCAGGTTCCAGTTCGGACAGGGGTATAAGGAAAGTTTAAAGAAGAGGGTAAGAATGCAGAGAGGTTTGTTAATCATGGAGCAGAATTCCAGAGGTGACAATGGAAGGATCTGGGAGGCAGAGGGAAGGGGTACGGGATTGGGTCTGCGAGAAGAAACCAGAACAGTGGAAGGAGGGTCCGAGAGAAAACAGATTGCCAGGATGGAGGTAGGATGTACCTAGAGGTGCGGAGGGGACGGACCTCTTTCTCTGGCTCTCTCTCACATAGCAGTGGCCATGTGTTCTTGGGAGTGAGCAGCATACCTGTGTGCCGATGCCCACGCCATTGCTTTGGAGTAGCATGAAAAGTCCAGTGAGCAGTGACCTCTGTGAGCTGATGTAGGTTCACTACGAGAATGTTTTCAACAGGGCTACTAATTTGAGAATGGTGATGATAACCCTACATATTTACTATTGGACTTGTCCTCCTAGAGATGTAGTCTTATACACATTACTAGAAGCTGCAGAAAGTGCAGGAGATCACCCTGCAGGAGAAAACAGACTGAGAAAAAGGCTCTGGGCAGACCTGCAGAGCACTAATATTTTAGAGATGGGCAAAGAAGAGGAGGTCCCCGCAAATGACTGAGGTTGAGTAGCCAGTGAGTTAGAAGAAAAGCAGGATCTTGCAAACAGAGCCCAGGGAAGAATGTGGGGTTTTTTTGTTCTGTTGTGTTTTGTTTTGTTTTTTGGGGGTGGGGGAGGGACAATGTGTTTTTAAGGAGTGGCCGTTGGGGACAATGCTTTGGACATGGTCTGTCTGGATTTTAGCCACAAATCTGAAGGTTTCCTACTTCACAACACAGCAATTGAGAACTTCAGTAGGATTCAGAATAGAACCCTATAGCAATTCATATGACTGCCCTCCAGACTGAAATCAATTCATTTACTGGGATTGATTGATTGGTTTACTAGTTTATTAGACATAGTATGGAACCTCCTAACTGTTGTATTAGTGCAAACGTATCTTTTACATACTCATTTCATCTCTGTTCTTTCCTGTGAGCCTGCAACAAGACATATATTTTGCAATCCTCTGACTACAAACCCAAGCACATGTGTACTCCTTGCATGGCAATAAATATTCATGAAATGGTCATTAAATCGTTCAAAATATGCTAACAATTTTCTCTGGGTTCTAAGAAGAAAAACACAAACTGAAAAAACATTCAGAAAACGTGTGCCCTCAAGAGCAGATCTGCTCATCTTCAGAGATTTACGTTCAGTTTGTAAGGCTGCCTTGATTAACTGCAGGTGAATTGAGTGTGGGTATGAAGGATTTTTTTTTTTTCTTTAAAATTTGGAAGAACTTCCATGTGAAAAAGAGAAGAAAAGCAGTTTTTGGCTCAATATAAAATCACCAGTTGGATTCATTGAGAGATAATGCCTCTCCTCCAAGCCGAGACCAAGGAACCACTCATTTAGGGCTTTATAAAAGGGATTTTTTTGTTTTGTTTTTGTTTGTTTGTTTGCATTATGTGAGTGACAAGATCATTTTTAAGATCTTTTTCTAGTGTAAGATTTCATGAGTCTATGAAATAACTAGGTACCTGGCCTTTAAGAAATAGAGAAGGAAATATAACATTGATTTTGTAGTTCTACCTATTTCTATTTTTTTATGTAAAATATATACTTTTAAAGATTTTATTTATTTCTTTGCCAGAGAGAGAGAGAGCATGAGTGCACAAGCAGGGGAAGAGAGCATGAGTGTACAAGCAGGGGGAGTGGCAGGTAGAGGGAGAAGCAGGTTCCCTGCTGAGCAGGGAATGGTAATGATCTGAGCAGAAGGCAAACGTCTAACCGACTGAGCCACCCAGGCATCCCTTTTTATGTAAAATATTTAAAAATCTCAAATAATAATTACAAGAACTATAATTATCCAGAATCTCAGCCTTCTAACAAGTCTTTTCAGTTTGAGGTGTTTCCTTTTACGATCGATGGGCATAGTTGTTTTTACAAAGGTACACTCATAGTTCTGTCTCCTTTTTTTTTTTTTCTAGTGACTTTAGCTATCATGAGATAAATTTAAAGAAGTAAGTGTGTTTTCTTGGATTATGGTAGTCTTTAATCCTGAGATGTGGTGGGTAGGAGCAATGCATTAAAAAAGTCTAAGCCTGCAAAGACTTATTTGAAAAAACTGATTTTTTTTTTTTTTTTTTTTTTTTTGGTTTGTGGGCATTTCCTAAATTGTTTGTACTGTGTTCTTTCCCCCTTGAATTAGTTGATCATGGCCTTGCCAGGTTGGTGACAGTATACTGTGAACATGGTCATAAAGCTGCCAAAATCAACCCCCTCTTCAGTGGACAAGCCTTGCAGGAGAATGTGCCTGAAATCCAAGCTCTTGTGCAGACCCTGCAGGGACCCTTTAATACCACAGGTAAAGCTCATTGACACTAGACTGTCCATGTGACAGTTAACTGCCAACATGAGGTAGGGCTCCTTTCTCTGTTCTTAAAGAATCCACATGCCAACTGGAGCTGCGGCTTCCATGGGGTGTGAGTGACAGTGAGGGGCACATTCAAGCACTAAGAGGACCTGTCTTGAGGTTCTAGAGTAGTCTTTCAATAGGGCCCATTTCCTCTGAGTTTAAAAACATATTCACCAAAGAAGACATACAAATAGCCAACAGATATATGGAAAGTTATTCAGTATCACTCATCATCAGGGAAATGCAAATCAAAACCACAATGAGATATTATCATCTCACACCTATTAGAACGGCTATTAAAAAGACAGCAGATAACAAGTGTTGGTAAGGATGTGGAGAAAAGGGAGCCCTCGTGTACTGTTGGGAATGCAAGTAGGTATAGCTACTGTGGAAAACAATTTAGAGGTTCCCTCAAAAAATTAAAAATAGAATTACCATATGATCCAATAATCCCATTTCTGAGTATTTATCCAAAGGAATTGAAATCAGGATCTTGAAGAGTTATCTGTACTCTCATGTTTATTGTGGCATTATTAGAATAGCCAAAATATGGAAACAACCAAAATGTCCATCATTGGATGAATGAATAAAGAAATGCAGTGGAGGGGCACCTGGCTGGCTCAGTTGGTAGAGTATACAACTCTTGCTCTTGGGGACATGAGTTCAAGCCCCACATTGGGCGTAGAGCCAACTTAAAAAAAAAAAAGAAAGAAAATGCAGTTTATGTACAGAATGGAATATTATTCAGCCTTAAAAAAGGAGGAAATCATGCCATTTGGGACAACATGGATGAAGCTGGAGGGCATTATGCTAAGTGAAATAAAACCAGTCACAGAAGGACAGATACTGCATGATCCCACTGTATGAGGAATCTAAAGTAGTCAAACTCGTGCTAGCTTCAGCAGCACAGATATTAAAATTGGAATGATATAGAGAGGATTAGCATGGCCCCTGCACAAGAACAGCATGCAAATTCATGAAGCATTCTGTATTTAAGAAAAATAATGAAATAAAATAGTCAAACTCCTCGAACCAATAGAATAATGGTTCCCAGGGTCTGGGGAGGGGTGGGAAAGGGAAGGTGTGGGTCAAAAGATACAAAGTTTCAATTATGAAAGATAAGTTCTGAAGATCTTCTATACAACATGGGCTTATAGTTTGTTAACTATAAGTATATTGTATACTTAAAACTTTGGTAAGAAAACAGATCTTATGGTCAGTGCTCTTTCCACAAAAGAAAATAAATTATTTCAAAAATGAGTAAAAAAATTCCAAGTCCTGAAATTAAAAAAAAAATCGTCAGACTCCCATTATGTGCCATGCACTTTATATCCATTATGTCAATTAATTCTCATACCTACTACCTAAAGAAGTTACTGATAGGAAGACAGACACTCAGAGAACTTAAGCAGCTCATAGCGAGAAAGTGGCAGAGGTAAGGTGACAACCCACATCACCTTCCATTTCTGCAGCCTGAACTTTTTCTGCCTTTTTTCTTGCCCAGCCTGGGAACTTGAAGTTGGGAATGGATAACCCATCAGGATCCTGGGCTCCTACCTCATGTCATATTTTATTTTACTTTTATTTTATTATTTTAATTTTTATTTATTATTTTTAAATATTTATTCTTAAGTAATCTCTATACCCAACATGGGGCTCAAACTCCCAGCCCCAAGGTTGAGAGTCACACGCTCTTAGGACTGAGCCAGCCAGGTGCCCCTCATGTCATTTTTTTAAAGTTAATCTTAAGCCAGTGTCAAATTCTGGTACATGCATCAGTTAGTTATGTCTGGTAATTATTGCAGTGTAATAAACCATTCCAAAATGTAGTGATCTTTAAGGGCACAACAATTTTGTTATCTTTCAGTTCTAGGATTTGACTGGACTTAGCTAGGTAATTCTCAGTTCAGGGTCTCTGAGACAAAAATCTATGCTACTAGCATAATTTGAATGGCCCTTCAGGAGTGGAAAAGCTGTTTTAGTGTCATCCCTGTCCCCTTGTTGTACCTTATTCTTGCTGAGTCTACATACAGGTCCCTGATACTGTGTCAACTCATACGTCCATAACTTTGCATGGAATACCCTTTCATCTACCTGATGAACCTAGGACATTCCTGTTGATTTTTAAGCATTCAACAAGCATTCCCTGCGCTGCGAGGCAGAGCTACCCAGAGCTTTAGCCATTTTAAAGTATACACTTCAGTGACATTAAATATATCCACAGTGTTGTGCAACCATCAAGTTAGTTCCAGAACATTTTTATCACCCCAAAAGGAAATCTTGTGCCTACTTAGCAGTTACTCCCCATTTTGCCGTCTCCCCAGTCCCTGGCAACCACGAATCTACTTTCCGTGTCTATGGATTTGCCTGTTCTTGACATTCTGTATAAATAAAAGTCATACTATGTGGCCTTTTGTGTCTGGCTTTTTTCACTTAGCATAATGTTTCCAAGTTTCACCCATATTGTAACATAAATTGGTACTTTATTCCTTTACGTGGCTGAATAATATTCCATCGTATGGCTACATCACATTTGGTTTATCCTATCAATGGACATTGGGTTATTTCCTATCTCATGTAATCTTAGCAACTCTCCCCTGAGGTGCTTTGACTGTTCCCGTTTACAGATTAAAATGTGAGGCAGAGAAGCTAAGCAATACACAAAGCAATATCTATAACTTGAATGGTCAGTATCAAAGAGCTGAAGTTTATTGTAAGAAACCATAAGCAGTAATAAAGTAGGTTTGTAGGTTTAGGCAAATGACTGATAATTGATTTGGTGCTGAGCTATTGATATATTACAAACCTTCCCTTGTTTTGACTGAGGGTTGGGTAGATTTCCCTTTACCTTAAAATACTGCTTTGCTATCAATATTAAATCACATTAAGACCAACTGTTCAATGGTAGAATTGCTTTATAGCTATTAATAAGACTTGAACATTTGGAAAGATATTTCAGATAAAGGTAGGACCTCTGATTTCTAGCTATAAAGCAAATGAATGTCAGGTTCCAATTTTTATTTTGAAATTACAATAGAATCAAAATTTGGCCTAAAGCAAAGATTTAATTCCCTCTTCTAATATGACTACTTCATGGCCTTTGACCATATTTCTAGTTTTGCCTTTAGAAAAATCTGGATAGCCATTGATGATGACCCGAGTTATCCAGAACAAAATGCTCTGAATTGAAATATTTTGTATGTTCTATAATTAATTACGTGGTTGATTGCTTTTTAAAATGGTCCCCTTGATTCCATTTTGTAGGATTATTGAACATGGGGAAGGAGGAGGCCTCTCTTGAGGAAGTATTGGCCTATCTCAACCAAATCTACTGTGGGCAAATTTCTATTGAAACCTCTCAACTTCAGAGCCAGGAGGAGAAAGACTGGTTTGCCAAGCGATTTGAAGAACTGAAAAAAGAGACTTTTAGCACAGAAGAGCGAAAACACCTGTCAAAACTAATGCTAGAATCTCAGGTATAGAAGTACCAGCTAATATCAATGGAATAGGATGACTCCTCTTCTATAAAGATAACATAAATATTGAAGAGAGGGAATTAAAGCATTTACTTACCCCATTTATCCCCTTGCCTCAACACAACAGACAATATAACACACACCACTTGGTTCTAAGTAGAAGAAAATAGATCACCAAACACCAGAGCTACTGGTTCTCCTCCGAGTCAAAATACTTTTTATATATTTGCCTATTCACTCTCTAAAAGACTGCAAAATCCTTAAGATCATCTCTTTTTATTACCTCAAGTGATCAAAGGAAGCTATGCATGAAAGCTCTTGGTTACAAATAAATGGAAGTGAATCTGTCAGGGCTCGGATCAGGCTCCAGCATGTCAAGATGAGGAGAAAACGATTCCCAGTCATTTGGATAGTTGGGTGGTTTGCCGCCTTGATGAGATAGTACTGTTGAGTCCGCTACTGAAACTCAGGGGCTAGCCAGGGCAGAATCGAAGGCCCAGCCCTTGCTTTAGAAGAACACATGCGGGGCGCCTGGGTGGCTCAGTCAGTTAAGCGACTGCCTTCGGCTCAAGTCATGATCCTGGAGTCCTGGGATCGAGTCCCGCATCGGGCTCCCTGCTTGGCAGGGAGTCTGCTTCTCCCTCTGACCCTCCCCCCTCTCATGTGCTCTCTCTCTCTCAAATAAATAAATAAAATCTTAAAAAAAAAAAAAATAGAAGAACACATGCTTTTTTTTCCCCCTGAGGAATAAATTCTAAGAGGCTTCCTCTGGGGCTAAGTTATTCTACCACTCACGTTATTTTCTCTGCATTCCCCCTGCTGCCTGGAGTCCTTGGCAAGACGTTCCTGCCATGCTCCGGACTAGTTAACGCCTGTCTCTGGCGTATGTCATGAAGGGGCATTGCTGCAGCCACTTGAAGTAGTTTAGGGTCTTCCCACAACCCTCATAAACGTGTCTGACTTGGACCCGAGTAGCTGGCTCTCTTCCTGCAACAAATGTGTCTGACGTGATGTTCCACAGGAGTTTGACCACTTTTTGGCCACCAAGTTTGCCACAGTGAAGCGGTATGGGGGCGAAGGAGCCGAAAGCATGATGGGCTTTTTCCACGAGTTGCTGAAAATGTCAGCCTACAGCGGGATAACGGATGTGATTATTGGCATGCCCCACAGAGGGAGGCTTAATTTATTGACAGGCCTTCTGCAGTTCCCTCCAGAGGTAAGATACTTTCTATGATGCACAATTGGCTGTAACAGAATAGAACCGATGGTAATAATTCCTTTTAGAAACCCGAGTAAACATCTGCGCAGTTGGTCCAGGAGGTAGCCTAATGAATTGATGGATAGATCTGGTATTTGGGTTGATTTTCTGTGTCCTTTTGTATGGATTCTTTCTTCTCTCAGGGAAGTTAAAGGTTAGTTTGTTTTCTCAAGGATGATGTGAATACATAATTTCTTTTCTTTGAAGAACGCTTTCCTAATTTAATAGAAATCGTTCAAACAAACATTAAGATCTGTGCAATTATTTATAATTTTACCTTCCAAGAAGTCCATTTTACCTTCCATTTATGTGCAGAGTTTATACTTAACATACTGTACTAAAACTAATAATACATTGTTATCCTGGGAGACCACCACATGAGAGGTTTTATAGGTAATTGGATCTTGGTGTTCCTGTTCTGTCCAACTCAGCTGCTCTATCAGTCTCTCAAAAGACTGGAGAGTTAGGGCTGCAGATTTTATGTCCGGGAATATCAGAGTGACTTGCTATTTAATCAGATCATGGCTGCTATGCGTGGATAAACCTCACTACTGATGTTGGCCAGGAGATTAAAAGTAATTGTAAGTGTTAAAGGGACTGTGAGAGTTAATGGAGCGAATAGAGCCCATGGAAGGATGCGTTATCCTTAAACCACTAGAAAGTACACATGACATCATGTCTTGGGGCCAAGCTTTACCACTGTTTCTCATACCTCAGTTTTTCTGATGCGAGAGAGAGATTGATAATCAGCTCTTGAAAGACAAATATTTTCGAAAAGGCAGACAACAGAATAAAGTGATTGACAGATGGAGGAATGTGCTTAAACACAGGCAGAAATCCCTAAACCAGAAATTGCATTCCTAAAATATTGCAGACAAAAACATGACTCAAAGATGCTGAATTATAAATGATCATATTTGTGAGAAACATGGATGTACCCATACTGTCTAAGTATGTGTGCTCCTATTTGTCGATAGGTCAGTAAGAAGCTTTTGGGTCATTCAAACCATTTGGATAAATGAGGATAACATGCTGTTTTTGGTAACTACCTTGGCTTGAGACCCGGCTTCATTACTTACTAGCTAAGGACCTTTAACAATTTAGTTAATTTCTCTTGCTTGTGCATTTTAAAAATGGGTAGTAATGGTTATATCTAGGTAGACTGTGAAAATGAAGTGAAGTCCTTTGAGAATTGGACAGTAGAATTTTTTAGGCATGACTTGAGCTAATCCTGGATGTCATCTTGTGTCTAAATGGGATTATGTTCTATTCTATCATTTTCCTGTCTACCTCTTTTTTTTTTAAAGATTTTTTTTTTAGATTTTATTTATTTATATATTTATTTGACAGAGAGAGAGAGAGAGAGAGCACGTGCACAAGCAAGCATAAGCAGGGAGGGGCAGAGGGAGAGGGAGAAGCAGACTCCCTACTGAGCAGGGAGCCCAACTCGGGGCTGGATCCCAGGACCCTGGGATCATGACCTGGGCTGAAGGCAGATGCTTAACCGACTGAGCCACCCAGGCACCCCAAAGATTTTATTTATTTAATTGAGAGAAAAAGAGAGCATGAATGGGGAGGGCGGAAGGGGCAGAGGCAGGCTCTCCACTTGAGCAGGGAGCCCGACATGGGGCTCCATCCCAGGACCCTGGGATCATGACCTGAGCTGAAGGCAGATGCTTAACTGACGAGCCACCCTGGCACCTCTTTCCTGTCTACCTTTAACAAGATTCATAAAAAGTTCTTTTGGAGAATATATTCTAACAGGTGTATTTAAGAAAAATTATTTTGCATATTGCAAGGCAGAGGTAACTTACTATCTAACATCTTACTCTCTTACTATCTACATGTCTAACTAGTCATGTTAGACTCTTCTCAGAGTGTTGGTATTTCATTTGATGGTGAAGATCTCCAAATAGTTCTGTGCATTTAAGCAGTTAGAAGCTTGTGCCTTTCTTTTTAAAGAATGCATGGTGATCATAGTTATACAAGCATGTGTGTCAACTTCTTTCAATTGCATGATTTAAACTAACCACCTCTTCTCTGGTGTCCATTGTGATAAAAGACATTTTCTCTTGTATGTTTATTCATAACAGCTGATGTTCCGTAAAATGAGAGGCTTAAGTGAATTTCCGGAAAATGTTTCGGCCACTGGAGATGTCCTGTCTCACTTGACCTCCTCGGTTGACCTGGACTTCGGCGCGCACCATCCCCTCCACGTGACCATGCTGCCTAACCCCTCACACCTGGAAGCCGTCAACCCTGTGGCCGTGGGGAAGACTCGAGGAAGGCAGCAGTCTAGACAGGATGGGGACTACTCTCCAGACAGTTCGGCTCAGCCTGGGGACAAAGTCATTTGCTTACAGGTACTTGTAGCTTCAGGAAGGGAGGCTGGAGGCTGAGGAGAGCAAGAGGAAGGGAAGGGAGATGGTAGACGTTCAAGATGAAATTGAGATTAACTTTTGGGAAAGGAAGATTCCGGGCTTGTTTTTAAAATTAATAGCAGGTATGAGGTCTAGTCTCAAGGCAACTGACTTTTTAGACTGAGGTTTCACTGTTTTTTTTTTTTTTTAAGAACCACTTTAAACATTTTTAAAATTTAAATTCAATTAATATATAATGTATTATTGGTTTCAGAGGTACAGGTCTGTGATTCGTCAGTCTTATATAACACCCAGTGCTCATTATACATGCCCTCCTTCATGCCCATCACCCAGTTACCCTATCCCCTGACCCCCTCCCCTCCAGCAACCCTCCATTTGTTTTCTATGCTTAAGAGTCTCTTATGGTTTGTCTTATGTTTTTCTTTCTTGAGTTGTGCATGTTATTTAAGGGAGTATCGACTGGTATCCCTGATGCTTTTCAGAGGACAGATGTCATTACTTTTAGGAAACTACGTGGTATCCATATATCTAACAAGGCTTGCTTGTTTTACAGTAAAGCATCCGAGTCTTGGTCTCAGCTCAGGTCTTGATCTCAGAGTTGTAAGTTCAAGCCCCGCGTTGGGCTCCATGCTGGGTGTAGAGCCTACTTAAAAAATAATAATGAAATAAAATAAAGGTCTTTGGCATTAAGGCAGCCAATACTAATTATGAGCGTGGTTCTTGCTTCCTTTACCCACCCCCACCCCCACCTCCACCCCTAGTCACCCCCAGTCACCCCAGTCACCCCCAGTTTTGGTAACCCAACAGCCTAGAGGTTTGGACTGTGGGTCACATTTTTTTCCTATGAGTATTCTTTTAAATATGAACTTTTAACTACTGGGCAGTAATTAATTCTGGATATCAGTAACTGAGTCTTTAAACCCCACAGGAATAGGTAAATCTGTAAGGCAGGAGAATATTTGGCTACTTATCCGAATAACAACTGTATCTTATTATCGCATGTTAATTTCTCATGGGCCAGAAACTTGTAGTAAGTAAATTGAGGGTAGCAGCATTGCCTTTGACTACACTATGGTATTTTGAAATGGAAATGTTACATTGTTAGCCATTCTCTTTACCTTTCACTTGACTTAATTCATGATACTCTAAAATATTTCTGTCATTCACGTTTGCCCAGTGCATGAAGCAGGTCTTCACATGGACTCCAGAAGTAAGAGGTGAAAATGGCATTTTCTTTAAAGTGATGAGAAACTGACTGCCCTCTTTTGTCTACTTTGTGTTCCAAAATTATTTTGCCCTGCTGTGTCTGTACATGTCTTGCCTTGTTCAAGGATGTAATTCTAATTTCTTCTGGGAACTCTAAATTTGGAGCCTATAATATCATGGTGGGTGAGATTCTGGATGTTACTTTTTCTGCCTGTCTTCTGTTTATCTGGGTCCGGAACCTGGTGAAGGTAGATTGTCCTTTGTGATGGGTACGTCTGTCTAGCCCCCTGGCCGTGTTTGGCTGAGTAGCTCCCACCTCACTCAGCATTTGTTTGTGCTTCTGGACCCTTATTCCCAAAAAGCTTTATGGGGCATAGTGGAGTGGTTTCTCTTGTGATTTAAGAAGAAAATAAAATTAGCAAATGGCACATGTGTGCTTTCGTGCCAAGAATCCAAAGACCATGATAAAACGATGCAAGTTATGAGCAGATGTTATGTTCTTTTTTTGAGAAATTTTTGTTTGAGTATAGTTGACGCCAGATGTTATGCTCTTTTTTTTAGAGAGGGAGAGAGGGAGGGGGCCGGGAGGGACAGAAAGGTAGGGTGAGAGAGAGAATCTTAAGCAGGTTCCACCCCCAGCGCTGGGCATGGAGCCCGGTGGGGGTCTCCGTTCCACAACCCTGAGATCATGAACTGAGCTGAAATCAAGAGTCAGATGCTTATCAGACTGGGCCACCCAGGTGCCCCCCTCCCCCAGATGGTATGTTCTTATCAATGCCTCTACTGTAACATTTTTGTAAAGGAGCAGAAGAGGCACAAATCCCTCCCTCTTCCTTGCTTTACTGACTCCTCTTACACCACTATCCCTCAGAAATCCCATCATCAAGGAGGAGCGTTCAGATGCCCAGAGCCCCTGGACCTGGTGGCTAAGGGTTGGACTTTACAGTGTAATGTGGTGCAGAAAAGACAAAGACTTGAGTTCAAATCCTGCCTTTGCTGCTTTCTGGCTTGGTGTGCTTGGTTCTGTTACCCTGTGTTCTCTGAATATCATAGGTAAATGGGAGTATATTACATTCCTCATAGTGTTCTGAGAATTAAATGAGAGCATGTACATAATAAGTTCCTTGATCCAGGAAAAAGGCGTGGAGGGATAGAGAGATACATAGAAAAAAACCCAGAGGTACCATAGAAGGCCCAGTGTCTGCTCCAGTGTGAAATATGCACTCTTGGTGAACCTTGGTTTTCTCATCTGTAAAAAGGACAGTAGTGACTTTCTTATCTGCACCTCCCCCCCCCACTGAGTGGATTAATGCTGTGGAGATAATGTGAGGGTATTTGTTATTACTAGGTGTAGATACTCCAAAATGGGAGTCATCTCTATAGACTCTAGCCAAGGGAAGGTGTGGCCTGGAAATGTTACTTCTGCAAAGGAGTGCTTCCTTTCTTAGCCAAAATATTCTATTTACGTTAAAAAAAAGACTATTTTAAGGACATTTTTAATGTCCTTTAAAAAAATCTACATCCAAGTATTCTTTCTTCACTCCTATTTAGGTCTTTTACTTCTGTTATTTTTAGAGTTCCAACGGTCACACTGTTAGGGCATCTCAGATCATTTTATTTTTTACTCCGGCATTTTGACTGTTTCTGATATTAGCCTTTTATTTAATTTATTTTTTACTGCAATATATTTAACAATAATGTTACGTAAGTTTAAGGGGTATAATATGTTGATTTGACAGGTAATCTCCTTTTAGCCTGAAGTCAGTAGAACTCATATCTTCTAAGATTTTCTAAGATCTACAATTCCCTCATTATTTGCTTTCAACTTTTCTAAAAGAGATTTCACTTTTTCTCTATCACTTCCTGTCTGTCAGGTTTTGTGATGATGTTGTGATCTAACAGATTTCAAATGGAAGAATAGCACATTTCAGACGTTGTGTGGTAGTATTTTGTTGGTTCCTCAAAGCATCCTTTCACCCACTTGTGAGAGACACCACCCCCCCGCCTCCTTCTTTGCAGTCACATCACCCTCCTTTATGTTTACAGTGGTGGCCAACACACCCAGTGGGGATCAGGGGATGCAAGCTGCACACAGACTCTTTTCAGGGGCAGGATGACTGGGGAAGAGAGAAGGTTCAAAGCTGTGCACTGTTCCTCATGTCTTGCAGGCTGTTTTTGTGAAACCTGTGCTGGAGCTGATTTTCCTTCTATACCTCCAATAGCCCTTCCTTCTGTGGTGCTGCTGTTTGTTCTAGAATGTTGATGGGTATATTAGAAATGATGGGTGTGAGTGATAATGTGGGGGTGGGTAGAATGGATCAGCTGGTGGTGGCCACAAGAGGAGAAGGGCTTTGAAACCTGCTTGAGATCAGCCTAACCTTCTAGAAAATCCTGTACAGAACCAGCAGAGTTTTGGGAGGGCAGAGGAGCAGTGAGAGTGTGGTTGTTTTTATTCCGTTTATTATTTGAAAACAATTTATTCCAATTAGAAACATAAATTTCTACACCCCTTATGTTCATTTTCTCATTTTCTCCTCCATGATTTAGGTTCACGGTGATGCATCTTTCTGTGGTCAGGGGATTGTTCCTGAAACATTTACGCTGTCTAATCTCCCACATTTCAGAATTGGTGGGAGTGTCCATCTGATTGTCAATAACCAGCTGGGTTACACCACTCCTGCAGAAAGAGGAAGGTCTTCCTTATACTGCAGTGATATTGGTACGTGACACAGGGAGGCCGCCCTAGAGAAACATCTAGTTCACTTGGAAGAGTGAATCTCGCTGGTTATCCCATTTTAAATTTTGGATCGGATATGGTCAGTAATTACCAACAGTGTTATTAATATTCCTTTAAAAGTCTTGAGTGTGGGGGCACCTGGGTGGCTCAGTCGTTAAGCGTCTGCCTTCCATTCAGGTCATGACCCTGGGGTCCTGGGATCGAGCCCCGCAACAGGCTCCCTGCTCAGCAGGAAGCCTGCTTCTCCCTCTCCCACTCCCCTGCTTGTGTTCCTGCTCTTGTTATCTCTCTCTGTCAAATAAATAAATAAAATCTTAAAAAAAAAAAAAAAGTCTGAGTGTGATCTTTGAATCCAAGGAAGTAAGACAAGAGCAGAACTGAGAGTGTGCCATCTCAAATTGTCCAAGTATCCAGTTGAATGATCTGGTGAAAACCAAAGATCAATATAGTTGGTAGAACACCAGGGTACTCGTCTTAGGAGATTCAGACCTGGCGTACCCAAAACCCTAGTCAAGAAGGATATATTCAATCAGTGAATTTGGCTAAGTGGTCTTGGTTAGAAATCAGATGTGAGGAAGCAAAGTTGACTCATTTTACCCTGGAAATTGGGCAGAATTAGGAGAAAGGCAGGGCTTTTTTACCCATCATCCAGTTCATGAGTTACAAAAACTCTTAGGTGATAGGAATTATTCCATTTTTGCGCCCAGACCCTGCTCTGGATGCCTTTTGGGGCTATCTATGTGAATTTTCTTTTAAAGTTCATTTATTCTTTTTTTTTTTTTAAGATTTTATTTATTTATTTATTTGACAGAGAGAGACACAGTGAGAGAGGGAACACAAGCAGGGACAGAGGGAGAGGGAGAAGCCAACTTCCCACGGAGCAGGGAGCCCAATGTGGGGCTCGATTCCAGGACCCTGGGATCATGATCCGAGCTGAAGGCAGGCACTTAACGACTGAGCCACCCAGGCGCCCCTAAAGTTCATTTATTCTTTTTTTTTTTTTTTAAGATTTTATTTATTTATTTGACAGAGAGAGACACAGCGAGAGAGGGAACACAAGCAGGGGGAGTGGGAGAGGGAGAAGCAGGCTTCCCGCCGAGCAGGGAGCCCGATATGGGGCTCGATCCCAGGACCCCGGGATCATGACCTGAGCCGAAGGCAGACGCTTAATGACTGAGCCACCCAGGCACCCCAAGTTCATTTATTCTTAAGTAATCTCTATACCCAGTGTGAGGCTTGAACTCAGGACCCCACGATCAAGAGTCCCTTGCTCCTCCAACTGAGCCAGCCAGAGGTCCCTATGAATTTTTTGTGATTAGTTTGATAGAGATACTGGGAACACATTCTAGGACTTCTCTTTGTTAACTCATGCAATCTTTACAACATTGCTAAGAGGTAGGAGCTATTATCTCAGTTTTATAGATAAGAAGACTGAGATTTATAACTTTACCAAGGTCACAGAGTAAGTTGCAGAGCTGGGACATGACCCCTTTCCTGTCAGCTGGACTCCAAAGTATGGGTTCTTAAGAAACCAGCCAAATCACCTCTGAGTATGTGGGCTGCCTCCCCACACAGGCAACAGGACTTGGAGGTGGGCTAATGTCGTTTGGGGATAGCTGGCTGGTTTCATCTGTCTTCTCTGTTTCAGGGAAGCTTGTGGGCTGCGCCATCATCCATGTCAATGGAGACAGCCCAGAGGAAGTGGTCCGTGCCACACAGCTGGCTTTTGAATACCAGCGCCATTTCCGGAAGGATGTGATTATTGATTTGTTATGCTACAGGCAGTGGGGCCACAACGAGCTTGACGAGCCCTTCTTCACCAACCCAGTCATGTACAAAATCATCAGGTACAATTTTAAACCTCCTTTGAAGATCCCCTCGTCCCCATAGTGCTCACATTAGTTTTACTATTTTTATTAGACACTCTGAGGTAGGGTGACCAACTCCCTGGGTTGCCGGGTACACAGAACTTCCAGTGCTAAAACTGGGACAGTCCTGAGCAAACTGGGATGGTCACCCTATGGGTCCCAGGAAAGCTCCCCATATTCTTCAACCTCTACTCGTTTGCTCATGGAATAAACAAAGGCAATTTACCAACCCCACTTGGCAGATGGGAAACTGAAGTAGGAGGACTTGGGCAGAGCCTGTAGCCTGAAGCTACTTAGTATACCATCGACAGGACCAGAAGCAGATCCTCCATGATTCACTTGGTGCCTCGGCAAGAGGTAATATGATGGATTATAAGGAATCTTGAGAACCATGCCATCCAATATGGAGGCCACTACCATACGTGGCTACTGAACACTTGAAATGTGGCCAGTCCTGCTGGAGAGGGGCTGTAAGTGGAATATACACACCAGATTCCAAAGACTTCATCTGACAAGAAAAATGTAAACTATCTCAATAGTTATTTTTATGTTGATAAAGCATTGACGTGACCATATTCTGCATATATTGGGTTAAATAAATATGTTACTAAAATTAATTCCACCTATTTTTTTTAAGCTTTTTCTAATGTGACCACTAAGAAATTTTTAATTACACATTGGCTCATACTACATTTCTGCTGGACAGCACTGGGATAGAAGAGTAATGTGACAGAGAGGAATGTGTTATTTGGAATTTTATTTTTTTTGATATTAGAGAGTACAACAGAGCCCCTTCCCCACCTTATTTCTTCATAGGTATAAAGGAAAGCAGAGGAATAAATTGAGTGACATTTTACAGGTCTTTCTGGTCATAGGTAGCAGACTGCTCTTGGAAGAACAAGTCTGGGTTCTCTGTTTAGCTTTGAATTTAGATGCTGAGTGGCTTGGTGTGGCTTAGGGCCCCATTAAAAAAAATCTATCTGGTCTACCTCTCACTTTTGTCAGGACTAAATACGATAAAGTATGTGAGCAAACTTTGTAGTTTAAAGTATTACGTGAACATAGAGTGGCATTATTACTGTTGTAAAACTGAGATACTGATTATTATAGTTACTGGATTATTAAAGCCACCGGAAACAGATGTTGGTGACGTTGAGTTCAATACTTTTTGAAATAAAGGGGTAGACAATGTAGATCAGTCTTATAAGTAACTGTCCAGAATGTACCAATTCATAGAGAAACTCTACTAATTATTTCTACCTTGATGTAGCTGAAAGCTTATAAAGAGGAATTTGTTTTTTTCTTGCTTACTTGCAAGAGGTTGTTACTCACCATTGCCTTAAACAAAAAATAAGGTATTGGAGTGAAAGTTACATAAAATGGATCATTTTAAAATGAACAATTCAGAGGCATCTAGTACACTCAACAATTTGTGCAACCACCCCCGCTGTCTAGTTCCAGAACGTGCCCTGTGTGCCTTCTTATGGTGATGATGCCCTGTGATATCTTTGACAATGACTGTGTCTGTCAGTCTTCAATTGTTGCAAATCAGATGGACTTTTCTCCCCTGTTTCCTGGACAGAGCCCGAAAGAGCATCCCGGACACCTATGCAGAACACCTGATTGCCAGTGGACTCATGACCCAGGAAGAGGTGTCGGAAATCAAATCCTCCTACTACTCGAAGTTAAATAACCATTTAACCAACATGGCACACTATAGCCCCCTGGCCACCAACCTGCAGGCCCACTGGCAGGGCCTGGTCCAGCCGCCAGCCTGCATTAGCACCTGGGACACGGGTGTGCCCCTCGACCTCCTGCGGTTTATTGGTGGGAAGTCTGTGGAGGTGCCAGAGGACCTCCAGATGCACAGTCACCTTCTGAAGATGTACGTTCAGGTAGGGAGCCTTACGATTTCCAGTGACTGTCTCGTGCAGCAAAGAAATCGGCACTGATCTGGTCTTTTCGGTTGGCTAACGAATTTGAGAGTTACTGATTGTGGGTCGCCAGGTTCTGGGAGCCGATCCTGGTGATGTTTTGGTACTGATAGTCACTGAACTCCGATTTGTCCCCTTCTCCTTTTTTCTTTCTTCTTCCCTTCCTACACACACATGGTTTGGTACTGAGAGTCATTGCAGATTTGGTCTACTTCTCATTTCCTCCATTTATTTATTTATTCATACATGTTTAGTACATCATATGCATGTGGACTGCGTGCCCATTATCATAGATATGGCGGCACAGGAATGCCTGTTTTGATTTTTCTGACCAGTGAGCAGAAAACACTTTCATTTGGGGGGTAGCTTAAATAAAAATGAATAAAAGTCAACACGCATACCCCAAAGGCGACTGTTTAGACCCTTACGCAGGTCTCAGTTTTACATATTGTCTCAGGTTAAATACAGATTGAAGTCTTGGTTTGCCTGCGCCTTGGAGTTTCCTAGAACGTGGGACTCTCCATGCTGAAAGTGGGGGAGCAAGGAGCCAAAGGCCTTCGCCTTTCTTAAACTTGAATGGAGGCACTGTCCTCTGGATGATTTTTGTAATCCTAACTTCCTTTTAAGTTACTATTGTCTGTAAAGAGACTTTATTTTTTAAGATTTATTTATTTGAGGTGAGAGGGGAGGGGAAGAGGGAGAGAATGTTCAAGCAGACTCCCGCTGAGCAGGGAGCCCCTCGAGGGGCTCGATCTCATGACCCATGAGATCATAGCCTGAGCCAAATCCAAAAGTTGGATGCTTAACCGACTGAGCCACCCAGGCGCCCCAGGCATAGAGACTCTTAAAACAATCTATGTACTTACCATCCAGCTGAAGAAGTAGAATATTAGACATAGTTTCCCTCGTGCCCTCCCTGGCACCATCTCCTCTCCTTCATGCACAGGTTAACCACTAACCCAAGCGCCTGCTTGTTTTGCCTGGTTGAAAACCTAGAAGTGCTATCATCCTCTTACGTTTCCTTCTGCACTTACTCTTTTACTTAACATTGTGCTTTTGATACTTACTGTTGTTGCATTACATTTTTTGGACTCAGTGTGAAAAAGGGGATAGACTCTTAAAAGTGTCTTTTTTTTTTTCCTCCCCTTCCATTTTTTGCAGTCCAGACTGGAGAAAGTGATGGATGGAACAAAGTTAGACTGGGCCACGGCAGAAGCTCTTGCCTTGGGCTCATTACTTGCTCAGGGTAAGAAGTTTCTGGTTAGCTGCACAGCTGGTAGGGAGTGCTTTGTATGACATTTGTTATATGTGACCCCTGAGGTTTTGAATTAGAACTATCTCCTGTCATTTTCATCGACTAGAGAGGTTCTAAACTTTTCGACAATATAATTTGATCTTAGTATAAGTCATGTTGGTAACCTTCATCAGAGAATAAATGGCAGAACGTTTCTTGCTGGGAAACCAAAGGGCTCTGTGCTGGATGAGTTGGAAAGATATTTTCCTCTAAAGATTGTAGAGTGGATGATGACTCTCCACTCTTGTATATTCTCACCTTACACAGACTTTTGAATATAGGAGAGGTTTATTTTAATAAGGATAATCTCTGCTAAGGAAAATTTTCAGGATGAGCTGATGTGTAAGAATTCAGAGTCACCATGCCTTGTTAATACTTAAGTTATTCATGGGAATCTGGATTTTTCTTTTTTCCTACCTGTTTGCTTAAGGTTTTGATGTGCGTCTGAGTGGGCAAGATGTTGGCCGTGGAACTTTTAGTCAGAGGCACGCAATGGTTGTTTGCCAGAAGACCGATGACACCTATATCCCTCTGAACCATATGGACCCTAATCAGAAGGGGTTTCTAGAGGTAGAATGTCTTTTTAATTTATTGTAAAACCCAGGTGCCAATAATTATAGTTACAGGATTCTTAAAGCAACTAGAAGCAGATGTTAGCAACTTTGAGTTCAATTTTTTTTTAAATTAGTATAATTAACATGGTGTTATATTAGTTTCAGATATACAATATAGTGATTCAACATTTCCATACATCACCTGGTACTCATCTAGATAAGTGTACTTTTAATCCCTTCATGTATTTCACCCATCCCCCCATCCCTCCCTCCCTCCATCCCCCCATCTACCTAACCACCTCCCCTCTGGTCATGACCAGTTTGTTCTCTGAGTCTGGTTTGTTGTCTCTTTTTCTTTTCATTCATTTTGTTCATTTCTTAAATTCCATACATGAGTGAAGTCATATGGTATTTATCTTTTTCTGACTGACTTATTTCACCTAGCGTTATACCACCTAGATATTACTCAGCCATAAAAAAAAATGAAATCTTGCCATTAGCAACATGGGTTCAATCCTTTTTGAAATAAAGGGTGCTGAATGGGTGGAGAATGGAGGTCTATACACTTGGGATGGAAGGAGCATACTAGTGAGTAGACTAGAGCTGTTACTCCATCTACTTATCTGTAGACTTGTAAATGTCAAAAGGATGTTCATTTTGTCAATCCAGAAGTGACGTTGTAATCTGTGTGTTGCTGAATTCATTAAAGGAAGCCAAAGATGTGGATAATAAGTCAACATTTCTTGCCTATTAAAAAAAAATAAAAAAACCCTAGAGCACTTGGTTGGCTTAGTCAGTAGAGCGTGAAACTCTTGATCTTTGGGTCATGGGTTCAAGCACCATAGTGGGCACAGAGCTTATTTTTTAAAAAATGCCCAGCTTTCTCAAGGTTACCTTATTTTCTAAAGTTTAGTGGGCTTGACAAATATATCTATTACCATATACTTCTATGTGCTAGTCACTGAGCTCTAGTCATTAGAGTCAAAGGCAGGGGCTGGGTCTTTTCATTTTTATCTCTCTAATAGCTAGCATAGTGCTGGGCACATGATGTTTGTTAAATTAACCTTCAAGGTATGCTTAGTGTCATGTAATCTTTCTTCCTATTCTAGTCATTTGTTTGAGTATAATCTTGAGTTTACTGATACTCAATATTTAAAAAAATTAGCTTGTCAAAAGCAAGATTCCAGAACAATTACTTAAAAGGACATGAAGCTCATCTTTTCTTTGCATTAGTCTGAAATCTACCCCTCATCAAGTCAGATTGGGGATCTAGATACTGAAATGTGAAGTATACTGCCACCCCCATGTCCTTCTCTGAATTGTGACTTGATACATAGTATCAGTTCATTTTGACTATTACTATTTAGAAAGCCCCAAGTAAATGCCTTGCATCTATTAAGAGGATGCTGTCAAAGATTTCATTAATTGTCTAATAGCATGTCCTTTATATGAAGACCCTGGGAGGAACTCCTTGCTCGTGGTCCTGAGAGTGGTTGCAGCTCACTGAGCAGTGGTTTGTCTTGTATATGCACCGTGAGTTCTGCAACCGTGTGGCATTCCCCAGTCAGCACTGGCTCCCAGGAAGGGGTGAAGGCCATGGTACCCTTGGTGTCTGTAGACAGGTTTCTACAAAAGACAACCAGGTTGTCTGTCCCCTCTGTTCTGTGTCTCAATCTTTATCTTTTTTCTCTCTACTTACATTTACATTATCACATTGTATATTATGTATATCATGAGCCACCTCAAGTGCATTTCGGAATAAATAAAAGCATTAATAAATCCAAGACATGAAGGTAGATATGCGTATACAAGTTTATAAAGTACATTGTATGTATAGGTGAAGGTGCAGCAAGTCTACTTGGGAAATCAGGAGAAGCTTGGGAGAGGAAGGCAGATTTGAGCTGGGGCTGGTGGGACATGAGGAGTTGCCTAGTCTGATGCATGCAGGGAGGACATTCCAGGTGGGCACAATCGTACACACAAAACCTGTGAAGTGAGAGGACAGGAACTCCAAATAGCTTCATGTGACTGGAGAGTCAGCTGCAAAGTGGGTACAGGGGCAAGGAAGAGGAGCCTGGCCAGACTCCCCACATTGTGAAAGACTTGGAATGTAACGGAAGCTGGAAACCTTGGAGGAATTTTGAACAGGTGATCAGGTTTTTGTATCAGAAAGAGCCCTCCTGATGGTACTTGGGAAGCTGAAGATGGATGAGAATTTTGGACAGTTTCTCTGTCCCAGCTTTACTGAGGTAAGGACAATTTCTAAGGAGGCTTCTCAGTTGTCTAGGCAGAAAATCGCAGGGACCTGAATTAGAGCAGTAGCAGTGCAGACGGAATATGGGGCCAGATTTGAGAAGAGCTATAGGACTTAGTGGTAGATGTAGGGAGTGGAGAAGAAAGACTAGTCTTGCTTATGTCCTGCTTCCTGACTCGGACATTTGCTATATGATGGTGGCATTCACCGAAATACAGAGTAAAGAGAAGGAACGGGTTTGGTAAGGAAAGATGATGGATTCAGTTTTGGACATTTGCCTTTGAGGTGGCTGAAGAACATGGAAGGTTTTGTCCATTACAGAAAGGCAATTAGATACGTATGTCTGGAGTTAAAGAAGGAATCTAGTCTTGAGATACACGTTTGGACATCATCAGGGTGTAGAAATGTTTGAAACCACAGGGTGGGATTATGTCCCTGGGAGAGAGCAGAACGGGAAGAGGGCCAAGGGATAGGGTCTTCGGAAAAACAGTTTTTAAGGTGCTGGCAGAGGAAAAGTATTTCCCAAAAGAGCATTCGGAAAGGCGGGAGGAGCACTGGGAGTCGCTGTGTCATGAACTGAAGGAGGGAGAAGTCATAGATGAGAAAGAACAGCATGGCCATTGGATTTAGCAACTGGAAGGTCAAGGGTCGACCTCACATAGAGCTGTTTTCATGGAGCGGTGAGAACAGAAGCTGGATTGCACTAGCTTGATGGGTAAACAGGAGTTACAGAACTGGAGACAAGTGGATTAGATAATTCTTCTAGAAGCTTAACTGTGAAAGGAAGCTACAGCTGTAGAGCATGGGTCAGGGGAATGTTTCTCGTTGCATTTTTGAGCTATTGATTTCTATCTGCTGTGAGGGGAAAGCCAGTGAGGAGGGGTTCAGAAAACAGGCATTAGGTGATGAAGCTTGTGAAGAAGCAGAAAGGAAGAATGAATTTAGAACATGGGTGGGTATGTCAGCTTCAGGTAGGAAGACAGATGAGGAGGTGAGGACAGACAGAAGGTGTGGGTTCCAGTCTAAACCCCATTTACAATGCACTCGGGAATCTGAGAAATGTAGCTGTCTTCTAAAATTAATGTAACATACAAATTATAACTGAAATCAAAAGAGAAATCAGAAAAGACAAATTATACACAATCCTAACCATGGTAATAAATCATCTATTTTTATTTTTCTATATTGTCACTGAGTAACTTAACCATATAAATCACAAATTTTTATACTTGTAGTCATAGTGGAGATGTAGTTTTTTCACAGAGTTTTTTGTTTGTTTTGTTTTGTTTTTAGAGAGATAGTGTGCACATCTGCCCTCTCAGGGTAAGGGGCAGAGGGAGAGGGACAGAGATAATCTCAAGCAGACTCCCTGTTAGGCGCGGAGCCTGGCCCGGGGCTAGATCTTACGACCCTGAGATCATGACCTGAGCTGAAACCAAGAGTAGGACGCTTAACTGACTGAGCCTCCTAGGCACCTCAAGAGTTTTTTTTATAAATAAAAGATTTATTGAGATACAACTTTTTTTTTTTTTAAAGATTTTATTTATTCATTTGAGACACAGAGATACAGAGAGAGAGAGAGAGCATGAGCAGGGAGAGAGGCAGAGGAAGAGGGAGAAGCAGACTCCCCGCTGAGCAGAGAGCCCGATGCCGCGCTCGATCCCAGGACGCTGGGACCATGACCTGAGCTGAAGGCAGACGCTTAACCATCTGAGCCACCCAGGCACCCCAAGAGATACAACTTTTTGAATTCAGTCTTTCAATGTATACAATTCAGTGGTTTTTAGTATATTCACAGAGTGCTGCAAATATCACCACTATCTAGTCTCGGAACATTTTCATCACCCCCAGAAAGAAATCCCATACCCAGGAGGAGTCTCCCCATGCCTTCCTCCACTCTGCCGCTGACAACCGTTAATCTACTTTCTCTTTCTATTGATTTGCCTATTTTGGACTTTTCGTACAGACAGAATCGTATAAATAAGCAGCCTTTTGTGACTGGCTTCTTTCTCTTAGCATCATGTTTTCAGGGCTCATCCAAGTGGCACCTGTCACTACCTCATTCCTTTTTATTGCCAGCTAATATTCTATAAATACATGACTTACAAATATCTTTTAGAAACATTTTGAAACAAAGATGAAATTATAAAAAAAGTTCGATGTACAATACAAAAGGAACTCTTTCTCCTTCTGAAACATTTGAGACACCAAGTTGGAAATACCAGGTTGCTCACCTCCTGCCCTGAATGCATGTTTCCGCAAACAAGGACCTTTTCCTCCACCACGCAGTACAACCATCCACGTCAGGAAATGAACCTTGAAATGTGACTACCATCTCATCCTCCAACCCCATTCAGAATCATGTTGTGTTTATTTCTATTTATTTTTTATTTTATCTTTGTTTTAAAGATTTTATTTATTTATTTGACAGAGAGAGACACAGTGAGAGAGGGAACACGAGCAGGGGGAATGGGAGAGGGCAGCAGGCTTCCCTCTGAGCAAGAAGCCCGATGCAGGGCTCGATCCCAGGACCCTGGGATCACGACCCGAGCCGAAGGCAGACATTTAATGACTGAGCCACCCAGGCACCCCTCTTTTTTTTTTTTTTTTGATTGAAGTAGAGTGATGCACAATGTTGTCTTAGTTTCAGGTGTACAACACCATGATGTGCTCACAAGTCTAGCTACCATCTGTCACCTTACGCTGTTCCACTACCATTGACAATATTCCCTGTGCTGTACCTTTCACCCCGTGACTTATTCATTCCATCACTGGAAGCCTGGACTTCCCAGTCTCTCTTCCATCCACTTTGCCCATCCCCCCCCTCCCCTGGCGATCACCAATTCGTTCTCTGTATTTATGGGTCTGTTTCTGCTTTTGTTTGTTTTTTCGTTTCTCTTGTTTTTTTTTAGATTTCACATACAAATGAAATCATATGGTATTTGTCTTTCTCTGTGTGACTTATTTCACTTAGCATGGTACCCTTAGATCCACTCATGTTATCCTCTGACTGAGTAGAATTGTGTTGCATTTAATTGTCCTGTCTTTTTTGCCTCCTCAGAGATCTAATTTTATGTTCTGATTTTCTTTTTTATCTTAACATGTTGTGATGGTTCTTTTGCTTTATTGTGCAGCTAGGATATTAGAATAGTGGATTCTAACCAAAGGTAGGCTTACTTTTGGTAACTTCCCCCGACTTTGTTTTGTGATACATTTTTTTAAAGCTTGTATGACACAGTTTTACTCTCAGCAATAAAGATAGGTTATCTGAGAAGTTAATTTTGTTTATCATTTAAAAAATTTTTAAATAACTTTTTATTTTTTATTTTTTTAAGTAGACCCCAACATGGGGCTTGAACTCACAACCCTGAACTCAAGACCCAAGCTGAGATCAAGAGTTGGATGCTTAACCAACTGAGCCACCCAGGCACCCCTAATTTTGCTTATCTTTAAAGAAAATCATTAATGCCCATATTCCATTCTTTCCCCTCCTTCTCTCTTTGTGCCAACGTTCCCCAAATGTGTCATTCACAGAGAGCAGATCTCCTTTCTCAAAGAAACGCGGAGATGAATGGAAAGAAAGCTCCCCTCTGTGCCCCTCCTCCCTTTTGAGAGGTTTGTGATGCTTTACTGATTCTTGTCTCACCTTTCCTTGCATGACAGTGTTTCTGTTCTCTTCCTTTGCATCAGGTCAGCAACAGCCCGTTGTCAGAAGAAGCTGTCCTGGGGTTTGAATATGGAATGAGCATTGAAAGCCCCAAGTTACTGCCCCTCTGGGAGGCTCAGTTTGGTGATTTCTTCAATGGTGCTCAGATCATTTTTGACACGTTCATCTCTGGAGGTTGGTGTTGGCATGTGCATGTGGGGCACAGCCTTAGCCCCTTGGGGACAAATGAATGGACAGGGCCATAGCTGCTTATGAGATGCTGTAGCACAGCCCCTCAGGAGAGTTGGGGGGCTGCCCTGCCATCTTTTGGGGCCTGGCAGCTATGGGATGGTTATGAACGCTGCCAGAGGGCTGGGGGCCACTCTGACTGTAGGCAGCACCTTCTCCAGGGGAGTGTGCTTGGCTGTAGGGAGCAGGGCATGTACCCACCAGCTCCTAGGCAATGGACTTCCGGGTCTGCGCTTGGGGCATGTTGAGCAGCTGTGACATGAATACCAAGCAGGCAATGGAGACATTAGTGAGGATTTGTGGTCAGCGAATGGCGGCCTTGAAAATCCACTTCCCTCAACCCAGGGATATTCAAGTATCTGAAAACTGGTAGTTGTGCATCTTTATTGTTTTTAATCATCATTTACAAAAGCAGAACCTGCTTATTGTAAAATTCAAAGGTACGTAGTAAAGTACAAGTGTGAGTCCCTGTCACCCCATTCTCTGGGGGAACCACGATTGGAATTTGTACACTTCAGGCCTCCCTTTGCTGTGTTTCTCTGTAACCTTGTACTTGTAAGGAAGGAAAAGTGCCAGGATGCCTGGGTGGCTCAGTCGGTTAAGTGTCTGCCTTCAGCCCAGGTCATGATCTCAGGGTCCTGGGATCGAGTCCTGCATTGGGCTCCCTGCTCAGTGGGGAGCCTGCTTCTCCTTCTGCCTGCCGCTCTCCCTGCTTGTGCTCTCTCTCTCACACTTGCCCTTTCTGACAAATAAATAAATAAGAACTTAAAAAAAAAAAAAGGGAAGAAAAGTGCCTTGAGGAGACTGGGCTTTGACATGTCTCCAGAGGCCGTCCTCAAGTGCCTGCTCCCTCAGGCTGAGGACGGTGACCTATGTTGTAAGTGGTGCCATGAGGAAAGGCAAGAGCCACCTGGAATCAGAGATACATGCTGTCCTTGAAACTGGGACATTCCCCTTTTAATTTGTCTTCATCTGCTAAAGCCCGTTCAGTGAACATGTCCTATTGGGTTTCAGCCAGTAGGGTGGATATTTTCCTCTGAAGCATGTAACGCTGCTGGAAAGTGCATGGAATGGAAATGATTTTAGGGGATCAGACAGCAAACTCAATTTGTTTCACTACCCAAGTCACATCAGGCTGTTCTGTTCCTGCTTCAGAGAGTTCTTACTCCCTGTCACATGGTTTTCCAGGGGAGGCCAAGTGGCTCCTACAGAGCGGCATCGTTATTCTCCTTCCCCACGGGTACGACGGGGCTGGACCCGACCACTCCTCTTGCCGCATAGAGCGGTTCCTGCAGGTATGTCCCATGCCTTCTGGATTCCAAGAAATGCTTCCTGCTTCCGAGGTGCTTTGAAATAGAGCTACTTCCTGTAGACACTTCATGCACACCTCAAACTGTAAGACCTTGGAGTATTTGAGACACAGATTTAATGCAACGTCAATATTCCTTATCAACGTGATATCTGGGTACACCAGCGTCATGGTTTTATGGCCATTAACGTGGTTCTTGTATGGCAAAGGTCGGGGTTCCCAAACCAGGCTGATCGTCAGAATCACCTGTGGAGCTTTTTGTAAATAGAGATACAGGGACCAACACCAGATCAGATTCTTCGGGGTGGGGCCTAGGAATCTGTATTTTTACCTAAAATTTTTTTCAAGTAGTGATAGTATTTTTATAAAATGATTCATGATCATTAAAAAAAAAACTTAAGTAACCACCCAGAAATATCCACAGTTATTCGTTGGTAAGGATCATTAACCTACGTCTTTTTATGCATATGGCTTTCCAATATTTTATTATTAAAATTTTCAAACATACAGAAAAGTTGTAAGATTTTCCAGTGAACATTCATATGCCAACCCCTTAGATTCTACCATTAATATTTTATTATACTATACTTGTTTTATCACATCTACTCATTATCATCCTTCTATCTATAAACCTGTAGTATCTTCTGATGTATTTCAGAGTAAATGGAAATACCTGTACACATCACCTTAGTATGTGAATATCATTAGTGATTTTGGCATATGTGCAGATAAAACATACAACTAAACGACAGATCAGTAGAAAGGTAGATAGAACAGTAGATAGACAGATGGACAGTTATATTGATAGGTAAAAATACAGAAAAATGATTTTATAAAAATTAGAATACAGAAATAAATTGCAGGCAAATTAAAGACTATGTGTGATGCAAACACAAAACTACAGTTTGGGGAAGAAATACAGGATCCATACATATCTATGTAGAAGATGCGGTTTGGGAGTTATCAGTATACAGATGTCTTTCCCTTAGGACAGCCCAGGTCATTATGATTGAATGCGATAACCTGAACATTTGCTCCTTTCTTCCATTTCTCCCTCAGATGTGTGACAGCGTCGAAGAGGGGGTAGATGGAGACACAGTGAACATGTTCGTGGTGCACCCGACTACTCCTGCACAGTATTTCCACTTGCTCAGGAGACAGATGGTCCGGAACTTCCGAAAACCCCTCATCGTTGCTTCTCCGAAGATGTTACTCAGGTTCCCTGTAAGTAGAAAAAGCTAGTTAGGAAGCTTTTCTCCTTTTGTCATTTTTAAAAATTTTTATTTAGGGGCGCCTGCGTGGCTCAGTCGTTGAGCATCTGCCTTTGGCTCAGGTCATGATCCCAGGGTCCTGGGATCGAGCCCTGCATTAGGCTCCCTGCTCAGCAGGAAGCCTGCTTCTCCCTCTCCCCCTCCCCCTGCTTGTGTTCCCTCTCTTGCTGTGTCTCTCTCTGTCAAATAAATAAATAAAATCTTTAAAAAAAATAAAAAACAAAAATAAATAAAAATTTTTATTTAAATTCAAGTTTGTTAACATATGATGCATTATTAGTTTCAGGGGTAGAATTCAGTGACTCATCAGTTGCATAGAACACCCAGTGCTCATCACATCACGTGCCTTCCTTAATGCCCATCACCCAGTTACCCCATCTCCCCACCCCCCTCCCCTCCAGCAACCCTCAGTTTGTTTCCTGCAGTTAAGAGTCTCTTATGGTTGGTTTCTCTCTCTTATTTTCATCTTATTTTATTTTTCCTTCCTGTCCCCTATGTTCATCTGTTTTGTTTCTTAAATTCCACATATGAGTGAAATCATATGGTATTTGTCTTTCTCTGACTGACTTATTTCACTTATCATAATACCCTCTAGTTCTATCCACATTGTTGCAAATGGCAAGATTTCATTCTTTTTGATGGCTGAGTAACATTCCATTGTATATATATACCACATCATCTTTATCCATTCATCCGTTGATGGACACCTGGGCTCTTTCCATAGTTTGGCTACTGTGGACATTGCTGCTATAAACATTGGGGTGCAGGTGCCCCTTTGAGTCACTATTTTTGTATCCTTTCGATTAATACCTAGTGCTGTTGCTGGGTCATAGGGTAGCTCTATTTTTATTTTTATTTATTTATTTATTTATTTTTAAAGATTTTATTTATTTATTTGAGAGAGAGGATGAGAGAAGAGAGAGAGAGCACATGAGAGCGGGGAGGGTCAGAGGGAGAAGCGGATGCGGAATTCGATCCCGGGACTCCAGGATCATGACCTGAGCCGAAGGCAGTTGCTTAACCAACTGAGCCACCCAGGCACCCGGGTAGCTCTATTTTTAACTTTTTGAGGAAACTGTTTCCCAGAGTGGCTGCACCAGCCTTGCATTCCTACAAACAGTTTAAGAAGGTTCTCCTTTCTCTGCATCCTCTCCAACATTTGCTGTTTCCTGAGTGGTTAATTTTAGCCATTCTGTCCAGTGTGAGGTAGTATCTCACTGTGGTTTTGATTTGTGTTTCCCTGATGATGAGTAACATTGAGCACTTCTTCATGTGTCTGTTGGCCATCTGTGTGTCTTGTTTGGAGAAATGTCTGTTCATGTCTTCTGCCCATTTCTTGACTGGATTTTTTGCTTTTGGGTATTGTGTTTGATGAGTTCTTTATAGATTTTGGATACTAGCCCTTTGTCTGATAGTCGCTTGCAAGTATCCCCATTCCCTAGGCTGCCTTTTAGTTTTGTTGATTGTTTCCTTTGTTGTGTAGAAGCTTTTTATCTTGATAAGTCCAAATAATTATTATTATTTATTTTTGTTTGTTTCCCTTGCCTCTGGAGAGGTATCTAGTAGGAATTTGCTGCAGCTGAGGTCAGAGAGGTTGCTGCCTATGTTCTCCTGTAGGATTTTGATGGATTTCTGCCTCACATTTAGGTCTTTCATCTATTTTAAATTTATTTTTGTGTATGGTGTAACAAAGTGGTCCAGTTTCATTCTTCTGAGTGTTGCTGTCCAATTTTCCCAACACCATTTGTTGAAGAGACTATCTTTTTTCCATTGGATATTCTTTTTCTTTTCTTTTTTTTTTTTTAAAGATTTTATTTGTCAGAGAGAGAAAGCACAAGCAGGGGGAGTGGCAGAGGGAGAAGCAGGCTCTCCGATGAGCAAGGAGTCTGATGTGGGACTCGATCCCAGGACCCTGGGATCATGACCTGAGCCGAAGTCAAACGTTTAACCGACTGAGCCACCCAGGCGTCCCGTCCATTGGATATTCTTTCCTGCTTTGTCCAAGATTGTTTGACCATATAGTTGAGGGTCCATTTCTGGGTTCTCTATTCTGTTCTATTGATCTCTGTCTCTGTTTTTGTGTCAGTACCATACTGTCTTGATGATATAGCTTCATAGTACAGCTTGAAGTCCGGAATTGTGATGCCTCCAGCTTTGGTTCTTTTTCAACATTACTTTGGCTATTCGGGGTCTTTTCTGGTTCTATACAGATTTTAGAATTGTTTGTTCCAGCTCTGTGAAAAGTGCTGGTGGTATTTTGATAGGAATTGCACTGAATGTGTAAATTGCTATGGGTAGGATAGACATTTTTAAAAAATATTTTATTTATTTATATCAGACACACAGAGAGGGAGAGAGAAAGAGCATGAACTGGGGTAGGGGAGGGGCAGAAGGAGAAGCAGACTCCCTGCTGAGCAGGGAGCCCAATCTGGGGCTTGATCTCAGGACCCTGGGATCATGACCTGAGCCAAAGGCAGGGGATTAACTGAGCCACCTAGGCACCCCAGGTAGTGTAGACATTTTAACAATATTTCTTCCTCTAATCCATGAGCATGGGATGTTTTTCCATTTCTTTGTGTCTTTCTCAATTTCTTTCAGAAGTGTTCTATGGTTTTCAGAGTACAGATCTTTTACCTCTTTGGTTAGATTTATTCCTAGGTATCTTATGGTTTTTGGTGCAATTGTAAATGGGACTGATTCCTTGATTTCTCTTTCTGCTGCTTCATTATTAGTATATAGAAATGCAACAGACTTCTGTGCATTGATTTTATATACTGCGACTTTGCTGAATTCCCGTATCAGTTCTAGCAATTTTTTGGTGGAGTCTTCTGGGTTTTCTACATAGAGTATCATGTCATCTGTGAAGAGTGAGAGTTTGACTTCTTCTTTGCCAATTCAGATGCCTTTTATTTCATTTTGTTGTCTGATTGCTGAGGCTAGGGCTTGCAGTACTATGTTGAACAACAGTGGTGAGAGTGGACATCCCTGTTGTGTTCCTGACCTTAGGGGAAAAGGTCTCAGGTTTTCCCCATTGAGAATGATATTTGCTGTGGGTCTTCCAACATGGCCTTTATGATGTTGGTGTGTTCCCTCTATTCCTACTTTGTCGAGGGTTTTTATTAAGAAAGGATGCTGTATTTTGCCAAATGCTTTTTCTGCGTCTATTAAGAGGATTGTATGGTTCTTATCCTTTCTTTTATTAAGGTAGTATATTAGGTTGGTTGATTTGCAGATATTGAACCACCCCTGCAGCCCAGGAATAAATCCCACCTGATCGTGGTAAATAATCCTTTTAATGTACAGTTGGATCCAATTAGCTAGTATCTTGTTGAGAATTTTTGCCTCCATGTTCATCAGGGATATTGGTCTGTAATGTCCTTTTGTCATTTTTGTACATACTTTCCTCTCTTTCCTGTGTCTAATTTTATTTATTTATTTAAATTTTATTGGCTTTTTAAATTTAAATTTTAATTCCAGTTAACATACAATGTTACATGATTTCAGGTGTACAATATGGTGATTGAGCACTTCCATACATCACTCGGTGCTCATCTGAGATGTGCACTCCTTAATCCCCATCACCTGTTTCACCTATCCCCCCCCCAACCTCCCCTTGTGTCTAATTATATTTAAACAGAAATATCCTTTTAGTTTTAATTGGCCTCACTGCTTTCTCTCTTTTAAAAAAAAATCTTTCCGGAATAACTTGTATATAGGGAGCACTCAGTCTCACTGTGAGCAGAAATAATTTTTTAGAAAAAGTTTTAAAGTGCAAATAGTGGAAGCATCAATATCCTTCCCTTATTTGTGGGGAATACATTCTAAGACTCCCATTGGATGCCTGAGGTCGCAGATAGTACTAAACCCTGCATTCACCATGTCTTTTCCTATACATACATACCTATAATAAAGTTTAATTTCTTAATTGGGCACAGTAAGAGCTTAACAAGAACTAATAATAAAATATAACAATCATGACAATATATTGTAATAGAGGTTATGTGAATATGGTCTTTTTTAAAAATACCTTGTTGTGCTCACCCTTCTTCTTGTGATGGAGCGAGATGATAAAATGCCTATGCGATGAGATGAAGTAGGTGAATGATGTAGGCATTGTGACATAGCGTGAGGCTACTAGTGACCTTCTGACCATATGTCAGGAGGAAGATCATCTGTTTCTGGACCTAGGTTGACTGTGGGTAACACAAACTGTTGAAAGCAAAACCAGAGAAAACCAGATCTAATGTACTATATTGACAGTAGCAGGTTGGGAATTTTAAGTATTTTGATGAAAACCAGGGTGATATTCATTGGCTTTTACTGAGGTTTTTTTGTTAAATGATTTACCTGTGGGTAGACTCCTGTTTCAAACATTATGACAATATAGCTTATTGCTGTAACATTTAAAAGGGTATGTATTTTCTCTCTCTCCTGCTCTCTCTCAAATAAATAAATATATTTTTTAAAAAGGTACATTTTATCTTGGTTCACCTGAACTAAGTGTTAAGCACACAGTATGTTTTTTATTTTATTTTTATTTTTATTTTTTTGAGAGTGGGGGAGAGAGAGCGCGAGAGAGTGAGGATGCACATGCGAGCAGGAGGGGGAAGAGCAGAGGGAAAGGAAGAGAGAGAATCCTAAGCAGGCTCCACACTCAGCGCAGAGACAGACATGGGGCTCGATCTCACCACCCTGAGATCATGACCTGAGCCGAAATCAAGAGTCGGACGCTTAACCAACTGAGCCACCCAAGCGCCCCACAATATGTTTTTTAAAATCACAAAAATACGCAGAGTTCAAGATAATAAATATCACTAAGCATATATTTTCCCATTGGCAAGAATTTTTTCCAGTTTTATATGAGAGTCTTAATTAGGATTAACATTCAAAAAACCTTTGCACTTATTTGGATGCTAGGCAAATGAGGTGAAATAAGTCATTCAGGATTTGGCTCTTCAAGACTTCCTTGTGCTTCTCACCAAGGTTTGAGAATGTATATTTGGAATCAAGGGGTGTTGAAAGCGGTGAGTGCGTTGCGTCCACCGGCGGTCAGCACCTGCCTGAGCCCAGAGTGGGTGCCTCCTTAAATCCTGCCCTCCGTGCTTCTCCCCTGCCTCTCCCTGCTGCCGACTCTGGGAGCCCGTACTGGGGCAAGGCACTGCCCGTTCTCTCACCCATGGCAGGGTTCACGGGTTTGATCTCCTCATTCTCACTTGCTCCACCGACTGTTCCTCGAACCCACCATGCACATTTTGAGATGGCCTCGGGGGTCCAGTAGCATCACAGGACATTCAGGAAAAATTAATGCAATCCCGTTAACACAGTCTTTCTGATGGGGCTCTTTTGACAGAGATATTTTGAAACTGCAGTGTGAAAGGGGCTAAGTCATAATGCAAATTACTATCATTTATTTCTAAGAAATATGTACGTTTGGGATTCTTGACCCAACTTTCATTGTACCCCTAAGGGTGTCACCTGCTCCCTCAATCGTTACTATAAAGGAGTATAATCATATTAAATGTAATATATATATGTATAACTAAGTACTGAGTGAACAATTGGAAATTTTATTGAGAATTTTTTTGCTGTTTCTAATGAGAATAAGAGTTCACATTCTGGCCCCAATAGTCCACTCCTCTCCCCATGTCTAATATATATAAAATACCAAATAAGTGAGGCCTTGCTTTGGAACCTTAAAAATATCAAAAGCTGGGGTACCTGGGTGGCTCTGACGGGTAAATGTACGACTCTAGATTTTGGCTCAGGTCATGATCTCAGGATCGTCAGATGAAGCCCCGCATCAGGCTCCGCACTGAGCATGGAGCTTAAGATTCTCCCCTCCTGTCCCCCCCAAAAAATAACAACAGCTATCCTATAGATTTTCAAGTGAAAAACTACTCTTATTAAGTAGCTGACTGTCTTCATTAAACATGTAAGTCCTTTTATTAACTGTGAGTACCACCATTATTGAAGTCTGATTTCTTACTGAAAATTAGATTATTGGTACAAGTGATCTAGCAGAACAGAAGTCCACCCTCTCCATGCATATTCAGAGATGGCTTGCCATGTGACAAACATGACTCAGGAGTTTGCCTGACAAGTGGTACCTAAATTCTACCGAAATTTTCCACCCAGCTCTGAACTCCAATTCCCTTTTTTCTTTTTTTCTTCTTAGTAAGCTCTATGCACCCATGTGGGGCTTGAACTCATGGCCCTAAGATCAAGAGTCACTTGCTGCACTGACTGAGCCAGCCAGGCGCCCCTCCAGCTCCCTTTGATTCCTGCCCTAGGAAGTGGGAGCTGACCAAGGGTTCAGGATGGAGAAAGATGGCTTCTATCATTCATTATTTAGCAATAAGAATAAATAAAAAATAAGAATAAAATAAATATATATGATATAAAATAAATATATATCTATATATAATAGATTATTATATATACAATAGATAATATATAAAGTACATATTTTTATTTCATTCTTTTAGTTAATAATTTTTTTAAAAAGATTTTATTTATTCATTTGACAGACAGAGACACAGCGAGAGAGGGGACACAAGCAGGGGGAGTGGGAGAGGGAGAAGCAGGCTTCCCGCAGAGCAGGGAGCCTGATGGGGGGCTCGATCCCAGGACCCTGGGATCATGACCTGAGCTGAAGGCAGACGCTAAACGACTGAGCCACCCAGGTGCCCCTAATATTAATTTTTTAAATTATATCACAGTATCCCACATCAGCATGGCTACCTATCAGTAGACCAGTCAAAATGTATTCCCATTTGGGACTAGACTATAGGGAAATGTATTAGAGTTGTCTATGCTAAGTTCTTTGAGACAAGTACTTACTTAAATTGAGCTCATGAATAAAATTTCTTTTCATCACAGAAATATTCATGTATTGTTCTTGCTTGTTCTGACTTGTTAGGTTTCACTTATAAATTATAGTCAAAATCCTAAAGACAGAAATCCTTGTCCTAGTTTAGCTGTTTTTGTTCACAAATGTCATTTCTGACTCCAACAGATGAAAGCATATTTTTATTGAGACTAAAGTGGGATCAAACTGAAATTTTGATTCTTAAAATTTTGTTGCAGCGTCAGACGAAAGGCAATCTTACGTAATCTTGAAAAAATAATTTTATTCCGAAATACACACAATTGGCATTTTTTTGAAAGATATTGTGTTTATCAGTACATATGTTTACTTACGGTCCTAGGAGGAAAGTTTGATGTTATTTCTTGGTAAAGACCCCTTAAAAGTCAAGCCATCTTCAGCTCCTTCCTTTGGTTGATAGATTTGTGGCTTTTTCCCCCTCCTTAGGCAGCTGTGTCAGCTCTTCAAGAAATGGCACCAGGAACAACATTCAAGCCGGTCATTGGCGATTCATCTGTGGATCCCAAAAAGTAACTTGATGTGTATCTGTTTTCACGCTCTGCAGTAGAATTTTATTTATTTATTTTTTTTAAAGATTTTATTTATTTATTCATGAGAGACAGAGAGAAACAGAGGGAGAAGCAGGCTCCCAAGGAGCGGGAAGCCCGATGCGGGACTCGATCCCAGGACCCTGGGATCATGACCTGAGCTGAAGGCAGACGCTTAACCATCTGAGCCACTCAGGCGCCCTGCAGTAGAATTTTAATTAGTGGGAAACCTACTTCATGCTAAGGAACCCAAAGTGACCCACATCTCCTCTATCCTGATAGAAGTCCTTTGCATCCACGGGGCAGAAGTTAGAGTATGTGTGGAAGATTGAGCTTTGGAGGCATGTGTTGCTGAAGAAGGCTTGTCAGGGCAAAGTATGTTTCTGAACCCAACTGCAGAGCCCCTCCCTGCTTCTGTAATGAAGCGTTTTCATCTACACAGTCTCCTCTTTCTTTTGATACAATTCTTTCAGATATTTCTCCTTCACTCCATTCTACCCAACAGGGTCAAGAGTCTCGTGTTCTGCTGCGGTAAACATTTCTACGCCCTGCTGAAGCAAAGAGAATCCTTGGAGGCCAAAAAGCATGACTTTGCCATCATCCGGTTAGAGGAACTCTGTCCTTTCCCACTGGATTTGTTACAGCAAGAGATGAGCAAATACAAACATGTTAAAGGTACAGCGTTGTTCTTGGTGGGGTTCTTTGGGTTTTAGATACCTGAAACCTGTTCCAACGTCTCATATCAAAAGAGGTTCCAGGGGCAGTGAGGGTCCTTAGGAGACTGAATCTTTTGGAATCTGGAAATATGAAAAAAAAAAAAATCATGCTAGAGCCAATGTTTCCTTGTCTTTTCTGGTGTCCCTTTCTGTGCCCCACCCCCCTTCTCTCACTTTAAGACCTGTCATTTCTTGAGAGGTTGGACGTAACCAGTGTTATACTATTGTCTAGGATAGATCGATGTAACTGTAAAAGGCAAGCCTTTTCAACATGTGGGTACAGACTGCCCTGGGTACAGACATTAACTCAAGATCACAGACCTAAATGTAAAACATAAAACTCTAAAACGTCTGGGAGAAAAAGGAGAAAATCTTCATGACCTTTGGTTAGGCAAAAGATTTGAGCCAAAGAATGGGATGACAAATAACTATATGAAAAGATGCTCAGCATCTTATCCCGTAGTGATAAGGGAAATGCAATTGAAACCAAAATGAGATATGGCTACACACCTATTAGAATGGCTAAAATGAAAACAAAACAATAAGTTGGCGATATCAAGAGCTGATGAGGAAGCAGAGCAGTTGGAAGCCTCCTTCACTGCAGGAGGAAATGGAAAGTGGTACAGCCACTCTGGAAAACAGTCTGTCAGTTCCAACAGAGAGTTGCCAGTCTACTCGAGGTATTTACCCAAGAGAAATGACATGTTCACAGAAAAATGTCTACAGCAGCTTCATTCATAACTGCCCCAAACTGGAAGCCACCAGGATGTCCTTCAACCTGTGGATGAATAAACAAGGATGTAGGGTACATCCTTACAATAGCATACTATTCAACAATAAAAGAGAGTGAACTATGGCTTTGGGACCCCCTTTGGGATTTTGCTAGTTCAAGGGAGCCAGAACCAAAGGCTCCATATCATATAATTCCATTTATCTGACATTCTGGAAAAGGCAAAACTATGGGGAGAGAGAAAACCTCAGTGGTTGCCAGAGGTTGGGGCTGGAGGAAAGTTGCCTTGAAAGGGCCAGGATGAGGGAATTTTGGGGGTCGATAGAATGGTTCTGTATCATGAATGAGGTGCTGGATACATGACTGTCATTTGTCAAAAAAAAAAAAAAAAGCAACACCATGCCATATTGGAAAGTCATATATTTACTTGAAGAGACCTATACATACATATACACTATGTACCTATGTGTGTACATATGGCTATAATGTGTCTGTGTATGTACATATATACTGTATATATATAGTGTGTGTGTATTGTAGGTTTACCTGGAGTACTGAAATGAAATTTCTTCTGCTATAGATTTTATTTGGAGTCAGGAGGAGCCTCAGAACATGGGTCCATGGTGCTTTGTTTCTCCAAGGTTTGAAAAGCAACTGGCCTGCAAGGTAATAGCTTTCTCTCTTATAGTGTTTTGTGTATGTGTGTTATTTCTCCTGGCATGCCAATAAATGGCTTTCTCCCCTAGTAGCCGTCCAATTCTTTTAAAGATAAACTGAACTATAAAATCTAACTTACGCTATTTTTTCGGAATAAAATGCTGAATGTTTATCAAGATATATGTGTGTATGTGCGAGTATCATGTAAGAAAAAGTGATTATACTTAAAGTAAAAGCCCTTACCTGTCAGCTTTCTTTCCCACTAGTCTTGTCCTAAAGGTCACAATCCAAGCCCTGGGGAGCAGGGTGACGAGCAGGCTTGTTTTACAATATGGGAGAAGAGGTGCCCACTAACGCTTCTTTGAGGCTCATGCACAAAGCTCATGCACATAGTCCATCAAAGGCCACATTCTTCCTGATTATACTGTCAGGAGGGAAGAACAATGAGAAGAGCAAATGGGCTTCTGTTTATCTTCCTATTCTGCTTTGATTAGAACGCAGTTCACACATTTGTTACTAGTTTGCTGGATCAAATCATTTTCATTTGTTCTACTTTAGGAAACTCTACTGCTGAAATCAACTAATAGTTACTGAAGAACAGGACAGATTCAAGCATTGATCTCCCCTTATGGTGCCTGGAATTTAGTTTTTAGTTGTGACAAATATCTCCTTCCAGTCTATTCTAGGTAACCCGTTATTTTTCCAGAAAGGTGATTTGTGGTTAAACAAGCTAAGAGAAATGCATGCACTGCCTCGGGAGAATAAAGCAGGGCTCTGATCAGGTCAAAAGGTCATTTTATTTCTTTTCTGCTCTAATCATAGCTCCGTCTTGTGAGCCGACCCCCTCTGTCAGCCCCTGCTGTAGGAATTGGCACCCTTCATCTGCAGCAGCATGAAGATGTCCTCACCAAGACCTTTGCTTGATGGTGTCCTTTGAACCAGCATTACTTCCTTTTAAGAAAACAACCATGAGGGGCGCCTGGGTGGCTCAGTCGGTTAAGCGGCTGCCTTCAGCTCAGGTCATGATCCCGGGGTCCTGGGATCGAGCCCCGCATCGGGCTCCCTGCTCGGTGGAGAGCCTGGTTCTCCCTCCCCCTCTGTCTGCCGCTCTGCCTACTTGTGCTCTCTGTCTATCTCTGTTAAATAAATAAATAAAAATCTTTAAAAAAAAAAAAAGAAAAAAGAAAACAACCATGAAAAGAAAAGCCGGCTCCTCTACTGTCTTCTTCTGTTAGGTGACATGAAAAGTCTGTGTTCCTCGTTGGGATTGATGAGGACAGTTTAATCGGAATACGCAGAATAGCCAAGGGAATTATCCATCAATCCATGAATCTGACGAGTCACCTTTATCTTTAAACGTACAACAGTGTTGGGACGCCTGGGTGGCTCAGATGGTTAAGCGTCTGCCTTTGGCTCAGGTCACGATCCCAGGGTCCTGGGATCGAGTCCCGCATCGGGCTCCCTGCTAGGCAGGGAGTCTGCTTCTCCCTCTGCCGCTGCCTCTCTCTATCTCTCTCTCTGACTCTCATGAATAAATAAATAAAACAAACAAAAAAAGAAAAAAAAAACAAACAAAAAAACGTACAACAGTGTTAAGTTTTGCTTAGATCTGAGTGAGTTGGAGAGCTAGTGCCTTATCCAGACTTCGTCGGACTACATTTTCTCATTAACTATATGTGCCCAGGAAAGATTCTTTAGTTTGAATTTACAGAACTTACAGAACTTACATACAGATCACCTCGACATTACTTCTCAATTTGCCTGATGCATGTCATTTTCATTAATTTTGCAGTTCTTTATTCAAAGTCCTGTGACTACCAATATTTTCATTTTATGTGATCTCAGGTGCTGCTTCCCAGCCGCCGTGGAAAATGTTTCAGCAAACGCTGTAGCAGAGCCATACTAGTCCTGATGCATGTTCTTCAAGAGAGTTGTTTTCACCCATTGTCCTTAAATATCCACCCCATTACAGACGACTCTGGATGTACAATCTTTTGGCATAGTATTATTAAGGAGCTTTAGCTACAGTGAAATTGATTTGTGGTCTGCTTTGTCATAGTATCTTTTCTCCCCCTAAATTGTTATTGCAGTGATATCTTAATATTTTTAATTGACTTTCGGTATCTGACATGGGGATTTCAGCTCCTGGTTAGTCCGTCTTGCGGCTAAAAGGTATGATGAAGTGATGTTGTTCATTCGTGGTGTTTACTGGAAACTTTCCAGCACCAGGTTCTTGGGGGTTTATGGAGATCACCAACCCACTGCATTACTTCTGAAATTTCATGGAAGCATAACTAAACAGCAGCAATCTGTGTATGTAGCTTTCCATGACTTGGTGCTGCAGAGGCTCGGCCATCTACCATTCTGGTGCCACGACAGTTTTTCTCAGAAGTAATGGAGAAGTGGCGGAGCACTGGAATGGCCTCTCCATTTTTCCTGGCAACTGGTGACATCTTTCAAAATCAACATGTAGGTTGTTCGGGCCACAGGAGGAGATTCGTGATTCACATCTTAAATGTATGCATTAGTGTATTGATTTAATATTTCTGTAATATTCACAGCCCTTTTATTCCTATGCACCTTAATGCTTCCTTCCTGTGTCAAGCCTTATAAATCAAGTAACTTGGGGCCATGCAAGTAAGTCGGTACAATTACAAAGGTCTATTTAATGAAAACGGTTATCAGTGTTGTATACTGAACTAGAAAAACAGGAAAGCCCTGTCATTTTTTTCAGATCTCTTGGTTTCTTGAGTTAAAAATTTCAAAGTCTAAGCACAAAATGAGATGGAAAACTAGGGTTTTGTTTTTTTTTTAAAGTTTAGATTTCTCTGAATATCTCTGGTATCTTATATATTCTCCACCATGAGCCATGAAATGTGTCTTCTAAAAAAAAAATTTGTCTTCTGTATTTTAACCTTCTTACTCTCAATCACTATTGCAACATGGGTCAGCATTTTGAATTACTTTGTAGGAAGGGACCAAATCAAATACTCCCGTAATAAAGTAGGGGATAAAAATATCATAGCAAAGTAAAATAAAAATACTTACTGTATTCCTCTGAGAAATTTGATAATGTGATATTTGTATCCTGTTTATATCTATCTATGCTAATTTCATATTCAATGAAGAATAGAGCTCAAATTGGGTATTCGTTGAAGAGAAGTATTAACAACCATGGAAAACAATGTTGATTTTGTCTAAAGTGACGTATTCTTAGTAAAATAAAATTTTCTTCCTTAAGAACCAGTTTTCTGTATGCATGCTATTTAGAAAATATTCTAAAGCATAACTTCTTTTAGCCTGACTATATTACCTCTGAAGTTTTATTTTTTAAAAATTCCTTGACTGACAATAGAAATAGTATCTATTTTACAAAATTGAGGAAATGCAGTTTAAAGAAATTAGAGGTTCCACAGGAAGGAAGTCACAGATAAGAATCAAGACTTTTGGATCTTGAGGTTCCAAAAGCTTCACCTCCATTTCCCTTGGATGTGCTTGGATATTTGCTTTTCATCTTCAGCTTCTCCTAAGTTTCAGGCTAAAGCCATTGTATTTGGGGGAAATCTGGACAAAATGTTTTTAAATCCTCAATATTTACAACGTACTTTTATACAAACAAACAACTAAATTATTCAATGGGAGTAGTAACTCATTGTCATGTTTGTATTTAAATCTGACTACGCAGTCTAAAGCAGACTGTTATTTCCCCATTGCCGTTTGCAAAATCAGTTAATCTTAGAAAACTTTGTTTTTTTCTTTTTGTTAAAGATTTTATTTATTGATTTGACAGAGAGAGAGAGCAAGTGCACAAGTAGGCAGAGGAGTGGGCAGAGGGAGAAGCCAACACCCTGCTGAGCAGGGAGCCCCATGTGGGACTTGATTCCAGGACGCTGGGATCATGACCTGAGCCGAAGGCAGATGCTTCACTGACTGAGCCACCCAGGCTTCCCGATCTTAGAAAACTTTTAATAAAAGTATGTTACTTTAGTGTTGCTTCCCTGTTCTTCTCTGATTCATATGCAGAATCAACTGTAACTGAATAAAAGTGAGAAATGACCCTGTAAGAGTAGGATGGTATCTCCCCAGTAGTTTATTGGACACTTACTGCATATATGGCATTGTTCTGGACGTTAGAAATACATGGGAGTAAAACAGAAAATGCCCTTTGTCCTCAAAGGACTAACAATCTATTTGAGATGACAAAGCATTTTACACATAGAGAGAAATGTTCTTGTTGGATGTGCTAAAACACTGTGGGAGGCCAAGGTAGAGTGATATTCCTGATGTAGATTAATTGGCATCTTGTAGTCACACAAGGACAAGTCCTGGGTAGCATATGAGTAGTAGGAAGACTGAAGAATGTTGGAAGGATAATTCACAGCAGTTACCTAACGTGTCAGAGCTTATTCTCAGGCTCTTTTACCTGAAACATGGAGCTGTCCCAGAAATAGGAAGTAAAGAGAAATGGAGGCAACTCTTCTGTCAATTAGGCTTTCAATTTATTGCATCTTTATTGAAAGGATATTATATTCATGAAACTAGCTCACAGCCTAGGGCCAAAACTGTGTGTAAGCCAACAATTTGCAAGTCACCATAGATGACAAAATTGAGATTCAAAAATTAAGTTTTTGCCATCTAGAAGTTTATGGATAGGGGAGCTTAAACAAGTATAAAAATGACTAATACAAAGTAGAGTGAGGTAGGAATGAAGTCATAGGATGGGAGGTTATTAACTATGGCAAATTGTGTTTTCCCAAAGAGCAGTATTTTGCTCCAGAACCTTGCCACAACTTCACCTAGAGGTAGAGTCTGTTTTCCTTCTCTCTTGAGATTGAGCAGGATTTTGTGGCTGCCTCTGTCAATATAATGCACTAAAAGTGATGCTGGGTCACTAACAAGGACATCCCTTGGCACCCAGCAGCCATGTTTTGAGGAAGCCCAGGCAACATGAAGAAGCCCCATGGAGATGTTGAAGCTGACAGCCAGCTGCAAATGCTGGGCTTGTGAGTGGGAGAGCCTTCTGCTCATTCAAGTCCCCAGTCTTGGAGTGTCCCAGATGACCCCAAGTGGAACAGAGATCTGTGCCTGCCCAGCCTACGCTTGCCTTGTGTGTGTGTGTAAAGATAATGCCCCACACCAGGTAAAGTGGTCAGGACAGATTTTAATCAGCAGTATACTATTGCAGTAGAAAATAGAGTCCCACATGAACTGAACTCAACTTTGATTTATACGGAGGAGACTGGAGTTTTAAAGGGAGAATGACAGAACAGGGTGGGTCGGGCTCAGAGTCAGGAAGTGAAAAATGACAAAAAGCTGGAAGGAGGAGGGATTGGTCCATGTAACACCCATCTGGGTTTGTTAATTGGAGCTTGTGGAAGTTAGGCCCCTACCCTCCCACAGAGGCTGGAAGACAGAAATCCTATCTTCAGGTGTTGGAACAAATGGTAAATTCTTTTGGCAGCTTTGAGTTTTCGCAGGCAGATTCTTTAAGGCAGGGCTAGGGTCACCTTAGGGATGGATCTGTTAGAATCTATGTTTAAGTCTTTACAGGCCAGGGTAAGGCTTAGTGAAGAAAGGGCTCACAGGAGCCTGGCTGGAGTTTGGTCAAGGAGAAAATCAACCTTTCTCTCTCCCTCCCTCCCTTTCTCTCTCTCTCTCTCTCTCTCTCTCTCTCTCTCTCTCTCTCTCACACACACACACACACACACACACACACACACACACGAGTCATTGGTTTCCTTTTTGGACACAGATGGAAGCATTAGAACAGATCATTGGATTTGGTGATTATGGGTCATTAGTGACCTTTGAAATAGCTTGTTTCATTAGAAGTTAGAGCAGAAGTTACATTGCAGGGGTTTAAAATTGAGTTAGGAGAATACATTTGAGGGCCTTCTGTGTGTCAATCTCGTCCTTTTTCACACCTGTAGGATGTGGCTATTACCCTTATCTGACTGATGTAGCTCAGAAAGGTTAATTGCCCAAAGCCATTAAGAAGGAGAGGAGGGATTAAAATGTAGGCTGATTTCTGAGACTGCTTTCCCTTATGCACGCTGTTCAAGAAGGAATAACGGGGGACAAAATGCTGATCTCCGTCTATCGGAGAAGCTGAAGAAGGAGCACACGTAAGAGATAGTGCGGAGTTCATAAGCTATTAATTATAATATTTCTTTTTTTTTTTAAGATTTTATTTATTTATTTGAGAGAGAGAATGAGATAAAGAGAGAGAGCATGAGGGGGGAGGGTCAGAGGGAGAAGCAGACCCCCCGCTGAGCAGGGAGCCCGATGCGGGACTCGATCCCGGGACTCCAGGACCATGACCTGAGCCGAAGGCAGTCGCTTAACCAACTGAGCCACCCAGGCGCCCAAATAAATAAAATCTTATTTTTTTAAATTTTTTTTTATTTTTTAAAGATTTTTTATTTATTTATCTGAGAGAGAGAATGAGAGACAGAGAGCATGAGAGGGAGGAGGGTCAGAGGGAGAAGCAGACTCCCCGCCGAGCAGGGAGCCCGATGCGGGACTCGATCCCGGGACTCCAGGACCATGACCTGAGCCGAAGGCAGTCGCTTAACCAACTGAGCCACCCAGGCGCCCCATAAGCTATTAATTATAGACAGAGTGTCACACATTTTTGACAACTTCCATGAAGTTCCGATAAGGGGGGAGCAAAATAAAAGGGCTGTTAGGGTCACACTCAGAGACGCAACCCTGGCCCGCGACCCTCGGGCAGCCGCTTTGGCCGGGTCCTGGCCGGGGAGGCCTGGGCCGGACCAGGAGGCCGAGGAAACGGGCATTGCTTGACAGTGCGCTCGGAGAAGCGCTCAGGCAGGAAAGGGCCCGGCCGCGGCGATCCTGCGGAGGCTTCTGGACTCTGCCGCCGAGTGGAGCACGCCCACAGGAGCGCCGGCGGTGACCATGGCAACCCGCGGACGTCCGCCGCGCCGGTTGCCAACGGCCGGGCTCCTGTTGGGGGGCGGGGCCGGGCGGGGCGGGCGCGCGGGTCACGTGGCTCGGGGCGGAGCCTGCGCGGGGCCAGCCAGGAGCGCGTCGGGAGCAGGCGGCGAGAACCCGAGCCGTGGGACCCGAGCGAAGGCAGCGCCGAGGCCGCCGTGCCCCGCCGGGCCCCCCCAGCCGCCGCCATGGGCAGTGAGTAGCGGCCGCGCGACTCTCGCTGGGCTCCGGGCCCCGACCGGCTGCGGGCGGTGGGGCTGGCGTCCGCCCCGGGGTCTCCCAGGCCGGGGGCCGGAGAGGAGCGGGCCGCGGCGGGCGCTGCGGAGGCTGCGGGCCGGGGGCCTCCGCCAGGGCTCCTCCGGCGGTGCGGCCTTGCCGGGGCCGGCTGCGGGGACCCGGGCCCGGAGTCGCGGCGTTTGCACTCGCTAGGTGGCGGGGAGCGGAGGACGGCGAGGGGAAGCCATTGGTTTTGGGGGCGGGGAGTTAGGGAACCGAGCGAAACCTGGACCGCTTCGAATTTTTCAGGAGCTTAGGAAGCTCATATTTTTATTTCCAAGTCACCCTTCCTTGGCATGTTGTGATGAATAAAGCTCTCTGACTTATTTCGATTTTTTAAAAAGTGATGCAAGGCATGTATTTTAGGGGAGGAAAGAAGTGCGATTGGCAGCATAGCGTTTTCCCTAAAATTTTCAGTTATTTTGTAGCGTTCACTGAAAACTCACTGTGTGTAAGGTTGTATAAGCCTTAGGGACCAGGCCTTGAATTATGGCGATCTTTGAGAGCCATCTCCTGAACACTCAACCCCACATGCATTCACGTGTATACTTACATAGCTGTTCACATGTTTGTTGGATGAATGGTTAAGTGCAAACCTGAGCGGTACACCCTTTGGCCAACTAGTGGACATTTAGAAAGGAAGTAGAAGAGACCCCTGACCTTGAATTGACACAGTATAATCGGTGACATTCTGCAACACAAGAATAGACAAGTGGCCGACAGACGCATGAACTCTCCAACACCGATGATCCTAAAATGCCAAGAAATCTGGGAGGGTGGTTTTGATTGAGGTGGGATGGAAAAGGGTAAGGAGTCTAGGAAAGTTTCCTGACGTGGTTGATAATTTGTGTTGCATTAGAGAAGAATGCTTCTATAATTCAGGTTTACTTTCCAAATAGTCCAAAATGGCCCTTGGGCAATGAGTATCTGCCTATGGGAATTTCTGAATTCTTCTGTCAGACATCGGTGACTGCCATCATTTTGAGAGGTTTCTTGAGAAGATTATATAGTCAGCTTTTGGCTAACTATGTTAAGTGTAATTACCCAGGTCAGTTTTAAAACAATGTCATGATGTTAGGATGCAGAATCCAGCGTCTGTAGGGGAAGATGATCATAACTAATAGCTAAGCTGGTTGAACCAGCCTTCTTGTGTTTCTGCACATTACAGACGCTGGCAAAGACTGAGAGAATATCATCTTCATTCTCCAGTTCTTTGGCAGGAATTGACTTAAGCTATGCCAGAATATAGTGTCTATCCTTAAAGAACCTTGGTTTGTCTTACTTTGATATATAATGAGTTATCTGGGAAAGCAGTACTTTCTCTTGAAATGTCATGGTCATTTTCTGGGCTGAATATCCTACATACACAAGTACTTTGAAGATCATTATGTGGGAGAGCAACCAAGCAATGAATGTTGACTTAAGTGAAATGAAGTAGAGATTGTATACCTTAAAAAAAAAACAAAACAAACTTCTCTATGATTCCATGATCTTTCTCACTTATGCATTTCATCATCTTTCAGTCTAAATTAAGTCCTGCAATTTCAGCCCATTTCCTATTATACTTTCCTCCTGTATTTCTCCCCTGATACGTCTTATTTTTGTCTATAGTGCATTATCGTGGGGGTAACATAGTAGACTGCATTTGCTTTTTTTTTTTGACGTAGTGATGCTCATGGAATTATTCTTTTTCTGTATATATAAAAGGGCTGGATAAAAAGCATGAGGAAGCAAAATCATGGTAGAAGGGTGTTTGTATTTGCTTCTACTGACTAAACCCTTAAATCTTTTGGATTCTTTTGTCCCTTGATTATTTCTGTTCCCCGATATATTTGAAATGGAGAGCACTGTGATTACTTTTGGAGGTAGGAATGGGATGAATCGTCATTAAAAGTTAGAGAACGTTTGTATTTGTTTCTATAAAAAGGTACATCTCTTTAAAAACTTTGTAACAGAGACATTCTTTTTTTTTTTTTAACAGTCAAATTTTTAGAAGTTATCAAACCTTTCTGTGCAGTTCTACCAGAAATTCAGAAACCTGAAAGGAAAGTAAGTATAAAATTTTGGTAATATAGAGGGTAGCTAAAGGACTTATTCTACTGAACTAGCAAGATTGATTTACTGTCCCCAACCCTTTTCTGGTGTATTTGGAGAAAATAGTACCTGCTGCTTCTTGCAAGAGGCACTAAGTAAGTAAAACTAGTTTAAACCAGTTTAGATAGGTTCTCTTCTGGGTTTTTTTTTTTAAAGATTTATTTATTTATTTATTTATTTATTTGAGAGAGAGAGAGACAGAGAGAAACAGCATGAGAGGGGATAGGGTCAGAGGGAGAAGCAGGCTCCCCGCTGAGCAGGGATCCCGATGCGGGACTCGATCCCGGGACTCCAGGATCATGACCTGAGCCGAAGGCAGTCGCTTAACCAACTGAGCCACCCAGGCACCCTCTCTTCTGGTTTTAAAAATGACTTTTCTTTAAGTTGAGACATTTCCAAACCAAGCGTTTCTTTGGCCTCTGTGTTAGATAAGATATTCTCCTATTTCTAGTGACCCACTGCACTGTGAATGACTGAGTCTGCTGGGTCACTTTTGATGAATACGACTGTTCTACATAAATGAATTACAATTGTGCAAGTATATGCCTCCCGTTTCTTGATCATTGGATACACAGAAAAATCACAGAAATGCATTCAGAAAATAATATGACTGCATCAGATTATTCCTCAGTCATTGTGCACTTTTGGAGCCCAGGTATTTAAATTCAGAAATATTGTTATTCCCACACTGGCCGATTCCCTTCTGTGCTTTTGATATCTCACAAAACTAACAGGAATAGGTGTGTAGAAAGAGATAAGTAAAACTTTTGTTAAACTTACTGCTTTATTTAGAAGTGGTTTTTTTTTTTTTAATTGCTTTGAGGGTTTTTTTTTTTTTAAGATTTTACTTATTTATTTGAGAGAGAGAGAATGAGAGAGAGCACAAGAGAGGGGGGAGGGTCAGAGGGAGAAGCAGACTCCCTGCCGAGCAGGGAGCCCGATGCGGGACTCGATCCAGGGACTCCAGGATCATGACCTGAGCCAAAGGCAGTCGCTTAACCAACTGAGCCACCCAGGCGCCCAATTGCTTTGAGGTTTTAAAAATAGTTGTTTCAGTTACATGTTAGGAATCCCAAGAAACTCTAGCTTTTCATATTCCATGAAATATTCATGTAATATTATCATGGGCAGTCCACGCTTTGCACAATGCTGTGTTAACTGAAATGCATACATATTGGATCTGTGTCTTGCTTTTCATCCTTTTTGGTTTCAGTTAACAAAGTACAGTGTGATGAGGCCTGCCTGTATTTAATTTACTTAATTTTTGGAAAAGTAAAGAAGATTATGTTTGAGGGCGCCTGGGTGGCTCAGTTGGTTGAGCGACTGCCTTCGGCTCAGGTCATGATCCTGGAGTCCCTGGATCGAGTCCCGCATCGGACTCCCTGCTTAGCGGGGAGTCTGCTTCTCCCTCGGATCCTCCCCCTCTCATGCTCTCTGTCTCCCATTCTCTCTCTCAGATAAATCAATTAAAAAAATCTTTAAAAAAAAAAAAAAAAGAATATGTTTGAAAAGTTGAGCTGTTTGCTTTAGCTGGTAATAACTAGATGAGAGTATCTTAATAGTAAATAATAGGAACCTGTCATGATGCAGAATGTTACGCTTTAATGTGGAATTTTGCTTTGTATTTGCTATTTCTTGGTTTTGATTGATCATCCTTATTTTGTTGTAGATCCAGTTTAGAGAGAAGGTACTATGGACTGCCATAACTCTCTTCATTTTCTTAGTATGTTGTCAGGTATGTAACCAAAGTATTAATTAAGTGTCTATGCTGTTGTTGGAGGGTTTTGATTGGTTGCAATTTGAGAAATTTATTTTAGTTAAAATAATAAATATCCTGAATTATTTTGAGCATTGTTATTTTTAATCTGAGTTGATGGTGAAAATGGTTATCTTGTCCTGCTGTGTATTTTTTTTATTAGTGTGTTTGAACATTTTTTTCTTTTTTTCTCTTAGTGTGCAGTTAATGATCTTTACCCATTTTTTCTTGAGATTTTTTTCGTATTAAGACAGATTTTTATATATGAAAGTGTTAAAGCTTTGACATAATACATTGCAAATATTTTTTCCCTATTTTGTTGGCCTCTAATCATGTTGTAAATAGCATGTATTAGTTTAAAAATCCCAAAAAGTCAAATTTTAGAACCCCAGTGATATACTGTATTTATAAATTGATAGAACTCAGTGATACTTTTTATTAATATTTTGCAGAGATTAAGTTCACAAAATGAGGATAAAATGTGACCTGTCCCTGTCACAGGATTGTTGTGAGGATTAAATTAGATTATTTAGTTGCAAGTTTTTTGAGGATTTTGAAGAGCTATTGAAATACATATAACATTCCTAATATAAAAAAAATTATATTAGGAAGTGGTAGAGCAGATTAAGTCCATAGTCTGGGGAAAAGCCAAATGTATTTTTTTTTTGAAGAGTAAAGTGATTTGGTCATTTGGTCATTAAGATAAACTGTACTTAGTTTAAAATTGTTTTGGGTGATCAGGGGGAGAGAACTTTTTTTAAATACAGAAAAGTAGAGAGAAAAAAAGAATAATCATCCATATTTTTACCACCTATTTTTAACATCTTAGAAATTCCCCTCCCCTCCATAAAAAAATCCAATTTATAAAGGTATAATTTATGTATGGTAAAATACATTTATTTTTTAAGTGTACATTTTGAAGAGTTTTGACAAATGCATACACCCACATACCTACTACCTCAGTGGATACAGAACATTCTGTCACTCCAGAAAGTTCTGTGTAATCTCTTAGTCAGTCTCCACCTCACCCCCCAGTGTCAGGCAAGCACTGATCTGCTTTCTGTTCCTATAATTTGATTTGTTTTTTTTTTTTTTAGAATTTCATCTAAGTGGAATCATACAGTATCATTCCTTAGCATCTGGCTTTATCATGAGCATTTTGAGATTTGTCCATGTGATTGGTAGAGCAGTAATTCATCCCTTCTTATTTCTGAGGAGTGTTCTACTGGATGACTATACACCATTTGTTCATCTGTTCATTTGTTGTTGGATGTTTGGGTTGTTTCCAAATTTTGGCTCTAATAAAGTTGCCGTGAACATTCCTGGGCAAGACTTTCTGTGAATATTTGTTTTCATTTCTCTTGGGTGAATACCTAGGAGTAGAATTGCTGGGTTGTATGGTAATTACAGGTTCAGCTTTATAAGAAATTGTCAAACTTTTTTCTAAGTTGTTGTCCCGTTTTATATTTTTACCAGTCAAGAATAGGAGTTCCAGTTACTTCCCATCCTTGCCTGCCCTTGGTATTGTTGAGCATTTTAGTGTTGAGCATTTTAGTATTAGTCATTCTAATGGGTGTGGTTTTAAATTTAATTTGCATTTCCCTGGTAAACGATATTGAGCAATTTGTTCATGTACTTATAGGGCATTTTTTTTTTTTTTTAAGATTTTATTTATTTCTTTATTTGACAGAGAGAGACACAGCGAGAGAGGGAACACAAGCAGGGGGAGGGGGAGAGGGAGAAGCAGGCTTCCCACTGAGCAGGGAGCCTGATGCGGGGCTTGATCCCAGGACCCTGGGATCATGACCTGAGCCGAAGGCAGACGCTTAACGACTGAGCCACCCAGGCGCCCCCTGTGCTTATAGGGCATTTGTTTATCTTCTGTGAAGTTTCTTTTTCATATATTTTGCCCATTAAAAAAAATTATATTGTCATTGAATTATATGCATTTTTTAAAGATTTTTAAAATTTATTTGAGAGAGAGAGAGTGAGCACAAGCAGGGGGGAGGAACAGAGGGAGAAGGAGAAGCAGACTCCCTGCTGAGCAGAGAGCCTGATGTAGGGCTCGATCCCAGGACCCTGAGATCATGACCTGAGCTGAAGGCAGATGCTTAATCGACTGAGCCACCCAGGTGCCCCGAATTATATGCATTTTAAAATATTTTCTGGATACAGGTCCTTTGTCAGGTAAATGTACTGTGACTATGTTTTCCTAGTCTGTGGCTTGCCTTTTCATTTTCAGATTATCTTGTGAAGAGCAAAAATCCTTCATTTTGAAGTTCAGTGTGTCTTTTTTCTTTGATGGTTCATGGTTTTTGTTTCCTATCTTCTAAGGTTGTGAAGATTTTCTCCTGTATTCTAAATATTTTATACTCTTAGCTTGTATGTTTTGGACTGTGATCTAGTCCAAGTTAATTTTTGTGTATGGTGTAAGTAAGGTTGGGGTTCATTTTTTTCTGTTTGGATAGCCAGAAAAGGCTATTCTTTCTCCATTGAATTATCTTGGCATCTTTGTTGAAAATTAGTTAACTGCATAAGTGTGGATATATTTTTGTACTCTGTTCTGTTCCATACGTGTATATTCCATCGTTATGGTCACACTGATTACCGTAGCTTTATATTAAGTCCTGTAATCAGGTTGTAAAAGTCTTTCAACTTTGTTTTTCCTTTTCAAAGTGGTTTTTGGTTATTCTAGGTTCTTCATATTTCTGTATAGATTTTTGAATCAGCTTGTCAGTTTCTGTAAGAAAGCTTGCTGGGATTATGATTTGTATTGCTTTGAATTTATAGATAAATTTAGAGAAAATTACCTCTTGACAGTATTGAATCTTCTAATCTAAGGGTCAGCAAACATTGTTCTGTGAAGGGCTAGGTAGTAAAATATTTTAAGCTTGGCTGCTAGAACCCAAGAACCATAGCAACTGTGTCACTCAGAAAGTGTGGTATTTCTCACAACTGTTTCATGCAATGAATTAATTTGTGCATTTTATGTTACTTTATTATTTTCTTCTGCAGTATAATTGCATAGTTGCCACGCTGTGTTTCATGTCTTTCTCATGTTTAGGCAGTCCTGCCCAGTGCTGGTGATTTCTTGATTGTCTTTCCACTGAATCTCAGACAGGTTTATTTTCCCCTCCCAGCCACAGTTAAAAGGGTTTGGGGTCTCCTGTTTCACTCAGTTTTCTTTCTTTCTTTCTTTTTTTTAAAGATCTTATTTATTTGACAGAGAGAGACAGCGAGAGAGGGAATATAAGCAGGGGGAGTGGGAGAAGGAGAAGCAGGCTTCCCTCGGAGCAGGGAGCCTGATGTGGGGCTCGATCCCAGTATCCTGGGATCATGACCTGAGCCGAAGGCAGATGCTTAACGACTGAGCCACCCAGGTGCCCCTCACCCAGTTTTCTTTAGCTTGAGGGAGTGGTGGGAGGTGAGATAAGGTGTGATAAGTGCAGTAATTGTTACCTGGGTCAGCTGTCTCTTCTTCCGAGGTGGTTCTCACCAGGTGACTGAAGAAGCCTGTTCCATTGCTTACCTCAGATCATCCCTCATTCCCAACTCACGGTGGCCCTGTAATTGTCACCAGGAGAGAGCCCCGTTGCTCACTTCTCTCATCCATTTCTTCTCAGCTGCTGTTTCTAGTCCCTTCTAACCAAAGGAGGCAAAAAGATAAGGCTATTTGTGCAGCCTGCTCTTCTCCAGGCTTGGAATGTTGTGGGAATTGTGAGGATTGTGTTGCCTTCCCATCCTGATGTTTGGAGCAGCTTTGTGCTGGGCTCTCTGCTTCTCAGTTGTCTGAAGTTTTCTCGCCCCCATGACCGCCAGTGCTTCATGTTCACGATCCCTTTTCTTTGGCTGCTTTATGGATTTTTTTCTTTTCCCTTAGTTTTTTTTTTTTTGTAGGCTCCATATCCAGCATGGAACCCAATGTGGGGCTTGATTTCAGTACCCTGAGTTGATCTCAAGATCTGAGCTGAGATCGAGTCGGATGCTCAACCGACTGAGCTACCCAGGCACCCCTTTTTTCCTTAGCTTTTTTCACTCTTGTTAGCTTCTACTATTGTACATGTTTAAAAAAGTGTGTTTTCTTAGGGCACCTGGGTGGCTCAGTCGCTAAGTGTCTGCCTTCGGCTCAGGTCATGATCCCAGGGTCCTGGGATCGAGCCGGGCATCGGGCTCCCTGCTCGGTGGGAAGCCTGCTTCTCCCTCTCCCACTACCCCCTGGTTGTGTTCCCTCTCTCTCTATCTCTCTCTGTCAAATAAAATCTTTAAAAAAAAAAAAAAAGTGTGTTTTCTTATGCATTGTGGAGTTGCTGCTCAACTATTGTTGTACATAAACCCATAGCTACAGATTTTACTGAGAGGAATAAAATCAGACACTGAGTTTAATAATCCTGTTGTCTTCAGGAAAGGAGGGAATGCCATTACTTAGGGGAAGTTGGCTGACTTTTTCTTGTTCATTGTCCCACAAATCATCTAATTGTGGAGGTAATGGCCATCTCTATCAGGTGCCATTAAGCAGAGTAATTTGACTGATTGACCTCTCTCCCACTTAGGGAATATTGTGGTGTGGACTGCCCTGTAGTGTTAATTGGTTTTTATACAGTAACTTCTTCCTCCCTGTCTCTCACACTAGCTGAAGAGTGTCTGCAGCGTTAGGGTACATAAAATATCCATGTTTCTTGCTTCACCAGTTTTGCTACCCAGCTGATAAATCCAGATGTCCAGAAAGGGTGAGGTTGACCAGATGGATTGTTCAGAATCGTTGGCAGCATCTTTTGGAACTTAAAAAAAAAAATCAGCTTTGTATAAAGAAGGTTTTTGAAATTGGAAATGTATTTTTCTTTGTGTCTGATCCCCACATGGTGAGGGAGGGGGTATGACCAGGTGCTGTGTCCTGAACGTTGGTCATATAACAGGAAACATTCTGAAGTGAAGAGTTACTTTTTCTTTCTGATGAGAAAGTAATATGCGCTTATTATAGAAAATTTGATAAATGCTGGGAAGAATAAAGAAAAAGTCAGCCATAATCCTACTACCTACAGATAATTACTCTTCAGGACTTTATGTATTTACACTTAGTTTTATCTTTTACACATTTTTACAGTATTGAACTTTCATTTATATAATTCTGTACCTTTCTTTTTATAGCAGGGTTTCTCAACAATGGCACTGAATTTTAGGCCAGTTAATTCTTTGTTGTGGGGTCATTGTAGGATGTTCAGCAGCATCCCTGACCTCTACGCACTAGATGCCTGTAGCATTTCCCTTCAAGTTGTGACAACCAAAATGTCTTTGGATATTGCCAGATGTCCTCTGGGGGGCAGAATTGCCCCAGGTTGAGAACCACAGTGTCATACTTGGTATTACAACATAAGCACTTCTTTTATGCTATTACAAGCTTCTTTAAGCTGCTTTTCAGTGGTTGCATAATATTCCACTATATATATATACATGCACATATATATGTATATATAAATAATCTTCAGTCTTACATTTGGAGTGTGACTGTGGCTGTCATTAGTACCCATAGCTTAGCAAAATTATTCTGTGACTGGATGGATATATCCTGTAATTTACTGATGGGGTGTTTTTTTAATTGTAAAAAATTTATACCTTAGTCATTTTTAAGCGTACAGTTCAGTAGTGTTAAGTGTATTCACATTGTTGTGCAACAAATCTTCATCCTGATAGGTATGTGTACTAGTAGATTTGTGTAAGTAGTAATTTCTATTGTTTTTTTTTTGTTAAAAAACTTCCTTTAGGGTACGCTTGCTTTGTTACAGAACATGAGAAGTAGTGGTTTTTTTTTTTCTTTTAAGTATTGCAAATATTAAGTAAAAGAACTATGAATTAAGTTACAACTTAATTTATATAATGCATTTTTAGAAACTGTTTTATGTAATACTATAGATACCACTATTTGGAATCATGTCATCAGATTCTGCAGATCCTTTCTACTGGATGAGAGTTATTCTTGCATCCAACAGAGGTATGTACTTCTTTTTTTCTTCTTTTTTTTTTTTTTTTTGCCTCCATACGAGACATTAGTATTGACATCAAGTAGATGTGAAAATGTGGAAAAAACTATTTTGATGTCTACAGGGGTGGGGAGCATATGGTAAAAGAAACCCGTTGCCTAGGAAAAGAGACCAACACATAAATACTTACAAAACACTGTGTGTATTGTAATAATAGAAATATGTACAGAGTGTAGATGTACAATAGAGAACGGAGTGATAGCACCGTCTGGAGCTTTGTCCTCCATCCTTTTGTGGGTCATATTTTCTTTGAGACTCAAATTTTTTTTTTTGTATAGTATTACTTTATTTACCTATTTATTTAATTTAAATTCAATTAGCCAAGGTATAGTACATCATGAGTTTTTGATATAATGTTTAATGATTCATTAGTTGAATATAACTAAATTTATGTATACTCTCCCAAGAAAAAATCATATACACTCACACTCACAGATTTTGCGTAAAACCTTTGGAGCTTCATGGACCCTCTGCAGTCTGGTCCATGGGTTTTGCATGGGCCTGAAAGACCCTGATCTGCAGTGTCAGAGGCGATAGTACTGGAATAGTATTTGAATTGGAGTTCAATATGTGGAGCGATGGGAGAGGGAAGACTGAGCTAAAAGCCCATGTGCATAAGGCAGTGGCTAAAGAGATAGGGACTGGATCATGAGGGGTTTTGTTGGTAATTTTTTTAGATTAGAAAAAATGGTTAATCATTAAAAAATGCACCAAAATTTGATGCAGTTTTATATAAAGCTGAAAATGAAAGTCTTGCATCTCAGGGGTAACTCCTGGGAAGATAATAGGTTGGTGAATATCTATCCAGACCTTTTCTCTGCATATACATTCACATATATAAATTTATATTTTTTTGACCCTTGAACAACACAGGTTTGAACTGTGTGGGTCCACTTATATGTGGATTTTTTTTTTTTTTTTAATAAATACAGCGCAGTGTTGTAAATGTATTTTTTCTTCCTTAGGACATTTTTCATAACATATTCTTTTCTAGCTGACTTAATTACAAGAATATAGTATATAATACATAACATACAAAATATGTGTTAATTGACGATGTTATTGGTAAGGCTTCCGGTCAACAGTAGGCTATTAGTAGTTAAGTTTTTGGTTTGGGGGAGTCAAAAGTTATACGTGGATTTTTGACTGCATGGGGGAGTCAGTGTCTATAACCCCTCCGTTGTTCAAGGGTCAGCTGGGGTTTTTTTTTGTTTGTTTGTTTGTTTTGAAGATTTATTTATTTGACCGAGAGAGAGACACAGCGAGAGAGGGAACACAAGCAGGGGGAGTGGGAGAAGGAGAAGCAGGCTTCCCGCGGAGCAGGGAGCCCAATGCAGGGCTCGATCCCAGGGCCACTGGATCATGACCTGAGCCAAAGTCAGACGCTTAATGACTGAGCCACCCAGGCGCCCCTGTGCTTGTTTTTTTTTTTTTTTTAAACTGAAAAATAAGATAAATTATGTAACTATTCTACTTAGTGTGTTTACTCAATTTCTTGAAAGAGTGGTTTCATTTACAGGCTATATACTGTTCCATTCTTTGGATATGTTGTGAATTATTTAATCATTCAGGTCTTTTTTGAGTTCTTACTCTGTGGCAAGCTTTGTGCTAGGTGCTGAGATGAGAGCAGTGATCAAGACAATGTCCCCGTTGTCATGGAGTTTATATTATTCTATTTGGGGAGATATCCTCTACATGAAGTACATTTTGGGTGAGGGGAGGGACATCTGAGCAGAGACCTACAGGACACGAGAGAGAAGGCCATGTGAAGATCTGGGGGGGGAACATTGTAGGGAATAGCATGTGCTCAGGCCCCGAGATGGGAGTGTGCTTAAATGTTCAGGGAAGGATGAGGAGTCAGTGTGGCTAGAAGAAAAAAAAAAAAAGGAGTAATGAGGGAGAACACGGTGTTGCAGATGAGTCCAAGAGCCAGATCATAAAGGGCTTAGAGACAAAGTAAGGAGGGTCCTTTAAGTGTGATTCCAGGCCATTAGGGTCCTCTTCTGTCACACATTTAGGTTTTTCCCCAGTTTTGTATCATTTTAACCAGTGCTACCATGAATGCTATCACTGTAATGCTATCTCCTGTCATTTTTTTTTTTTTAAGATTTTATTTATTTATTTGACAGAGGGAGAGAGAACACAAGCAGGGGGAGTGGGAAAGGGAGAAGCAGGCCTCCCGTGGAGCAGGGAACCCGATGTGGGGCTCGATCCCAGGACCCTGAGATCGTGACCTGAGCCGAAGGCAGACGCTTAACGACTGAGCCACCCAGGCGCCCCTCCTGTCATTTTTTAATAGAATTAATTTCTAGAAGTTTAACTGTGCAAGGTACATAACACCTAAATTTTTGATAAATAATGCTAAATTAACTTCCAAAAAGATTTGTATTATTTTATACACTGAGCAGTTGTATATGAGAATGACATTTTTCTTCCAACAGTGGATATTATTAGTCTTTCTAGTCTTTGGAAGTTGGACAGGTAAAAATTGGTATCTGTTATTTAATTTGTATTTCTTTATATATTGGCGAGCTTTGAACATCATCTTCTATTTTTATTGAATATTTGAATTTTTTTTTGAGTGGACTTGTTTTAAGTAATAGAAAATTATTGACCGGTTTAAACACAAAAGTGGAATTTATTAGAAAGGTAGTGATTATTTTTTGGACTCCATAGAGGAGGTAGAACAACTAAGCCTGGGCTGGGAGAGAAAACCAGGGCAGCTTTAGATTGGCAGCAGGGATTGGGAACTTTTTCTTTGGGATTTAGCTCCCCAAATTCCTGGGTTCTTCGGTTCTTAGCTCAAAAAAACTACAGGATTTACACTGGGCTGAGTCAGCTTTGGTTAGAGTGTCAGGGTTACATATTTCAGATTTGGGTGTGGGGGTCCCCTCCTGTACTGTCAGTATTTCCTGAGAAAGACCGTCATTGGGAGCAGCCATATTGTGTTCTCTCTTTTTCCTTTTTAAATTTTTTTTCCTATTGGTTTGTTCATTTTTAATTGATTTGGAAGAACTCTTCGCATATTGGAGGAACTCTCATTTGTGTTCAAGTATTTTTCTTCTTTTATGCTGCCCTTTTTTTTTTTTTTTAACTTTTATGCAGTGTTTTACCACGTGGAATTTTCGTAGTTGTATCTAACCATAGCATCTATCTTTGTCATTGTGGGCTCTAGGTTTTTTTTGTCATGCTTAGAAAGCTTTTTTCTTTTCCAAGATGATAAGCATACTTACTTCTAGTATTTTTGTCATTTGTCTCTTACGGTTAAATTTTCTATGCATCGGGCCTTTATTTTGATGTAAGTCATGAGGTAAGAAATGCAGGCGTGATTTTTTATAAATGGCCAGTCATTTGGTGAGGTCCACTTATCCTTTTCCCTACTGATTGGAGGTGCCATATTTCTTTTTTTTTTTTTTTAAAGATTTTATTTATTTTTTTTGACAGAGAGAGACACAGTGAGAGAGGGAACACAAGCAGGGGGAGTGGGAGAGGGAGAAGCAGGCTTCCCATTGAGCAGGGAGCCTGATGTGGGGCTCAATCCCAGGGCCCTGGGATCATGACCTGAGCTGAAGGCAGACGCTTAACAACTGAGCCACCCAGGCGCCCTGGAGGTGCCATATTTCTTATATGAAATTGTCATCAAAGTTTGACTGTATTTATTCTCAGACTAGATCCATTTGACAGTTAAAATTTTGTGATTTGATTTAAAAAAAAAAATGTTTACCTTCCCACCCAATTTTGTGGTAAAGATATTTTTCTAGTCTTTCTTGTCTTTGGTTGTAAGCATGTACTCCTTTTCCCCCAATTTTTGTCAGTATTTGGTATGATCATTACCATTGGGCAATGGTATCTCTACCTACTGGTTTTAACAATAGAAATGTTACCTTTTACTGTTGAAGTATTTGAGAAGACATGAAGAATCCTCCTAGGATGGAATCTCTTCTCATATTAAGGGTACCTTTTCAACATTTATAAAAGCCAGGATTTAAGGTTGTGGTATGACAGAATGACCAGTGGAAACATATTCTTGATGATGTAGAATTACTTGTTTTACATGTTAACTTGTACACTGGCATATTTGGTTTTCTTATTTTTCACTATAAGTACAATATGTATTTTATGTAAAAAAAAAAAAAAGAACTTAAGAGAGGCAAAAAGAAAGAAAAATAATCTCACTGGGTAAAAATAACCATATCTTGACAACCTGACTAAAATATCAGGAAACTATTTTTCCACCTAAGTATTAACTGAAATCAAACTGTAATACTATTTTTCAAATGTTTTATTTTTCTATCCACTAAGTCATGAATATTTTTCATGCCACTCACTAAATGTTCTACAACATTGATTTAGATGACTCTCTGTGTAATTTTAGAATTTGAATTAGAAGAGTCACAAACATTCTTAAATGTCTTTTTTTTTTTTTTTAAAGATTTTATTTATTTATTTGACACAGAGAGACACAGCGAGAGAGGGAACACAAGCAGGCGGAGTGGGAAAGGGAGAAGCAGGCTTCCCGTGGAGCAGGGAGCCCGACGCGGGGCTCGATCCCAGGACCCTGGGATCAGGACCTGAGCCGAAGGCAAACACTTAACAACTGAGCCACCCAGGCACCCCTTAAATGTCATTTTTTTATTAACTTGGTATTTAATTCTCAGGCTTGGTATGTACTTCTTATTTTGCATTAAAATAAAATGTTCAGTGTAAGTTTTAAAAATGATTTGGACAGAAATTTTGGAAGATTTCTTTCAAAGGATTTAACATTTTAAGTTTAGAATTTACAGAAATTTACCTTTTTTGGGGATAGTAATTTTGACTCAATGAGTTGTTGCAAGGTTATGTTAATAAGTGAATTAAATAGGGCGCCTCGTGGCTCAGTTGGTTGGGCGACTGCCTTCGGTTCAGGTCATGATCCTGGAGTCCCGCAATTGAGTCCCGCATCGCTTCTCCCTCTGGTCCAACCCCCTCTCATGCTCTCTCTCTCTCTGAAATAAATAAATAAAATCTTAAAAAAAAATAAGTTAAGTAAATAAATGTGTTAATAAATCAATGTTTAAAGAATGAATATATGCCTGTTAACATTTGAGCATGTGTTTTAATAGACATAATGAAGGATTGCAACACTTGTAAACTAATCTTCATTGGGTATAGTAAAGATTATTTACTTTTTTCCTTCTCTACAGGAACTTTAATGGAATTGGGTATCTCCCCAATTGTAACATCTGGTTTGATTATGCAGTTGTTAGCTGGAGCCAAAATCATTGAAGTTGGAGACACACCTAAAGATAGAGCTCTATTCAATGGAGCCCAGAAACGTGAGCTATTAATACACTTAAAGAGTCTTTTCCAAATTTGAGAATTTTGTGGTAAAGATATTTTTCTAGTCTTGTCTTTGGTTGTAAGCATGTACTCCTTTTCCCCCAATTTTTGTCAGTATTTGGTATGATCATTACCATTGGGCAAGCCATTGTGTATGTCATGACGGGCATGTATGGGGATCCTGCTGAAATGGGTGCTGGCATCTGTCTCCTTATCATTATTCAGGTAAGAAATCCAGTTTTTCATCTGCAGATAACAAAACAGTTTGATCCCTTTTTTCTTTTCTAACAACTCTTTAAGTGGTTGATACATTAGTTTTCTTACTTTTGAATTATTTAATTATAAGATTTTGATTATTGAAGTGACATGTATAAATTGTGTTGATATAAAAAAATTAAAATTTGTTTTAATAGCCTGATTGCTGCATAGTATAAGGAATTATGGATCAACTGTATTTCACTGATTCTTAGATGCACATTTTTTACTTTTTGATGTTTCTGAGATCAGGATTTTTTTTTTTTTAAGATTTTTATTTATTTGAGGGTGAGAGAGACGGAGCAGGGGAAGGGGCAGAGGGAGAGGGAGAAGCAGAAGCAGATTCCCCGCTGAGCAGGGAGCCGATACGGGGCTCAATCCCAGGATCCTGGTATCATGACCTGAGCTGAAGTCAGACACTTAACGACTGAGTTAAGTGTGCCCAGGATGTTTTTTCTTATAGCGGATAGTGCCCCACGTTTGTCGTCAGCCAGGCAGCAGTTGTGATGGTAGTCATTGTCTGCATATGTGTGTCAGCTGGTTAGAGCTATTCACATGTTCATTGCATCAGTTGGTTATGTGCATTGTTGGTGTAACATGTTTTTGAGATTAGTTGCTGTTTAAAATGTCTGCAGAAGTCTCTGGTTTGTTATGGAACAGTCACTGTGTGTACGCAAAGGCACAGAACAGGCTGGATGGTAAAATCTGTGTGTAGATCTAAAATATTTTCTTTGTAAATAGAAAATAAAAATTCTTTGTGATAAATTATTGTCATAGTTTAATTAACAGTATTTTTTTCTTTGTTAGTATACAAAATAATGACATTACAAATAATATCTCACAGCTAGTAAAATACATGAACCTGTATACATATATTCCATGGATTTTTAAAAATAGACCCTTTGGAATTAAACTTTTAAAGTCCAACATAATTATCCCTGTACTAAGTATCTCAAAGTATGTCAAATTTAGAAGATATTTCTCTAATGTACGGTCCTTAAAAATCATTTAGAGAAGCTACCCAAGAATGGAGTGTACTTAAGTTATGTAATAGTTATTTATGGCATTTTGAAAAGAAGTTTGATAAATGCAGCATCTAGAGTCCTTGTTATTTTGGAAATGCCTCTTCTTGCTCACTCTATGGAATTAGGATTCACTAAGGAACATTTTTTTTTTTTTTAAAGATTTATTTATTTATTTGACAGAGAGAGACACAGCAATAGAGAGAACCCAAGCAGGGGGAGTGGGAGAGGGAGAAGCAGACTCCCTGCTGAGCAGGGAGCCCGATGCGGGCTCAATTCCAGCACCCTGGGATCATGACCTGAGCCGAACGCAGATGCTTAATGACTGAGCCACCCAGGTGCCCCAGGAACATTTTTTTTAAATGGTCAAAGCATTAATTTCAGAAAAATATTTTTAAATAAAAGTGAAATACCAACTTATATACATTGAGAAATAGGACCATTTCAGATTGGCATGGTTGACCATTCTTTTTTAATGAGAAACCTTATATAGGAAGCAGATCAAAATAAGATCATGTAGTGAGTATGATTAGAACAAGGAGAATTGGGTTGTTCAAGTATTTATTGGTGTCATTAACAACAAGGGGGGGCTCTTCTAACTAGATGGAAATATTTTGTCTTTTGACCAGGTGAGGAATTTTTAATGGATTATCATATCAGTCTTTGGTAGGTTTCTGAGCCCTAGTAAGTTCCCATAACATTGTCCTTATTTCTCCATTTTAAAAAATACCCTGATTGGCAAATTTATAACCTTTGAGAATTAGAAAAAGAAGAGTTGCTGTGGCTTGGGGAGAGAAGATCCTCTGAAAACTGATTTGGATGTCTTTCAGTGCTTAGGATCTCTCCACATGCTTTTGACATTGTTGATACCAATGCATCAGTTGTTGTCTTATTTTGTTTCTTTATAATAGCCTTTGCTTTATGCAGCTTGTAGTTCAGAATAGCTCTGATTTTTATTTATATATATTTTAAAGATTTTATTTATTTATTTGAGAGAGAGGGAGGGAGAGAGAGAGCGAGCATGAGCGGGGGAGGGGGAGAGGGAGAAGCAGACCCCCGCCTAGCAGGGAGCCCAACCCCAGGACCCTGGGATCATGACCCGAGCCAGAGACAGACACTAACCAACTGAGCCACCCAAGTGCCCCAGAATAACCCCGATTGTTAAAAGACAGAATTGGCACCTAGCTCTTAGAACATTATGCTCCAGTACAATTTTTCTAGTATTTTAGTAAGGTATTTTTGGATTCTTGAAGAACCTCATCTGACCAGTTGTGGGTTAAAGCACTGACTCCTGTAGAGTCGTTACAAATTTGAATTTGATATAAAAACAGAGTTAAGCTATTTTAATTTTTTCCCCAGTATCAGAAGTCAAGGAATAGTTATATCCTAGGAATGAAATAAATGGATATATATACTTTTTTTTTTTACAGAAATTCTGGCATACAAATACTTGTGGTTAATCCTTTCAGTGTTAATGTATAGAGAAATGTGTTTGATCATAGGTGGGTAGTGTGTCTTTTAAGGCATTGCTAACATTGAAAATATGTGGCTACACTGAAGAGAGATGATTGGATCAGTGTGTTTCACCCAGAAACATAGACTTTGAAAACTGTTTGCATGCTGTTAGGTAAGGTATTTCTCACCTTAATTATTCTTGTTTCCTTCATGTGGTCATGTCTTTGCACTAGTGAGATTTGAAATCTAAATAGTGGGTCTTGATTAAAATAACAGAATAGAAAATATCAGTGTGCATGGCACATAGGAAAGGTAAGTATTGTTTTGTCCAGTTGCGTGTGTGTGTGTGCGCGCATGCACAAACAGTTGAAATGTAAAGAGTTATTTTTGTGCCTAATTTAGAGATTTATAGGCATGGCACATTCCACAAGCGCATGCAGGTAGCATTCAGTCTCTCTCACTGTTGTAGTCAACGAGATGCTTGTAACTTCCTGGTTTCTCAATGTCTCCCGCCTCGGAGGCATAGTTCACATGCTTTTTACTGTCTTTTATCTTACTCTTTTGATTATAGAAACCATTTCTCATTTAGACTTCTGTATGCCAGTTAGAAAAATATGAGTTTGATTTTTGCAGGACATACATGAATCACCCTGTAGTCTGATGGTTATTGGTCTGAACAGGGGGTTTGGAGAATTACAGGTATTTCAGAATGACTTTATGACTCTGGACAGGCCATTTAATCAGAAGCCCATGATCAGACTTTTTGGTGGGCTGATAGTTTGTGGACAGCTGCTATTCCCTGCACAAGGTTAGTTTTCTGATCGGGAGTATTTATTTACTTACTACATAATTGTGGTCAAAGTAAAATCTCAGTAGTAAGGCCTAACTTCTCTTTTATCTTGTCAAAGTGTTAAACTTGGTTTTCAAACAGTAAAGGATGAGCACTCTTAGAAGTTTGAAGAATTGTGCCCTTTTTCCAATCCTTTGAAAATCAAACTAAAAGACTGTAATAGACCATTTAGGCTCTGTACAACCACTGAAATGACAGTTAAGGAAAAAAAACCACTGCGGAAGGTAAGCATGCTTAAAATGGTGGACTGTAGCTTGTTTGCTCTCTTTTGTAACAGGGGATGTCAGGTAAACTGAGTAAGTAATAGGGTGGGAGGCTTCAGAGCTGGGCAGAATGCATTGGAAATGGCATTTCCTTACTTATGTGGGATGGGGTTTTTAAAATGGGGACAGGTGTGAGGTTGGAGGCGTAGGAGCATATTTTCTTCCCCTCTTGATGAGGTTACTGCAGTGCAGTAGACATGACTGGGGAGGTCACTTGCCAGGCTATGGATTATTTTTAATTGGTGCATACTTTTACGGAAATGTCTTCTCCAAGAGGAAAATTAAGAATTTTCAATTTCACATAAATTAAACTTAGTATGCTTTTATTTTTTAAAAAAGGATGAGCTTAAGAACCTGGCAAATCCTTGACTTTATTTTTTATTTAATCCTTTACTTTATTTACCTTTACCTTCAGTCTTTGTCACTGTGGGTATGGAGTGCATTTTTGACATTGTTATAATCTCTATACATATTAATTTGTGCTCTTTTTGACTTATTTTCTCTATATATTACAGTTGACCCTTGAACAACATAGGTGTTGGGGCGCTGACCACCCCCCATGCAGTTGAAAACCACATACACCTTTTGACTCCCTCAAACCTTAACTACTGACAGCCCACTGTTTACCTGAAGCCTTGCCGATAGCATAAATGGTCGATTAACTCACATTTTGTATGTTATATACCATATTTATATGATATAGTAAGCTAGAGAAAAGATTATTAAAAAAATCAGAAGGAAGAGAAAATACATTTATAGTATTTATAAAAAAAAAAAATCTGTGTATATGTGGACCTGTGTAGTTCAAACCTGTGTTGTTCAATGGTAAGTGTATATGTAATATAATGTATTAAAGTATTACATAGAATACCTTAAAAATGTATCAGCATAGTTTCCATACTTTTTCTTTAGTGGCAGTATACAATTGTGTCTTGTTATTATACCATATTTCATTTGGTCTTTCACTTCCTTGGAACTGTTTGGAATGTTTTCAGTTTTTTGCTGTCCTAAATTGAACAAGTTTGAACATTTTTTAGTGTGCTTTTCAATAGGCTTTACTTAAACATTGTAAGAGAAACTATTCAGATGGTTTATAAATATGCTTTAAATGTTGAAATGTCTGCTTTATGATGTAGCAATGTTTCCACCCCTCTGACTTGCAGAACTGACTTCTGACTAAAGTGGGGTTTAAAAAGATGCAGAATCCTAACAGTGCTATTGCAACAATTAGGTTTTAATATTAAAAATGCCCATACTTTGCAAGTAGTCAATGGTGTTCCTCTTCCCCTTTCTTGAGTTTATTCTTGCTTCAGCTTACTTGCATTTCTTTCCCCACAGTTGTTTGTTGCTGGTTTGATTGTGCTGCTGTTAGATGAGCTGCTACAGAAGGGTTACGGCTTGGGGTCTGGTATTTCCCTCTTTATTGCCACCAACATCTGTGAAACCATTGTCTGGAAGGCCTTTAGTCCCACTACTATTAACACTGGCAGAGGTACATTGCACAGTGACTGCGACTGCACGAGTTTTGCTGGGTGTGTGCTGGAGAGTAACCCGTCACGGAGCAGGACGTGCCTGTAAACGTCCTGGTTTGCCGTCCCAGGGGACACCTGATGCTAACTGCTCAAGAGTTGAGCAGCAGAGATTTGTGGAGTATGAAACAATACTTCAGAAAGAATTAGATCTAAGTCTTAGCCTCTGCTCGTTGAAAATTTCAGTGGTTGCAAACAGCTTTTTAAAATGTTACTTGCTTAAGCCACTGCTGCAGAAGTCATTGACCTATTTCCGCATTCCCAGGGGGATAAAAAGGTAGTGGATTAAGATTTTTCAAATGAAAACGCTATTATTTATTGTATCATCAGGGAGCACTAATACTTTTGCTGCTATTCTCCTTGGCTTTGTAATAGCAACTAAATTTTGAAATCCTGCATTCTGTCTTTCCCCTTACCCATCTCCGTTTATCTCAAATGCCATCCAGGCTCCATAACGGTTAATGTCTAAACTGATCCCAGCCTTAAGAAAAGAGCAATGATGGTTTACTAGTATTCTTGGTAAAATAAACTTAAAAGCCAGCTCGAGAGAGTGACATAGATCTTTTGAGTCTGACATCTTTATTCTGCTTTGCTCTTGCTTTCCCCCCTCCTTAAAAATACTCCTTTCCCTTCCCTAAAGTAAAGGAGAGGCAAATCATTATGACCTAAATATTTGCTTAGGTTTATTCTACTTTGGCTGTTTTCATCAAGAATAGTCTCTTGAGAAAACTTGAGATTTGTGCTAATAAAAAAGATACATTTGCCTCAATGATGTGAAGATTTTTGGAAGCTCCACACATGGCTGTATTATAACGTAAGCATTGATGAATGATTTTGACTCCTATTTTCTGCCATGTACTGGAGGTTCAAGGTTATTTGTTTGATCTTCGGGACAGCTTTGGAGAAAGAGTCTACAGTGAATTTCTCTCTTGATTTATCAGGTACTGAGTTTGAGGGTGCAGTCATAGCGCTTTTTCACTTACTGGCCACCAGGACAGACAAGGTCCGTGCTTTAAGGGAGGCTTTCTATCGTCAGAACTTACCCAATCTCATGAACCTCATTGCTACGGTTTTTGTGTTTGCCGTTGTTATATATTTTCAGGTATGTATACTTTTTTCACCGAAATTGGTGGAATGTGGATTTTTATTATGCTCTTAAAGAAAAGAATGCCATTTGAAATGTCAGTATCTAACAAGTCAGTGCTGCAGAGTCTAGTCAAGCAAATAATTCTATTCTTTCAACTCTGAGGTGCAAAATATTGGTGGTGATGGCATAGAACAGGAGTTCCGTGTGTGTGTGTGGGGGAGAGGCGTGCAGGGAAAATGCTGGCGTTGCTTCTCACACTCTCTGGTGTATTGTTCTGCCTGTCATCTGTGTTCTTTACTTGAGTTGTGCACTTGCTCTTACTTCCTCTTCATTTTCATTTTTTAGGGATTTCGTGTTGACTTGCCCATCAAGTCGGCCCGGTATCGAGGACAGTACAGTAGCTATCCCATCAAGCTCTTCTACACCTCGAACATTCCCATTATTCTCCAGTCGGCCTTAGTGTCAAACCTGTATGTTATTTCCCAGATGCTGTCTGTTCGATTTAGTGGCAACTTTTTAGTAAATTTACTAGGACAGTGGGCTGTGAGTATTTTATTTATTCTAAGCATTCGTATTTATTGTAATTTCCATTTCATGGTTATATTTTTAACTGAAAGAGATGAGCCATAACTGAAGCAGTTGCTATAACATGTTCAGATTCACTTCCCTGTCGCAGAGTTTATAATTTTTTGGAAAGACGTTATACCCCCATCTTTCATGGCCTGGGTGGCAATAAACTAGTTGTGTTAACTGGGCTAGAGATAGGCCTGTGATTACTATATGGAGAGAGCACAGAGTTACCAGAAATAGAATCCAGCACTTTCTGACTTCCCCTTTAGAGATCCTGTCGTCATAGCTTCTTCCAAAGCAGTCCAGCCCCATTGTTACTGAAGTGTGAGTTATTGTCAGATCGAATTTTAATTGGTTTAAATTGTCATATGACCAAGGAGTATTTTTCCTCCTTAAAGCTATAGAATTAAAAGAGACCATGATTCTTTATTCTTTTACAGGATATGTAATTGTACAATTTATATTTCACCAACTGTTATTTTTTATAGTCATTATTTCTGAAATATGGTGCTTATTCTTTGCATTTATCTTAATGTGCTACCTACTACATTGTAAGTTACAGTGACCTATCTTTCTGCTTCCACTAAAGGTCTTTTTTTTTTCCCCTTTTTTTAAGTTTAACAGGATAAGACAGTACTTTTGAGTGTTAGTTGAAGGAAATAGGATTCCCTTTATCCACAGTACTTTTTCTCTGCTCATGTAACGGAAATGTGATTGCCTGTGATGAGGGAAGATGCGGTCCCTCCCTTTGAGAGCTAATAATCCATCAGTAATTATTACTGTAATGATTTCATAGCAATAAGTGCATTGAGTGGCTGTATATAGATTGTGTTGTGATCTTAACTAAGTTCCTTTTTAATGAGAGAATTACTGGGAAATTGAATTATGTCTATAAAGAGTACTTTTGATTGGGGATTAGTGATTCTAGGGGCACAGTAAAGAAATCAGTTTGAAATATGTATTCAGGAACTAGACATTGTAATCATTGCAGCCAGAAATTGCTTTCACACCCCCTGTACCCCAGAATTTACACTGTTCCCAGTTCTGTTACTATAAAAATTCTTAAATGTTTGTCTGGCTAAAAATCCTCTGATAAATATTTATTAAAGGACTATTTCTTACACAAAACATATAAAGTTTAGGCAGTGAGTTGTTAGTCGTCCGTCAATATTTCAATTGATTGTATTCTTCATAGAATACTTTGAAGTGAAAAAATATGTAGCAAACTCTTGTATAGTTAAAGTGCAGAAAGTTTCAGATTCTAAATGTAATCAGAGATTGACAATAAACGTAATGATATTCCTGTCTTTAGGAAAAGAAGAGAGATTTTTTTGGTAAATGTATTATAATGTTGGTTTTTAAAAGATCACTCTTCTGTTAGTAATAAATTCCCAGTGTCTTTTATATAATAGATGCTCACTATATAATTTTGAAGGAGTGAAGATATTAGACACAAAAGTAAATCTTTAAGTTACATAGAATTGTTAGCTGTAGGTGCTCTGAGCTTAAAGCATTGTTGTAATTTTTGAGGAGTTTGAAAAGTCATAAAAATGTATCTTGACCAGTTGCGTTCACCATCTATCCTTTTTATTCTTGTTATGTAGGATGTCAGTGGGGGAGGACCTGCTCGTTCTTACCCGGTGGGAGGCCTTTGTTACTATCTTTCTCCTCCCGAGTCCATGGGCGCCATATTTGAGGATCCTGTCCATGTGGTTGTTTATATCATCTTCATGTTGGGATCATGTGCATTCTTTTCTAAGACATGGATAGAGGTGTCTGGTTCCTCAGCCAAAGATGTAAGTATTTATTGCATTTGAAAATAAACGTTTTTATTTTCAAAATGGTAATTGAAACACTTTTAATTACTTTTATAATTTAAACTTTTAAGTCATACAGTCTTAATAATGAGGTACTATCACCCCTAAGGGGTTTGGAAGGTGGAAAAATTCTTAGATTTTTACAGTGGTTTGTGAACCCTCCAAAGCTGAACCGTACCCAACAAATTCTTATTCCTTAGTATTTAATTTCTGTTTAGGGAGGTGAAAAATAGAAAAGATTGAGAAACACTGGTTTAATGTGTGGGTAGTAGGTGGTGTGCAACATTGAGTCTCAGGTGTAATGGGAATGATATGACAGTGCCTACTTAACGGTCTCATATTTGATTTATTGGTGTGTGGAAAGCCACTTCACACAGAACCTGGTAGGTAGTAAACAGTGAAATATTTATAGTTTGATTTTATAAGTTGTTTTTCTCTTGGCAGGTAGCTAAGCAGCTTAAAGAACAGCAAATGGTAATGAGGGGCCACAGAGATACCTCTATGGTTCATGAGCTTAATAGGTAAGGTCATGAGATTTAATCCTTGATGTGTGTGTGTGTGTGTGTGTACGTATACATGTATTTGGTTTTTCAATCTTTAATTTATTGTCATGTTAGTTATCCTGTTTGAATATGAAGCATCTTTCTTCTACTTCACACAGAAGAAGCAAAATTTAACACAATACTGAATTGTTCTCTAAAATTATTCCCCATCAAAGTTGACATCTAAATTATTTTTTAAAATTGTGTTCCCTTCACTGCTCAGCCCAGTATTTAAAATATTCCTGATTGGAGGTCCTCATTGTCTGGTTGCACATAAAATCACCTGGGAGCTTTTATTTTTTTTATTTTTATTTTTTTTTAACGATTCCATCTATTTATTTGACAAAGAGAGACACAGCGAGAGAGGGAACACAAGCAGGGGGAGTGGGAGAGGGAGAAGCAGGCTTCCCGCGGAGCAGGGAGCCTGATGCGGGACTCGATACCAGGGCCCTGGGATCATGACCTGAGCCGAAGGCAGACACCCAATGACTGAGCCACCCAGGTGCCCCCTGGGAGCTTTTAAAAAGTACTGATGTTCCACCTCTAGGAATTGTGATTTATTTGGTCTAGGGTGGATCCCATCATTAGTTTATTTTTTGATAACAGCTTTATTGAGGTATAATTCACATCCCATGTAATTCATTCATTTGAATTATATGGTTTAGTGTTCTTGTTTTTAGTATATTCAGTGTGTGTAATCATTACAATGTAATTTAAAAAACGTTTTTGTCACCAGAGTGCCTGGCTGGCTCAGAAGAGCGTGAGACTCTTGATCTCAGGTCGTGAGTTTGAGCCCAACATAGGGTGTAGAGAGTACTAAAAACAAAACAAAACAAAACACAACACAACACAACTTAAAAAACAAACCAGAAATATTTTCATCACCCAGAAAGAAACCTTGTACCTATTGGTTATTCCCCATTCCTATCTTACCTCCCATCCCCGAGCCAACTTTTTAGTTTTGATCTCTACAGATTTGCCTCTTCTGGACATTTCATATAAATGGACTTGTGATCTTTGGTGAAGAGCTTTTTTCACTTGGCATAAAGTTTTCAGGGTTCATGCATTATTTGTGAACGATATTCCATCATACAGATGTGCTAAATCACATTTGTTTATCCATTCATCAGTTGATGGGAGATTTTGGTTGTTTCCAGTTTTTGACTGTCAGGAATAATGCTATTAAGAACATGTTTGTACACGTTTTGTGTGGCCATGTTTTCATTGCTGTAGGAGTGGAATTTTGTTGGGTCATCTAGTAACTCTGTGTTTAACAACCGAGGAACCGGCAGCTATTTTCTAGCGTGGCTGTACCGGTCTGCATTCCCACCAGCAGTGGATGAAGCTTCCAGTTGTTCACATCCTTGCAAGCACCACTTCGTGCTTTTTGATTATAGTGGGTAGGAAGTGGCAGCTTTTTGGTGGCTTTGATTTGCATTTCCCTGATGAGTAATGACGTTGAACATCTTTTCATGCATTTAATTAGCTATTTGTGTATCTTCTTTGGAGAAATGTCTTTTCAGATCTTTTGCTTGTTTTAATCGTATTGTCTCTTTGTTACCGAGTTGTAAGATTCTTTAAAAAAAAAAGTATTTTGGATATGCCTCTTCTCAGGTATATGATTTATAAATATTTTATTGCCATTCTATGGGTTGTCTTTTCACTTTCTTGGTGTCCTTTGATGTACAAGTTATAAATTTAGATGAAGTTCAGTTTCTCTTGGTTGCTTTGTGCTGCTCTTAGTGTTTAAGAAACCATCTCCTAACCCCAAGGTCACAAAGATTTATTCTTGTTTTCCATTAGGAGTCTCGGCTCTTACATTCAGGTCTTTGAACCGCTTTGCGCAAATTTGTTTTGTGTTTAGTGTGAAATAGGGATCCAGATTTCTTTTTGTGCATGTGGATATCCAGTTCCAGAGCCATTGGTTGAAAGGCACTTGTATTTTTATGTAAACTTTTTATTTATTTCACACCTAGGTTGCAGAGAGTAGTAGAATGAACCTCCAGGTACCCAGCTTGTGTCCAGCTTCAGTAGTTAGCCTCATTCTGCCATTCCTGTTCATCCACCATCTCCCCCACGCCTTCTCCCCCGCTTCTTTCTGGAGTATTTTAAACACAATCCCATTGTTTCTAAGAGTTCTTCAGGTGATTCTAACGTGCAGCCAAGATTGAGTTACCGTAAAAGAGGATCATCCATATCTTGTCATGTAAATTTGATACTTAAAAAGCATTTTGAAATTTACTCTTCATCTACAAGAGTGAGCTAAAGAGGACCTATTTCAAACGGTACCTATTTTAATACTTAAATCTGTTGAGGATTCTAGCCTTCTGCCATAAAAATCACGTATTGCTTTTCTTGGCTGTTGCCTGGTTTCTGGAAACCGGGGTCCCGTCCTTCCCTGAGTCACAAAGTCTCCATCAGCATGTCAGCACTGTGTGGGACACGCACGCCATCCCACAGATGGTGCCCCCCCCCCCCCCCCCGCTGGTGTAGTGTGCCGACGACACAGCTCCCGTGTCCCGCGCTGGCTGACTGAGGCTCTGTCTTGCAGGTACATCCCCACGGCGGCCGCGTTTGGTGGCCTGTGCATCGGCGCCCTGTCGGTGTTAGCCGACTTCCTCGGGGCCATCGGCTCCGGCACCGGCATCCTGCTCGCGGTCACTATTATTTATCAGTATTTTGAAATTTTTGTCAAGGAACAGGCTGAAGTCGGTGGGATGGGTGCTTTGTTTTTCTAGATGTTCCAATATTTCTTCTCGTGTGTGTGAAAGGGAGAATACTTTTGACACGTTGTTTTTGTCCAGTAACGCTGGTTCCCCTTTTCTTCCCTCACAGTTTGTGTTCACGTGCTCACTGGCCCATTTGTGAAATGGGCGCCGAGCTGAGCCTGTGTGCAGCACGAGTACCGGCTGCCTTAAAACTAAAGTTTACATTATTCGTTCGGAAACGTCCGTGTAGTGTTGCCTGTGATGCTGGAAAGCAGTGTAGCTGCCGTGCCCTGCTCACTTGTGGCGGCCAGACGGTGGTGTGGATCAGTTTTGCACACAACGTTCAGAACACTCACTCTTCCCCCCACTTGGTTCAAAATAAATGTAGTTCAAATTGCCACTTTCCAGTATTTTTGAGCTTATTTAATGAGTTCTGGAACATTTGTATCTAATCTGTATTTTAGATATAATTAACTTTTTATACTTTTTTAACTCCTCGTATCCACGGTCCCACCCTCCCGCTCCGCCCCCCCCCCCCCGACTTGTCCCCTCTCAGAGCTGCCCCTCAGCCCACATGGGCCACGTGGGGCTTCAGTTCCAGCGGGTCCTAGAAACCCCTGCTTGTAATTACTCCTCCTGGTTTTCATTCCTTTCTTCCCAGTGACAGCAGTCGGTGCTGTTTTACTGTATTGGCTATGCCTTCGAATTCCAACACATCACTTGAGAATACTCTTTGCAGATACAATGCCCCAGCTCTGATCTTTTTTTTTAAATCCCTAAAGCAAAGCTCTGATTCTCACGCAATGTCTGTGGTTCAGTGGGGGTGAACGATGGGTAATTCATGCTAGGAATTTGTGTACGTTGTTGTACGTGACAGCAGCAACATGGGTGTAAACAGTAGAAAATAAAACTTTATTTAATAAAACTGTTTCGGTTGTGTTGGAAAAATAAAATCGGATATTAAATGATTTCTAAGATTATTTGTATAGGTTCATCATAATCCTACAAAACCCATCCTGAGAGGTTGTGGCAAGAGGTCAAATGTAATTATCATTTAGTGTTTAATCCTAAACCTGTTGAGGAACAGGGACCAGCTTAAAGGTGCTCAGTTACGCGACTGACACCGGAAAGAGTAGGAAAACAGCAGTCTCAGGTAACGTCCCAGTCTCCATCCGAAGTAGCATAGCTCTTTATAATTATATTTTTTAAACTGTGTGCTCTGTCGGCCTCAAAGAGATCACACTTCATTTTTGAAAGATCCTTTTCAGAAGTCAGGGTTTCCATTGTTTACTTTCTGAGTAAGTGCAGGAAGTGCATCTTATTTAGGCCAGGATCACAAAGCCAAATGGCTACAGGGAGGCAGATAAAACAGAACCTGCAGGACAGGAACAGTGGTCATCTGGAGGACATCTCCTCAGGGACTCAGACCACTGTGACCATAGAAATGTGGATCCAATGTTGTCATACATGATTTTTTTTTTCCCCCAAGAGAAGGTGGAAATAGGGCTTTTTATGGGAAAGCTTGAACTTTCAAATGCTCTTGAATGACCAGTGTGAGCCACGGGAAACATCCAGACTGCCGGCTTTCGAACTGACCTGACTTCCCAAGTACAGCCTTGGACGTTTAAAGGTTAACATAAAGGGCATTAGGGGTATGTTCTAGGATTTAGCTGTCACTTCTAATTTGCACTCTTGGGAAGAGAAAAAGGTAGAAAGGACAGGTAGGAGTTATAAAGATCTCTCTTCCACCAACATTTAAAAGGTTTCTCCGTTCTTGTGGGGAGTGGCTTTGGAAGAGCTGGTCTGTTTGGAGACTGGTCTGTGCCCGAGTCTGTATATTTTCCATATGCCTTCTGTTCCTTGATTTTTGAAGGAGGGCAGTAACAGGGGAGATTAGAGAACTTGGCCTTTGGGAGCTCAGGGAGAAGGAGTAAGATCTCTGGAGAATCATGATGCCTAGGATTAAAAATAAGGATTTTTTTTTAAAAGGTTAGGGGCACAGGGGAAGGCTACTATTAGAGCAAGTAGTTGGGGGCCTAATTTTTGCAATATTTATAGAGTAGACTTAATCTAGACAGTTCTCCAGTTCCATATTTTCCCCCTTTGTTTAGGAAGTCTAATAGATCTTGTACTTTTGCCCACAAAAACATCTTTGCATACAGAGATGAACACAGTGATACACTGAATACACAGTGACGCTGTAGACAAATGAACTATATTACAGCATTCCTGGCATTCGTATCCTGGTTTTATCTGGTTTTAGGGGCCTGAGCCCCGATTTAGGGCTGGCCAGGGAGCATCACTCTGAGACTTCCACTGGGGGCTCTTCAGAATATCCAGCAAGATAGTTCCTGGAGCTGCTGGAGGCCACAGAAGTCAACACAAGGGCCGAGCTCAGCCAAAAGATGAGAAAACGGCCCAGGACCACTTGTAGACCTTTTGGATGATGGGGGCTTTAGGCATGGCCCGAGCCGGAGACAGTGCCCCTGTTCTCCCCTGTAAGGTAGTTGTATTGGGTTTCTGGTATTTGCTGACCTTGCTAGTAGCTACACTCCGGGTTCAACACCAAGACAGGGATGCCCCCCCAGCCACGTAAATGGATTTGGTTTTAGAAACTTGAAGTACCTTCTGAGGTAAGGATAGGAAGTGAAATTCTAAAGTATATACACCTGCTTGAGGGAAGGGCCCTGTATTTTCATTAGCTTCTTAACCTTGTTCTAAGTGAATGGAATCAACCATTTTTCATTACCTAACAGCCTGTTTACCTTCAGTAGTTAGGTGGGTAGGAGGACACTAGCCAAGTGTAAACATTTGCTTCTCATGAATGTTACTCTCTCTTGATTTTACACTCTGCTATGCTATAGCGGATAATTAGGAGGACCAGTAAAGTACCTGTATAGGTCTGTCTTTAAAAAAAAAACAAAAAACTTTTGTTTAAACACTGATGTAGTAGATAGTTATTTGCATACCTAGTTACAGAAGTTTATATGGGGGCTGAGGGTGGGAATAATTGACCTAATTTGGAATTTAGGTCATTTTTCTTCTAGAAATATCCTACCTGTTGGAGTAGATTAGATAAGGAACAGCTGAACTTTAAAAATAAACTGGAGTAAAAACTGGGTATCTGCATTTATGTTCTTTTTCATAACTATTTGCTGGAGTTTAGCATTTAAATGAAGACTACAGCCTACCTGTAATTACAATTCCATATCACCACATGTATTCTGTGTTGCTTTTATTTAATGAAAACTAATTTCAAGTCTACAGTAAGCTAAGCTGAATACAAAGTCTTAGTGAAGGAGGCCTGGTGGTCTTATTTATAAAAACATGGCTACTGTCCTTTGGCCTTAAAACTTCAGGAAAGGCACTTCAAACGGCTTCGTGTTTGCATGTTTCAGTGCCAGAGCGTAGGAATAGACCCTGGCGTCCACGGTCAGATGTTCTTCAGCTACCAGAGCTAGAGGAAGCAAAGGATACAAGTTAGATAATGAAGTTAATCAAGGACAATGCCCCTTATCCATCAGTCCGTCTTTACTGAGCTACTACTATGTGCCAGGTCCTGTGCCGGATGCCGGAGGTAAAGTGGTGAACAAGACATTTTCTGCCTTCAAGGATCTTACTCTAGTGAGATAGAAGATGAAAGGATATATAAGCAGGATTACAGTTCCAGCAAGAGACAAGAACAAGAAAAAAGCATAAAGGCAGAAGATCACACATTCGAGATGGTTTTATGTGTTAAAACAGCAACGTTCTAAGTTTGTAGATTGATTTGTTCATTTATAGCTCGTTCTAGGGCTCAGTGGTGATTCTTCAGTCCCTCAAAGAGGGGTTCATCTGTCTTCTCCACTGCTAGGGAATACGTATTTTCTATCCACAAGTTAAGCTGTGTGCACGACGGGACTGGAATTCCAGCAAGAATGAGGTTTGAGGGGCGCCTGGATGGCTCAGTTGGTTTAGCGTCTGCCTTCGGCTCAGGTCATGATCGCGGGGTCCTGGGATCCAGCCCCGCATCGGGCTCCCTGCTCAGCGGGGAGCCTGCTTCTCCCTCTCCCTTCCCCTGGTGGTGCTTACTCTCTCTTTCAAATAAAGAAAATCTTTTTCTTTTTTTAAAGAATGACGTCTCAGAATCTTACGCTGTACAGTGGGCTTTAACGAGAACTTCTGTGTCGCTCTGGTGGGGGTGATCAGACTTGGCACCTGTCACTTGTTTTCCTAGCCGCTGGTGCAGGAACACGCTCAGAGACATGCTGATCCTGGAAGGCAGGGTTAGGTCCTCCTCTGTGCATGGTAGGTGCCTGGTAAGTGTTGAAAGTTACTCCTTAGAGCAAACAACTCAAAATACCTTCCCAAATGTTAACTTGTTGAATAAATGGTTTGATTGCTGTATTTTGATTCTAATAAAGCCAGGAAAAAGGGTTCTTTTCCCCCTTCCTCTTTCTACAGATCTGTCTCTGTCTTCCCCTCTTCTAAGGCTAGAAGGAGGTGAAGTTGGACGGAAGGGAGAAGGAAGTTAGTTCTTTGAGAGAATACTTCTGTAAGACCCACGGTGTCTAACATTTAAGCCCTTTAGTGCCAACATTATCTTGTTTAATTTTATTGCTGCCTCCTCAGAGATGGGGGTTACCCCTTGTCCTGTTTTAGGAGAAAAGCCGGGAGAGGCTGCGAAACGTGTTCTGGTTCGTGACTGATACACGGTCGGCTGAGGGGACCCAGGCAGACGCGACAGACTCCGAGTTGTGCTGTCCGTCACTGGCAGCTACAGCTTTCTCTGAGTAAACCGTGGCTTGCTTCGGTGTGAGCGTTTCTAATCTGAGACCCTGGTGCTTTTTACCTCAGGCCTAGTTTTTATGTTTTTTATCTTATTTTATTTTTTTTTAAGATTTTATTTATTTATTTGACAGAGAGTGAGCATGAGCTGGGGGAGGGGCAGAGGGAGAGGGAGAAGCAGGCTTCCCGCCGAGCAGGGAGCCCGATGTGGGGCTTGGTCCCAGGACCCCAGGACCATGACCTGAGCTGAAGGCAGATGCTTAACGACTGAGCCACCCAGGCGCCCCTAGGTCTAGTTTTTAAAAAGGTAAAGTAGGAAGGAGTGCTTTCTGGGAATTCTGAAATCACAGTCGTTTTTGGAAGCTCATACTTACTTCTAAAACAACACAGACATCAGAAATAAAATGGTAAGCCACTGGTTCTTATAGAAGGAGAGGAAGAGAGAGCCCTCAAAGCCTCAGGTCAAACAGTGCTTCAAGTTACTTTTCGAAGTAAAAATTTTAAAACATTCAAATTAGGAAGATTATCTGTTTCTTTACAAATGAGTGAATGGGGCCCTCCCAGCCGGGCCTCTGTCTGTCTCCGGTACAGTACCTCCTACTGTCGTTCTATCAGGGGACATTTGTCCACATAACCTTATTTAATTTTTTTACCAGATCCCTAGGAGATGGCTTGACCAGGAATTACATGACCAGTGATTTACTAGGGGTCACACCGGTAGTCTGATTCATTATATCAGCATATATTGCTCTTCCTATACCTCCATCTTTGCAGAAGGAATAGTGTTAAATTCTCCTTTAGCTTCAATCCTGCACAGAGAACCATCCAGCAGGTTAGCATCTTGGAGGATCAGCTAAGAGATACCTACTTAGGCCTCTGCATTGCCATGGATTAGAGATTTGAGGTATAGAGTTTTGGCAAATCTACAGGAATATCATCCTGACTCTTCTATAGAAAAAAAAAAAAAAATCCACACTACTGAAAGCTTTCACTTGACGTAGAATGTTTTGCTCACATTTTCAAACTCTGCCACCCAGAAAGGAAAATTACTGTTGGTGAACTGCAGTTGTACAACAGTTTCTAGGTATTTGACTTTAATGAGGAAGACTGTAATTACAGAAGGGGAATTCTATTTAGTGCCCCACTGGATGGGGCTGAGGATGGGGAAAATTGAGGAAGTTGGGGAATAGTCTTAATGCTTACCATCAAGTCTCTTCAGCAGGTCATTCTTTGGTAAGGAAATTACTTCGACAAATTCTAAACAAACAAAGTGCAAGTGAAAACAAAGCTGAAGAATAAGAGGGCCTACCAGAACACCACCAAATGCCTGCAGCCATTTCCACCGCGCTAAGCCACACACACGGTCAGCCACGGCTAGCTGGGTAACATACCTCCTTCTCCTGAAAACAGACAAGAGGGACGGCGTTAGAGCAGGGCCCGCTGCGGGCAAACACCGCAAGGCTTTTGTGCAACACACACACCGAGAAGGGCGGAAGAATTCAACAGAAACCTGGGTCTCTACTAATTTGATCTGGGTACATGGTAAAAAGCATTCCAACAGTGCAAAATTATCGTTCTCCAAATCAAATGTGTAATAGCAACATGTAAAGCATGTTCTAGGATACACGACACGTGCATTTTTAAGTTGTTAAAATACACACAATTCACCATTTTAACCACTTTTAAAGGTACAGTTCAGAGGCATTAAATACATTCACGCTGCTGTGCAGTTATCAGCATTATCCTTCTCTGGAGCTTTGTCAGCCTCACAAAGAGAAGCGTGGTAGCCACTAAGCAGTGCGTCCCCATACACGCTGACCTCTATTCTACTTTCTGTCTCTATGAATACACGGATTTTAGGTAACCTCATATGGGTGGAAGCACAGGATTTACGCTTAAAAATTTTTTTTCTTTTTTAAAGTGAGCTCTACGCCCAACGTGGGGCCTGAACTCATGACCTGGAGATCAAGAGTCGCATGCTCTAGGGACTGGGCCAGCCCGGTGTCCCTATTTACACTTTTTTGTCTGGCTGCACTAAGCACTCGGCACAGCGTTTCAGACTTCATCCTGTTACAGGCTGCACCAGCAGGTCTCTTTAAGGGCTGGATGCTGTCCTGCTGTGCATCGGCTAATGGACACCTTTTGGGTACTGTGAGGGCGGCTACGTGAACGCTGGTGTGCAAGTGTCCGGGTGAGCCCCTGCCCCTGCTTTCAGTGCTTTGCGGTGTAGAGCTAGGAGTGGAACTGCTGGCTAATGGTGATCCTGTTCACCTCTGAGGACGGCTCTTGCACTGCATGTCATACGCGTATTAGCAAGTTTGAACCGAGCATTTAGAATCAGCTGCAAAGGGACTGGAACATTCAGGAGCACGTGAGGCGGTGAGAAATGGAAGAGTACGGCTGTGACACGTGACCGTGTGTGTGTGTGTGAGATCACCACCTGTAACGGGGTGGGAGACGACATGGACAGACAGAGGCATCAAAGCTCGAGTCCAGACTTGCTGAGAAATTAATAATAGAGCCAGGAACCTCCTACACGCTTCTCTAAGTACGGAACCCCATGAAGACTAGTCAGCTGCTATCTGCTCACAATAATTTATGCCATTCTTAAAACACACGAAGACAGAAATGAGTGATTCTGAAGATTTTCACTGTTTACTATTCAGATTTGTGGCTCATACTACCATGTGGGCATAAACTCCACACAGAAAATACGTAAATATTGTTAATTTGACATTTTATAAAAGAAAGCATAAAGCTCAGTAAGCGTTGAAAGAAAAATGCTAAAGGACCCAAGATTAGGAAAAGGGCCTGGAGTACTGACGGAGGACCTACAAGCCTATTCTGACAAGCCAGAAGCCGAATCAGCGGCAAGTTCAACGGTCTTTAACGCAACAGAAGCACCTTAAGCGTATCCACTGCACACTCACCTGGCTTTGGCTTAGGCCTCACGTTTTCAGCATCGTCCCCATTAATAGTCACTGTCACGATGTGTGTGGTACAGTTTGTCAAACCTGGATCCATACATACAGCTACGGAGAGAAGCGACAGATCACCTTGACAGACACTAGTCACGTGCCACTTCTTTCATTACTTAAATGTCTTCGGAAGAAACCTGGGCTCGTGATTCATAGTTAACACAGAACTCGTGCAGGCAAACGACGGTTGACCCGATCCGCTTAGTGGAGCTGCAGGACCGCCGAGCGTACGCGTAGCCAGCACTCGTACCGTCCCCCGAGTTCCTAAGTGTGCTAAGTCTGAGGGGTTAGGTGGTACTGCCATGCTGTCAACTCCTGTCACCACAACAAGAAACAAACTCTAGTGAGGTGCTTGGCACATGGATGAGGTAAGAAAGCATAAAGCTTAGGACGTGGGAAACTCGGGAAGGTAACGGATTTCACATTTCTGCTCCAGCTTCAGGGCCTTCTTGGTCAAACTGGCTGCCCTGCGGAGGGGAGGCTCACGGGTAGGGGGTGACCCAATCTAACTAGGATTTCTTGTCAGTGAATTAGCCAAGACAGAAGCCATCTGAATCCTGAGCATAAAGAACACCCGCATTATCCTTTACACACAGAAGAATCTACGGCTTGACTAATTTTCAAGAGTCTGTCCCCTAGCGCACACCTGGACAGCAATACACACCTGGAGAACACTCGGCAACATCGCCCTTGTAGCCAGTTTCTTCCTCAAGCTCCCGAAGAGCGGCTGCTTCTGGGCTCTCATTATCATCGATGAGCCCTGGAAGTTCAAACCATTTGTGAGGTGGGCTAGAGAAATCCAGGGTTTTGGAACCTCTCCTTCTAGTATAATTGCGGTTGAGCTACATGAGAAGAACCAGAGGACTGTGGAATGTGGTTGTACAGGTACAACTGACTGAGGTTTGGAACTTTTTTAAGAAAAAACCCTAGGCAGATCGAATAGGTTCCGGTAGCTCCCATCTGTTCGTCTTACTTAGACCTCAACTGTTCCCACGAGTGTCTCGGCACTTGTGTTCTGCAGCCCGGAAAGCGCGGATTCCTGTGAGAAGTGGCTCGGTGGTGTTGGCCCACTGGCCTCGGTGACGGACCCAGCTATGTGCCCCCGCCCAGGAAGCCTGGTACTCTTTCCAGTTTTCTCAGGTCACAGTGTCACCTACTTGCTTTCCTCCCTCGCAGAGCGATCCTGCGGCCTGGACAGAAAGGCCGGCATGAGCATCACCTGCGAGGGAGAAGGCTGGGAGGCTGGCGGACTCGAGGCAGCTGATAGGGAGGCCAAGTGGGGAGGACCACAGAACTTGGATTATTTTACTCGAAATAACGCAATGAAAAAGCAAAATACAGCCTATTCTGTTACTTTTAAAGTTATTAATTTCTCCAGTGAAATGGCTGGTAAATGAGAAGGAAAGTTGGTGTGCCTTCTCATGGGCTGGAATTTCAAAGTACAAAACCTATACCGCTAATGATAAATAAATGAGATCTAATCTCTTCAGATGGGAACAACCCAGTTAAGTCCTATGCCATAAGAGCTTCAAATTCTGGATAGCTCTACTTAACCGTGCAACTCAAGAGAATATTCTAGTGGAAGTTAAGACCGTTTCCCTAGCCTGTGTACATATAGGAAGATCAAGATGTCTTTTCCCTTCATAATTTTTGGAGTTAAGAGTCTGACCTCGTTATTACTGTGAGTTTCTGGTCGGAGGCAGATCGCTAGTGATAGAAAATGGAACTCAGTTGACAAACTAGGGAAACGCAATTCCTCAAAGAGAAGTTAGAATGTTGCTGAGATGTGGCCGGGAAAGGCCAGCTGGGACACTACCCTTGCCTCGCTCTCAGGCTTAGCGCGTCACTAGAACATGACCGGGGGCAGCTTGCTGCAGGGATGCTTCTGTTTTACTTAAAACCACAGGGACAGGTGAAAGCGTTCAGGGTCCACGCGCTGCAGTGCTCGGCGCCGGGCCCGGCGGTCCCTCGGTTCGGGGACTCACCTGCAGGGAATTCTAGGCAGTAGCCTCCCATCGGTGGCCGGAACTGCTTCACCAGAACGATGCACTCGTAATGAAGAGTCCGCTGCAGCACCGGGATGACCGCCACGCCTGTGAGAAGGAGATCAAACCAAGGGAATCCCTAATGAAATGTCCGTGGACATTTAGCACAGGGTCAAGGACTCATTCCTGCCTTACGCTAACCTCTGCAGAGGCCCATTTCTCACCCTGCAGCAAGCCAGGCCGCGGGGGAAGGGACAGTCATCTACGTGTGCTTGTACGTCCTTGAAGCAATGAATCAAGTCAGTCTTGCTGTTTATGGTAAACGCTAGCTACACTGGATTTGATTGTTTTAGGATCGAGGACCTTTTCTCCCAAGAGAGAAACCTTTTGCATGGCCTTAAAACATAGGCAAAATCCCACTGTGTTCTGGAAAACACAAATTGCCTACGGGGAGCTCTTGGCTACTCCCTTGCCCCCGACTATCCCCACAGGCAGAAACAGCAGCTGTTGTAGCTACTCTGTGTACTTTCAGTAAAAACAGACAACAAAATGAAAGGGAAAAACAAAGACCTACTGCCCAACCTCCCCTAGATCAGAGGTGATTCTCAGGATCTTTGCAGTCAAAGCATTTGTGCGCGGAAAGGACAGTGAAATGAATGCGTGGAATAGTCTCCTAATTCCATTTCCTCATCAGCTTATAAAGCAACTGGTCCATCATAAAGTAGGGCCAAATACTTTTCCAAATTAAAGGCTTTCCCCTAGGTCCTCTGAAGAGAATACAAAGGGTTTCGAAAAGTCGCATCTAGACGACAGTGTGTGGCTTCAAGTTATACTGACTTAAATTTGGCTCTAAATATTAGTATACCTGCCCCTCAAAATATTGTACCGAGCCGAGATAACAGGAGCCAGGATTATTTATAAAGAAAGCCCGACTGGGATGCCTGGGTGGTGCCTTTGGTTAAGCGTCTTGATTCTTGCTTTCGGCTCAGGTCGTGATCTCAGGGTCGTGAGATCAAGCCCCACATCAGCACGGGGTCTGCTTAAACTCTCTCTCCCTCCACCTGCCACGCTCTCTCAAATAAATAAATAAATCTGTAAAAGAAAGCCTGATTTAGGGCGCCTGGGTGGCTCAGTCGGTTAGGCGACTGCCTTCGGCTCAGGTCATGATCCCGGAGTCCCGGGATCGAGTCCCGCATCGGGCTCCCTGCTCGGCAGGGAGTCTGCTTCTCCCTCTGACCCTCCTCCCTCTCATGCTCTCTGTCTCTCATTCTCTCTCTCTCGCAAATAAATAAAATCTTAAAAAAAATAAAAAAAGGGCGCCTGGGTGGCTCAGTTGGTTAAGCGACTGTCTTCGGCTCAGGCCATGATCCTGGAGTCCCGGGATCGAGTCCCGCATCGGGCTCCCTGCTCGGCAGGGAGCCTGCTCCTCCCTCCGACCCTCCCCCCTCTCATGTGCTCTCTCTCTCAAATAAATAAATAAAATCTTTAAAAAAAAAAAAGAAAGCCTGATTTAGTCATGTAGCAATGCAAAAAGCAATAGTAGGTTTAAAGATGAAAGATCATAATTGAAGAGAACTGCTCTGAGGTCTTGGTTAAAGTAAAAAGAACCCCGCCTCCTGCAATAATGCGCAGCGACTTCCTTCATGAAGAGCTGTAACAGGTTTGCACTCCTACCATCAGCCGACTGTCCTTTCCTGGTTGTACGTTTCACAGTTTCCCAAGTTCTGTTCAGGCAGAGAAGAAAAAACAAAATCACTGGTGTTACAGAGGGGGAATGTCCTTGGGTTTTCGGTCCACAACCAGAACTTTCAAATGCCAAGCATGCAAGTGTTCTAATGATCATGGTCAAGAAGACCACAGCCATACACGTCTGTACAGCAAAAGCCAACTATGCTTTCCTGTAGCTCCTGAAAATTTTTCCAAAGAAAACATGCCGCCCTACATCTAACCCTCTGATGCTATCTAAAGAGAAGGCCTGTTGTTCGCTTGAGCTGCCTTTCAAATCGTCCACTGGAAATATTTCAGGTTGGATCATAAATCTACAGGTGAGCAGTCAATTAAGCTACAAAGCTACTGAGTGGTCTGTGCAAATTACGCCCCTATGAAAAGTCCAGTCTTTTTGCTAAGAACAAAAGATATTCTGCATAATATGAATATGAACTCCTGAGATGTTATTTACACATGACCTAAAATAACAATTTAAGAAAGCAGGACCATTCCATTTATTCATTGAGGAATTACTAAATTTAGGTAAGTGCTCTCTTTTGCATGTGTGAGATCTATCTTTACCTAAGGGGAAAATGGTCCACAGAGGAAAAAGTGAGATGAGCAATGGCAGGTTCCTGCTCCCTTTCCGTGGTTAGCTGTTTTTTTCTGGGGAAAGCTGTCCTGAAAATCCAGTTATTGCTACAATTGTGTCAATTGTGTTTGAAGGGGAAGGACACGTGAGGGAAATTCCCCTTCACTCTCTTATCCCTTAAACAGAAAGGAGCAGTGCTAAGAGATGGGAGTGAAGAAGCAGATCAACTTTGGATCTAAGAGAAATAAGACATCTGAGTGGCGCTGGAGACTAGGGTAAGAAAGGCATCAACGTCTGCCTCCCCACAGAAGAGTGGGTTTGAGGAGATGGGCTGCCCAGAGGGGCCCTCACACTTTTGACCAGCTTGTCCTTAAGGGTTGGGCTGTGCCACATTTCTATGGAAAAAATCTAGCTATTTCATCTAGTTAAAAAAACAAAACAAAAAAACCTTTCTGGGGGCGCCTGGGTGGCTCAGTCAGTTAAGCATCTGCCTTCGGCTCAGGTCGTGATCTCAGGGTCCTGGGATCAAGCCCCACATCGGGCTCCCTGCTCATCGGGGAGTCTGCTTCTCTCTCTGCCCTTCCCCCCTGCTTGTGCTCTCTCTCAAATAAATAAATAAAATCTTAAAAAAAAAAAAAAAAAGAACCTTTCTGTAAACTGTAGATCTTTTGGTATTATATGCAAATTCTAATGGCAAATGTGTCAAAATGAACCTACAGAAACCAAACACTATTATGACAACTCACAACTGCCCAACATTCCTGTTAGTAACAAGAAGCCAACCAACAAGCAATTCTGATCAGTAAATAATACAGACTGCAAGAGACAAAACACCTTTTGGCATAGCTCTCTCTGCTACCTCTTAAGGTTAGTTGTAAAGACTGAAGAAGACAGTGCTGAGGAACACTGAAGGTGCCACCCCAAAAACACTAGGAATAAGGGAAACAAAAAGAGTAGCATCATTACAGTGGTTAAGATGAAGTAAAATAACCAGTAACAAGCCATGAATCATGAGCAAGGAAATATAAATGCATTTATAAGGAATCCTAGATCAGGAATGCCCCATGAGAGCTCCAATCATCTTCAAGGGACTCTGAGAGACAGACATTTGATTGAGTCAGAAAATCTTAGTCTCTGCCTGCCTACCAGCTAACCCCATAGCCACAAACTCCTTGAACCTGTTCTCAGTTGTAAAACTAGGGCATTAAGAGTAAGTTATCTCAAATGCCTCTTGTAGCTTTCGAATTCTGATTCTAGTTAAGCTACTCCAGTTTTTGAGTCTTTGTTATAGGAAAGCCTGTTTTCCCAGGACATATTGTTAGCCTAGTCAACAAACACAAAAGGCAGGAATGGCAATAAAGGATGACTTTGGCTCAGTCCTGAATGGCCATAAAGGGGGATGCTGCCAGCAATTCTTACACAACTAAAATCAATTCCATATCTTTATCCACAAATAACATGGTGGCACAAACGATTTTCGAGCTGCTATTTCATCCTTACCAACATGCTTATGTATCAGGTACCAGATAAAACATTTGATAAGTTTATACATCATGACCTATGGGAAAGTCCAGAGATTCACTCTGCAAAGTCTGACATGCTGGTACAAAATGTCAGTGTGTCTGGAAAGAGCTCCTTGGAAGTCATGGGGAAGACGTCCATGTGCAAGAACAGAGGTGAACATGCTATAAAGGGCCATGTAAGCATGGTATCTGGTAGGCTTTCGGGTGCCCCCCTCAATACTGAGACAGACGCCCTGGAGGTGAGACCTGGATGCGAATATTGTGATAAAAAGCCTCCAAGTGATTCTGATGCACATCCCTGTTAAGAAATGCTGATGGAGGAAGATGAGTCAGGTGAAGAGATGAGCTGGTGCAAACCAACATGTACTCTTTCGATCAATTAGTGTTAAGGGTTGTATCTGTTACAAACTTAAACAACTTTGTAGGGAAAAGAGAGTCAAACCATATCACTACAAATTGGGTTCTAATCTGTCTACATTTTCACAAATACAAGTACATTTGAGCATATTGTGTTCCTGAAGGCTTGGGCCTGGCCACATTTCTGTATTCCTATACCCGCTAGTAATTTCCTACTTAGTTCTGCACATCAAACTCACGTAAATAAGTGTTCTGTATGCTTCCCCTGTGTTGGACTGCAGTGTGCCCAGTTTCTTACTTTCAGGTTTTAATTTAATAGTGCTTTGGATAGCTTAATGTTTCCTGCAGCTCTCCAACACTGGCCCTTATTAATACTTTTAATAGTTTAGTAAATGTAATTAAAGTGGTCTCAGTTATTACTGACAAGTCCGCATACTTTCACAGGGATGATAAGATATATTTTCTCATGAAGAAACTCTGTGATCTGATCACTTAGCAAATGGACTTTTTATATTAATTTATATCATATAATCTGGATACTAAATTTAATTATATTTTTGTATTTTCTCATTCACCACTTCATTCCTTTTTATATTTCACTAGGGAAATGCTTAATCTATTTTTAACACATTTTTCTCTGATAGTTAATTATAAAATCAAAAACTTCCTGAACAGAAAATTTGGAAAACAGAAAAGGTTTACCGCACAGCTGCCTTTAATATTTTGCCAGCTTCCCTTCTAGCCTTTTCTTAAATACATTATTTGGAAAGAATTTAAAAAGCATATATACCATTTCCTATGTTGTGAACAACTTAATCACTTTTCTCATATTGCTAGCTTGTCTTCAGAATCTGCTTTGTAGATGACTGCAGAGATTTTACCAAACGAATACACTAAAAAATTATTTTCCCCCTTTCAGATTGAAGAAGAATTGGCACACAATATTGTATCTGAGGTGTGCAACATAGTGACTCAATAATTATATACATTACAAAATAGTCGCAAGGGTAGTCACCAAAGTTGTTACAATATCATTGACTATGTTCCCTCATACTGTACATCATATTCTCTTATGTTGCACTATAACAATCATTTCCCAATTTTTAAAATGATTAGGGTGCTTTCAATTTGTTGTCTTTTTAAATTTTGATGAACATTTTTCATGCACAAACCTGACTCCAAACAGTCTCAGGAATGGGATTACTTAGGTCGAAGGGTGTCGGTCATATCTTTATGTCTGGTACATACAGTGAAATGCTTTGCAAAACTTTTTTTCCCCCCCAATTCACATTTCCACAAGCAAGGTGTAAAGGATGTAAGTTTTACCTCAAACCCAGCACTATTCCCTCCTCAATCCTTCTAATTTACAAATTAAAAATTGGTGTGACCAGAAGGAGGCAGCCGGATGGCTAATTATTCTGCTGCTTTATCAGCTTAAGTGAGGCAGGCCCCAAATTTCAGGTTCATAAGAATCTCCTCAGGGAGAATGGTGTTAAAAATCAATTCCTGATTAGTTGTTATAACAAACTGACAATGTAATTTTATTCAGAGATTATAAGCGATCCAGACATTCTGACAGAAAGCACTGAATTAGAGTTTTCATTTAAGACCAAGTTTATAATGAGGAAGCTATCAGAGTTTATGTCAAATGCTAAATGGAGACCCGACTGAGAACCCAAATACTGCGCATTTTACAAAAGGGAAAAAAATCATTTACCTTATTTTCCCAGTAGGATCCATGTACGTTGTTTTTTCAAGCTTGACCCATTTTCCTTCGGAAATTAACTAAAAGGAGACATTAAGTTGGGAGATTTTCAAACTGAGGATTTTACTTAGAAGGTTTGTTTTCTTTCAGATTTTCTCTGCCTGGCCCTCCCGGTGCTCATGTGCCCCTCCCAGTAGTTGCAGGAAGGTTTTCAGTTCAAAGTACGGAAAGTTTTTTTTCTGAAGGGTGGTTCAGTTTCTTTCTGGAGTTTGGGAAGTGATACTGAGAGGTGAAAAGAGATGAGAGTTAAAAAACGGGGGGTGCGGGGAAGTGGAGAGGGAGGACCAGGAGTGAGGGGTTTTCGGGGACCTAGTGTTCTATCCTCTGAGCTGGGTGCTCATCACAGAGGTGTGTTTCGTGGGTAGAGACTCCTCAGTTGTGGTTTATAGTCAATGACCACACCGGAAGGCTGACTGAGGAAACCATGTCCAACAACCGCATTTCTAGGAACACATGGGTTTCCCACCCCATCCAAGACAGGTGGCCCAGGATCGTTCTGCCTAGACATTGAGTTTCAGTTACCTGGACTAACTTACCTACGGCACTATACTGAACTGACAGAAGAGAGTCACTGCAGACATAAAGCAGTAGCCTTTTTCTCACTATCCTATCTTTCACTTCTGGCCAGCAGCAACCTAATAATTATCAGCAGATCTATTCACAGACAACATGGAAAGATTTTTAAATCATAAACAACTGCAGGAAGATGTCAAGGTCAGAGTTCCAAGGTGAAGGATTTAAAATTTATCCACTGCAATGGTTCCTGCAGAAAGAGACTTATTAAAAGCTAAACCAAATAACATATAACACATACATTAGTTCTGGAATTCAGACTACAACTAACAACTTAAATTCTTATTGTTCTTAAACATATATATTGAGACCATAAGCAGCTAACTAAGACGTGATACTTAGGTATGAAATGTCTAAACCCTAAAACTCACATATGACTTATTCTTCTACCCAGGGAAACTTTTAATAAAATTTTGAGAATTTTTGTATCAACAGCCCAAATCCACTTTAAAAACACTTCACTAGGGGCGCCTGGGTGGCTCAGTCATTAAGCGTCTGCCTTCAGGCTCAGGTCGCGGTCCCAGGGTCCTGGGATCGAGCCCCACATCGGGCTCCCTGCTCAGCGGAAAGCCTGCTTCTCCCTCTCCCACTCCCCCTGCTTGTGTGCCCTCTCTCGCTGTGCCTCTCTCTAATAAATAAATAAAATCTTTAAAAAAAATAAAAATAAAAATACTTCACTAGTACATATAATTAAGAGATACACTATTGCTCCCACACAAGAGCAAAGTGTCCCTGAGTCCTAAAAAGGGAGTAGGAACAATGTTTAAGAAACTGTGTTTAATAATTGAATACACACACACAAAGAATTAAATATAAGCATTTGAAACAAGTTTCTACATTTCATTTAAACTCAGCTCTGTGTGGGAGGGGGCAGAGAAGAGAAAAACAGTTTATACCTCCTCTGAAATAATAGACTGTTTGGTATTTTGAGAAGGATCCGCTGGTTCTTGGTTTTCCATTTTCAAACTACTTAGTCTTTATAGTCCTCAGGCAGGAAGTTCACGCTGTAAGATAATAAGATTTGTTTAGGCTACATTTATTTTTCTGAATTAAACATTTGTCCGGAGGCCATCGCTCAAAGTACTTAAACGGTGAAAAACTTATCTGATGTCATCAATGCTGCTTTCCTCACGGGAACCTGGGAGGACTGCCCCAGATGGAATGTCAATGCCAAGGCCCCAGGAAACAGCCAGGAAAGAACGTGCAGCCATCCCAGTCAGATTCAGCCCACGTTAACTAAACTCCTACTGGGCGGGAGCTGGGCACTTACACAGACATTCTTGGATTTTTCTGACTCCAAATTTAAAAACTTTCCAAGGGGGAAACAGTAGAATAATTGTATACCACTCCCCATTCCCACCCCTTCACCACTGTCCCTTATCTACCCTTGACAGCTAAACTGTAAGACTTGTATGTGCTGCCTGTGTCTACCTCCCATATATCTTTTTTTTTTTAAACTTGTGGTAAATGGATATACCATTTTAATAATGTTAAAATGTGCAGCTCAGTGGAATTCAACACATTCACATTGTTGTGGCCTGTTCACTTTAAAGCTTCAACATGTATAAAAGAGTTGTGCAGGAGTTGACTGGGAGCACCAGCTCTGTCGCGGAAAGAGCAGGCCCCATCCCGTATTGTACCCTACTCCAGTCTCTCTTCTTGGCTTGTTCTCCTGCTTTTTGTACCGAGTGTCTGAAAATCTTTCTCTGCCCTCAAAGTGGACTGAATAACCTGGCTGCATATAGAAGTATGGGCCGAAAATCACTTTCTACTGGAAATATGGAGGCCTTGCTCAGTTGTCTTGCTTCTGGTATTGGCTGTTGTGACATCTGAAGCCATTCTGATTCCTGATCCTTTTCCTCTCTGGCCTATTTTCTTTCTCTGGAAACCTGTAGTTATTCATGTCTTCGTGTTGATGTTACTGTATTGGGAACTCAAACAGGTCCTTCCTTTTTTTATTGAAGTGTAGTTGACATACAATATTATATTAGTTTCAGGTGTGCAACATAGTGCTCAACGTTTACATATATTATGAAGTCATTGCCACGAAAATCTGGGTACCATCTGTCACCATATAAACTTGTTACGATATTGTTAACTATATTCTCTATGCCGTACATTGCATTCCCATGTCTCATTTATTTTATGACTGGAAGTTTGTATCTTTTCTGTTTTTTTTTTTTTTATTTTTGAGAGAGAGAGAGAGAGCGAGCGAGCACGCATGTCCGCATATGAGTGGGGTAGGGGCAGAGGGAGAGAGTCTCAAGCAGATTCTCCCAGCTGAGCATAGAGCTTTATCTCACAACCCTGAGATCATGACCTGAGCTGGAATCAAGAGTTGGATGCTTAACAGTCTGAGCCACCCAGGTGCCCCTGTAAATCTGTACCTTTAATCCCCTTCCCCTGTTTTGTCAAATGGGTCCTTTCAATCTGGAAACCATACTGTGCTTCTTTATGGGGAACTTCTCTTGAAATATTTCACTAATAATCTCCTCCCCTCTATTTTCTATGTTCTTTCTTTTAGGAACTGGTATTTAGCTGTTAGACTTCCTGAACCGATCCTCTGTCTTGTCTTTTTCATTCCTATTTTCTGTTTCCTTGTTATTTTATCTACAGTTCTCAGTGGCTACTCCAAGGCTTTACTACTCTTAAGATCTGTGGTTCCCTAACCTACCCCACCTCCTAATGTTTACTACAGGGAAAATACAGAGTATCAACATCAACCCTCCTACCAAATGTCTTGGAGGAAAGAGTGTCTTTGCTCTATTTTTTTTTTTTTTAAGCTGTTATTTATTTATTTGAGAGAGAGAGAGAGAAAGAGCACGCACAAGCAGGGGGAGCGGCAGGTAGAGGGAGAGGGAGAAGCAGACACCCTGCTGAGCAAGGAGCCCGATGCGGGGCCATGATCCCAGGACACTGGGATCATGACTTGGGCCAAAGGCCACCACTTAACTGACTGAGCCACCCAGGTGCCCCGCTCTGTTTCTTCTGAGGCCTAAAGTAATAATGAAACTACCCATCTCATTTGCAATTTTTATCCCAGATGGCAAACATCCTCCATCCTAAAACACACCCAACAAAACACATTTAACCTTCTCATAACCCTGTTCTTTCCTTCCGCCTTCCTGGACTTCTTGAAAGAACAGATGATACTATTGAGTGTATTTACTCAGCCCAGTGCAGTCTACTCCTTTACCATCCCATCCACCCATCTACTCATCACCCCCAAGCCAGAAATAGAAGTAGCTCCAATCCCTTATTCTCCTTCACCACTTATAATTTATCCATTATAAGTCCTAAAAATTCTGTCTCAACATTTCTTAAGAGTGTCCTATCCTTACCATCACTGCTCTGGCTGAAAACCTCCCACCTGGGATGAAATTTCCAAAACCATCTCCTGGACGTTAGATTTTTATGTTGTCCAGTGTTCAACACTGCTCACAGTTGTGTTGGTATAGAAACTCCCTAAAATCACCGCTGAATAAATGAAGGAAGGTGGGATGCCTGGGTGGCTCAGTTGGTTAAGCGTCTGTCTTTGGCTCAAGTCATGATACCAGGGTCCTGGGATCGAGTCCTGCATTGGGCTCCTTGCTTAGTGGGGAGCCTGCTTCTCCCCCTGCTTGAACATTCTCTCTCTCTCTGACAAATAAATAAAATCTTAAAAAAAAAAAAAAAAAAGAAAGAAGGAGTAAAATGAATCTGGCTGGGTAAGTCTAGATAGCCATTCTGTTCCTAAGTAAATTAGGTTAGTTTGGGGCCTGCTTAGACTTATTTTGAAGAATAGTTCCTTGTGTACTTGTCTTTATTTGACTAACTTAGTTTAACTCAATTTCAAAATTTTCTTGGCACATAGTTAAAGAGATTCACACTTCCTGATTTCAGAAGTTACTATAAAAGACACAGTAATCAAGATGGCGTGGGTACCAGCCTAAGGACAGACATATAAACTGATGGAATAGAAAGTCCAGAATTAAACCCACAGATTCATGGTCCATTGATTTTCAACAAGAATGCCACCAATCAAGGGGGGTAAGGGGTAGCCTTTTCAAGAGATTGTTCTGGGCTTAGATATATACATTCATGAGAATGAAAAAGAACCTCACAGGTACCTGGGTGGCTCAGTCAGTTGAACATCTGCCTCTTGATTTCAGCTCAGGTTGTGATTTTGGGGTCATGGGATTGGGCCCGGCGTCAGGTTCCACGCTCAGTGCAGAGTCTGCTGGAGATTCTTTCTTTCTCTCTCCCTCTGTTCCTCCCCCACCCCCCCCCCGCTTGCGCACATGCACCCTCTCTCTAAATAGATGGAATCTTCAGGAAAAAAAAAAAAGTGAACCTCTACCTAACACTGTATATAAAAATTAACTCAAAGTGGATTAAAGAGCTAATGTAAGAGCCAAACCTACAAAACTCTTAGAAGAAAGCATACGTGTAAATCTTCATGATCTTGGGTTAGGCAATGATCTCTTAGATGTGACACATAAAGCACAAGCAACTAAAGAAAATACAGATAAATCGGACTTCCTCAAAATTAAAAACTTGTGTGCTTCATAGGATACCATGAAGATAGGGAAAAAACAACCCACAGAATGGGAAAAAAAGTTTGCAAATCTGATAGAACTGTATCTGAAATATGCAAAAAACTCTTAAAATGCAATAATTAAAAGACAACCTAATTAAAAATAGCCAAAGGACCTGAATAGACATTTTTCCAAAGAAGACACACAAATGGCCAATAAGCCCATGAAAATATGTTGGGCATTTTTAGCCATCAGAGGAAGGCAAATCAAAACCACAATGAGATACCACACACTTCACCCCTATTATGATGATTATAACTATAAAGACATAACAGCAAGTATCAGTGAGGATGTAGAGAAACTGAGACCCTCATATTCTGCTGGAAGGAATGCAAGATGGTGCAGCCATTTTGGGAAACAATCCTCAAAAGGTTAACGACAGAATTCCCATACGACGCAGCAATTTCATGCCTATATATACCCAGGAGAAATGAAACATACTCTCACAAAAACTTGTACACAAATATCTGTTCATGACAGTATAATTCGTAATAGCCCCAGAGTGGAAACAACCTAAATGACTATCAGTTGATGAGTGGATAAATAAAATGTGGTATTTCATTCAATGGAATAATATTCACCCATGAAAAGGAATGAAGTACTGATGCATGCTACAAAATGGATGAACCTTGAAAACAATATGCTAAGTGAGAGAAGCCAGATACAAGAGGCCAAATATTTTAAGATTCCATGTATATGAAATATCCAGAAGAGCAAATCCAAAGATACAGAAAGCAGATTAGAGGTTGCCAAGGGACTGGGGGGAAGGAGAGAATAGGGAGTGACTACTTATGGGTATGGGGTTTCTTTTTGATGGAAAATGTTCTAGAATTGAATAGTGGTGATGGTGACACCATCTGGCAAATACACTAAAACTATAGAATTTTACAGTCTAGGAGCGTGAATTTTATGGTATGTGAATTGCATCTCAATTAACAAACACCTTTGCAGTCTTAAAATCCCCAAGAGACAAATAATTGGGTTGTTGAAAGTCATGTTAGGTCCAAAGGTTGATCACACCTAGGAGACTAGTTCAAGGAGCTCTGCTTTGGACTCAACAGGCTAGTAATGTATGCATGGCATTCCTGTACCCAAGTGACCACTTTACTGTCCTCTGGGTGTATATTTTGCCTGATACTCAACACATACTTCTGTTGTAAAATTAACCGTATTTCTGTTGTATCATGAAGATGTAATCAATACTGTTGCTTGCAGATTATTTTGTGGGCAAACCTAGGAATTCAATTTCCAGTAAGGATTTCAGCAAAGAAGCAAAACTTGAGGCCTTAGGGAAGAAAAAAATGACGTTATGCTAAAGACGTAAAAACCACTTAATGAAGATGAGAGAAAGAAACATGTATACATTTTCACACTCATTTAAACCATGAAGAAGTATGCACAAACTGTATCAATGTTCGTAAAAAATG